GCTAACCACTATACTAACGAGAATCTTCAACCCACACTCACACATACTACCGGTTAAAAAAAAGGACACACGCCCTGCACAACATCACTTGCTACAAGCAAGACGTGTCACTTCACGCAATATTTTTCCAGGCAGCGATGCGATCGAACCACATATCTGCTAGTAATCCACCGTTCGAAAGCAACTGGTTCGGCGAAGAACACTCATCCACTTCACCGCTCTAGATCTTTTCTCTGACAGGTTCGAGTCGCTCAATGACAGCTAGAAGTTGCTAGCTAGCAATATCGATTCTGCACAGGAGCGTGTTTGGTCTCGCAGGATACCGGACCTGGGATCGAGTCCGGTCGCAGGCGACAACTTGTTCGCAAACGCGTTCGTAGCCATTGCGCTGCCTGTCCAAGTACTTGATGCCGACTATGTGGTCTATCGTAGTATATACGCTGTGTTGAGTATTCACCGAGAGTCGGTCGACCGCAAAGAGCAAGGAGTAAAACTTCCCGTCCCGGAACTGAACTCGGGTCACCCGCGTGACAGGCAGGCAGGTATGCTAACCACTATACTAACGAGAATCTTCAACCCACACTCACACATACTACCGGTTCAAAAAAAGGACACACGCCCTGCACAACATCACTTGCTACAAGCAAGACGTGTCCCTTCACGCACCATGTTCCTAGGCAGCGATGCGATCGAACCACATATCTGCTAGTAATCCACCGTTCGAAAGCAACTGGTTCGGCGAAGAACACTCATCCACTTCACCGCTCTAGATCTTTTCTCTGACAGGTTCGAGTCGCTCAATGACAGCTAGAAGTTGCTAGCTAGCAATATCGATTCTGCACAGGAGCGTGTTTGGTCTCGCAGGATACCGGACCTGGGATCGAGTCCGGTCGCAGGCGACAACTTGTTCGCAAACGCGTTCGTTGTCATTGCGCTGTCTGTTCAAGTACTTGATGCCGACTATGTGGTCTATCGAAGCATATACGCTGCGTTGAGTATTCACCGAGAGTCGGTCGACCGCAAAGAGCAAGGAGTAAAACTTCCCGTCCGGGAATTGAACCCGGGTCACCCGCGTGACAGGCAGGCAGGTATGCTAACCACTATACTAACGAGAATTTCCAACCCACACTCACACATACTACCGGTTCAAAAATAAAACACACGCCAAGCACAACATCACTTGCTACAAGCAAGACGTGTCACTTCACGCAATATTTTTCCAGGCAGCGATGCGATCGAACCACATATCTGCTAGTAATCCACCGTTCGAAAGCAACTGGTTCGGCGAAGAACACTCATCCACTTCACCGCTCTAGATCTTTTCTCTGACAGGTTCGAGTCGCTCAATGACAGCTAGAAGTTGCTAGCTAGCAATATCGATTCTGCACAGGAGCGTGTTTGGTCTCGCAGGATACCGGACCTGGGATCGAGTCCGGTCGCAGGCGACAACTTGTTCGCAAACGCGTTCGTTGTCATTGCGCTGCCTGTTCAAGTACTTGATGCCGACTATGAGGTCTATCGTAGTATATACGCTGTGTTGAGTATTCACCGAGAGTCGGTCGACCGCAAAGAGCAAGGAGTAAAACTTCCCGTCCGGGAATTGAACCCGGGTCACCCGCGTGACAGGCAGGCAGGTATGCTAACCACTATACTAACGAGAATCTCCAACCCACACTCACACATACTACCGGTTCAAAAAAAGACACACGCCCTGCACAACATCACTTGCTACAAGCAAGACGTGTCCCTTCACGCAACAGTTTCCAGGCAGCGATGCGATCGAACCACATATCTGCTAGTAATCCATCGTTCGAAAGCAACTGGTTCGGCGAAGAACACTCATCCACTTCACCGCTCTAGATCTTCTCTCTGAAAGGTTCGAGTCGCTCAATGACAGCTAGAAGTTGCTAGCTAGCAATATCGATTCTGCACAGGAGCGTGTTTGGTCTCGCAGGATACCGGACCTGGGATCGAGTCCGGTCGCAGGCGACAACTTGTTCGCAAACGCGTTCGTAGCCATTGCGCTGCCTGTCCAAGTACCTGATGCCGACTATGTGGTCTCTCGTAGTATATACGCTGTGTTGAGTATTCACCGAGAGTCGGTCGACCGCAAAGAGCAAGGAGTAAAACTTCCCGTCCCGGAACTGAACTCGGGTCACCCGCGTGACAGGCAGGCAGGTATGCTAACCACTATACTAACGAGAATCTTCAACCCACACTCACACATACTACCGGTTAAAAAAAAGGACACACGCCCTGCACAACATCACTTGCTACAAGCAAGACGTGTCACTTCACGCAATATTTTTCCAGGCAGCGATGCGATCGAACCACATATCTGCTAGTAATCCACCGTTCGAAAGCAACTGGTTCGGCGAAGAACACTCATCCACTTCACCGCTCTAGATCTTTTCTCTGACAGGTTCGAGTCGCTCAATGACAGCTAGAAGTTGCTAGCTAGCAATATCGATTCTGCACAGGAGCGTGTTTGGTCTCGCAGGATACCGGACCTGGGATCGAGTCCGGTCGCAGGCGACAACTTGTTCGCAAACGCGTTCGTAGCCATTGCGCTGCCTGTCCAAGTACTTGATGCCGACTATGTGGTCTCTCGTAGTATATACGCTGCGATGAGTATTCACCGAGAGTCGGTCGACCGCAAAGAGCAAGGAGTAAAACTTCCCGTCCGGGAACAGAACTCGGGTCACCCGCGTGACAGGCAGGCAGGTATGCTAACCACTATACTAACGAGAATCTTCAACCCACACTCACACATACTACCGGTTCAAAAAAAGGACACACGCCCTGCACAACATCACTTGCTACAAGCAAGACGTGTCACTTCACGCAATATTTTTCCAGGCAGCGATGCGATCGAACCACATATCTGCTAGTAATCCACCGTTCGAAAGCAACTGGTTCGGCGAAGAACACTCATCCACTTCACCGCTCTAGATCTTTTCTCTGACAGGTTCGAGTCGCTCAATGACAGCTAGAAGTTGCTAGCTAGCAATATCGATTCTGCACAGGAGCGTGTTTGGTCTCGCAGGATACCGGACCTGGGATCGAGTCCGGTCGCAGGCGACAACTTGTTCGCAAACGCGTTCGTAGCCATTGCGCTGCCTGTCCAAGTACTTGATGCCGACTATGTGGTCTATCGTAGTATATACGCTGTGTTGAGTATTCACCGAGAGTCGGTCGACCGCAAAGAGCAAGGAGTAAATCTTCCCGTCCCGGAACTGAACTCGGGTCACCCGCGTGACAGGCAGGCAGGTATGCTAACCACTATACTAACGAGAATCTTCAACCCACACTCACACATACTACCGGTTAAAAAAAAGGACACACGCCCTGCACAACATCACTTGCTACAAGCAAGACGTGTCCCTTCACGCAACAGTTTCCAGGCAGCGATGCGATCGAACCACATATCTGCTAGTAATCCACCGTTCGAAAGCAACTGGTTCGGCGAAGAACACTCATCCACTTCACCGCTCTAGATCTTTTCTCTGACAGGTTCGAGTCGCTCAATGACAGCTAGAAGTTGCTAGCTAGCAATATCGATTCTGCACAGGAGCGTGTTTGGTCTCGCAGGATACCGGACCTGGGATCGAGTCCGGTCGCAGGCGACAACTTGTTCGCAAACGCGTTCGTTGTCATTGCGCTGTCTGTTCAAGTACCTGATGCCGACTATGTGGTCTATCGTAGCATATACGCTGCGTTGAGTATTCACCGAGAGTCGGTCGACCGCAAAGAGCAAGGAGTAAAACTTCCCGTCCGGGAATTGAACCCGGGTCACCCGCGTGACAGGCAGGCAGGTATGCTAACCACTATACTAACGAGAATTTCCAACCCACACTCACACATACTACCGGTTCAAAATAAGGGCACACGCCCTGCACAACATCACTTGCTACAAGTGTGACGAATCAAGTCACGCACCATTTTTCCAGGCAGCGATGCGATCAAACCACACATCTGCTAGTAATCCACCGTTCGAAAGCAACTGGTTCGGCGAAGAACACTCATCCACTTCACCGCTATAGATCTTTTCTCTGACAGGTACGAGTGGATCACTGACAACTGGAAGTTGCTAGCCAGCAATATCGATTCTGCACAGGAGCGTGTTCGGTCTCGCAGGATACCGGACCTGGGATCGAGTCCGGTCGCAGACGACAACTTGTTTGCAAACGTATTCGTAGCCATTGCGCTGCCTGTTCAAGTAGTTGATGCCGACTATGTGGTCTATCGTAGCATATACGCTGCGTTGAGTGTTCACCGAGAGTCGGCTCGACCGCAAAGAGCAAGGAGTAAAACTCCCCGTCCCGGAACTGAACTCGGGTCACCCGCGTGACAGGCAGGTTGTAAATGGGCTATACATAGTTGGGCACCTGGTACCCTGCGTCGTAGACACACGGATGATATCTTACTGAAAAGATATTGAATATCATATCGGTTTTTAGGGGCTGATTGATGTTAGCCACCAGATAGGAGAGATCAGCGTTATACTAACTTAGGAAATAAGTGTCCAGATTAGGATTGAGATATTCTATAGGGTCAAATGCAAATAAGATTAAGTTCTCCTTTTGATCATAAAGACACGTGCCTTGCGAGGCGTCTTTGGTAGTTGATCGCTGATCACTAAGAGTTAGCAACACCTCGTTGAGGTAGCTAATTACTCTTGAGCACTAAGTGCTTTCGATTCACTGAATCGTTTGGTCCCCTGGAACAAGGACCATGAGATTTACGCTTGTTGACTCATTGAGTCTATTTCTATAGAACTAGGTTGCTCGTTGAGCGTAAAGTCTTCCCCTGAATTAAAAATCTGTGTAGCTCCACTTCACTTGGTAGCACTAGTAGTAATTCTATGCCTGGGTCTATTTAGACTGAATTTCTGTGAGGATAGAAAACACCCCTCCCCTCCCTGAGGCCCAAAAGGTCGCGTTTGATAAGCTGACCGCATCTTCGGCTAACGCCCTGCTTTTCCCGCACCTGGTCGCTTGATGGAGCCTTTAGACGCCGTTGACACTATACAGGAGAAGCCGTTAGAGACCTTGAAGAATCGACTCAAAGAACTTGTGATCCTCCTGGGTCCAGAGTACGCGGAGCTCCTTGTTTAACAAGGACCGGGAGTGCTAAATGCACGCTTTGAAGGCTTCAAGCAGTATGAGGCGACCCTTCTAGGGCAGGTCCAAGACCAAGTAGCGTCGGCTTTGCCTACATGCTCTGTGTCTGTACTAGACGAAGAGGCTAGGCCTCGTCCACTTAGAGTAGAAGTTAAGAATTACTCCGGTAAGGAGGGTAAAATCCTCATCGTCTGGATCCGTGAGATTGAGGTGGCCATGAGATCAGGCCTGATCAAGCTTGACTATCAACAGGTCTCTCTGGTTATCATGAAGCTTGATGGAAGAGCTGGAGAATGGGCCCTGACATGTAGCACGTTAATTGACTTAGCATTCCCCACATGGGAGTCACCTAAGTCACAATTAGTACAGGTGTTGTCACCACCTAACCAATCTTAGCGCGTGCGTTCACGCTTTTTATCGACCCTTCAGGGTGTTAATGAGTTACCGGACTATATCCAAGAGTTGAGAGCCCTCATGGTTGCAATGCAGTCTGATCCTCTGCCCGAGGCAGTTCATGTGACAATCTTCATGGAAGGTCTTCGTACTGGCATTGCCAGAGCCGAAGTTTTTCGGGTTCACCCCTCTACTTTCAAAGAGGCCGTAAGAATTTCTCTTAATGCTGAGCATAACTTCAAGTCCGCTGGGCTTGGCTGGAATGGGTACAACCTCAGCTCAGTGAGAGCAAACTTCACGAGTGGTTTGGCCTTCCACAGGCCGGAACCGATGGATCTCAGCTATGCTGAAGATGAGGGTGAAGTTTTTATTGAAGCTGCTGAGTAGCAAAGCGTCGTACGACGATGTTTAACGTGCGGAAGCACCAAACACTTGCGGCCTGGTTGTCCTTTGCATAAACAGCTTCAGGCTACAAGCCAAAAATTTACCCCGAGCCAGAAGTCTTGCATGGCACGGGAAATGCCGACGCCCAGTAAGTGCGGGGCGGCCTACTGGGGAAGAACTGGGTTCTGTTATACATTAAGGAGGTGAAATTAAATCTGTCTTAGTCCCTAAGAGCTCCGTACCAATTGGTGTGGATCGTGGATAAAAGTCTGGCTTGTTAGTCGCCGAGACGAAAATTAAGGGCTTTGAGAAGCCTTGGTCGATCTTGATCGAGCTTGAGGGCGTCTTGCAATTATGCTCGACTTCTTTGACTTGAGGGAAGTCAGCGTTATGCTGAGGCGCTTACAGCGCATAAGGGTGATTCTATCACGATTCGCTTAGCGACTGGAAGTCATGTAACTGTGCCTAAGTTCCATTGAGCTTAGGTATACAGTTTTAGTCTTTGACAGCATTGAACGCTGTCTTGTCCTTGACTTGGACTCGAGATAGGATCTCATCCTTGGCATGGCTTGGCTTAAACGCCATGATCCATGGATTGATTAGAGGTCTTAGACCTTAGGCGCCACGCGCAACGTTCCTAGCGAAGTTTTGAAGAGTCATGAACCCACCTTAACTAGACAGCAGAAGCACTACTGGCGCGAGCCTTTGACAGAAGATGTCAATGCGCTCTCCATTGGAATGTCTGAGTTGTCCAACTCCAATGTTGTAAACATAAATTTCAAACGTAGCTCGTGAGATATCGGTGATACGGCACGTACTCCGTTGAGTGTTACTCGTTGTGATAACGAGTCACTGCAAGCTGAAAGTATGGTTGGCCTAAGGCCGGATTAGCAAGGATGTGATTACTTTGATGTGTGAGGTGGCACGTGAAAATTCACCGAGTGTGGTCGGCCGTGAAGGCATCACACTTAATGTCGGTAATGACGTTAAAGGCAAAATGCCGTTCAGTTCAGGGATAGGCCGCATAATGTATGTGGAGTGGCACGTGGAAATCTAGTGGTTGAAGAGTTCGAGTTATGCAACGCTTCACCGGATATCGGTCAAGACATTGGCTCTAGTATATATCGCACTATTATTAGTAATAATAAAGGGGAACAGTATTGTCCCGACCCCTAAGGGGTGTAAGGTCTCCAAGAGGCGACTTGGACGCCAGGTGGCAACTGTAAAGCGCCAAGCGTCCACACAGTCAGTGAGTGATAATCGTAATACACTATACACGCTTGCTAGCGGAGTGACAGATCAAGCTGTTAGCAAAATTAGCCTTGAAACCCTTCTATCTTTGGATGCTCTGTGTAATCTAGACAAAATGTATGATTTGGAGTTAGCCAGGCTTAAAGGCACGAGATTTTTCCGAATTAGTGGTCATCAGACCCGATGCTGATTTGAGCTCGTCCTCATTGATAAAAGAGTCTGTCCTAGAAGACACAAAGGCGGCCTTAGTGCGCGAAGTGGATCTTCGATCTTTATAGATCCTTCGGATCCATTTTACTCTTTGGTTAAGGAACATTAAGATGTGGTGTGTCACAATCCACCATCTGCCTTACCACTTGAGGAGGTGAACGTCATGAAATTGACATAGTTCCAGGAGCTAAATACTGCGTCATACGGCAGTGGCCTTTGCCTAAACAACAGTGTGAAGTCATTGAAAGATTGCTTTCGTGCTAAGCACGCGGCTGGAATGGCTCGTGAGAGTAAAACTCCCCATTCAACACCGACATTTTGTGTCAAGAAGCCAAATGACAAGTGGCGCATTGTGCTTGCTTATGATAAGCTTAATGCAGCCAGTATACCGGCGCAGACGCCTATTCCTAGAAAGGATGTTTTTCAGAACAATACGGTAGCGTGTAAATTGTACAGCGCACTCGACTTAGTCGATGGTCATTACCAGCTGCTCATGCGAGCGAGTGATATTCCACTAACAGCGGTGAGTACTCCGAGCGGTATGCTCTTGGAGTGGCTCGATATGCCACAAGGGCTGTCTAACGCCCCGCTACTTATAATCGTCTGGTGATGCAACTGTTCAGACCTCATCGAGGATCCGCGCAAACAGAATTTGACGACATCTTTGTTCATAGTCGTGCAACGAATGCTCGATCAGATGTGGATACTTTTAAAAAAAATCACCTGATCATTTGCGAGCGGTGCTCGAGTGCATGCAAACAAATAGATTGTACGCTAACGCGTCTGAGTGCAGAAGAAATTACCTTTCTAGGGTGCTTCGCTGGGAAGCGAGGCCTTCGAGTGGACACCGCTAAGGTAAGGGCCATAGTCGATTGGTCGGTCCATAAGAACCAAAAGGACTTGCGTAAGTGGCTTGGCCTTAGCAATTACTTGCATAAGTATAGTGCGAATTGCGCAAACATGGCTAGGTCAATATCCAATCTCCTAAAAAAAGATCTGGGTTGGCGATGGGGTCATACCAAGCACGATACTTATAAAGCAGTTATGGAGAGTCTCCTTCATGCGACAATATTGGCTTTGCCCAATCCTGATCGGTCCTTCAGTGTCGTCTGTGATCCATCTGACTTTGCCATTGTCAGTGCTCTGTTACAGAGCGATGTTTATGGACGTGAGTGCGTCATTGCGTTCGAGTCTCGCCAGCTTAAAGCTTCTAAACCGAACTATCCTATACGTGAAAAGAACTTCTTGGTATGAAGTTTGCTCTAGTAAAATTTATAGTAGATCTGCCTGACTCGAAGACTTTTGTCATTTTGACAGATCATGCGTCATTGCGCACTGACACAGTCGCCGCATCTCTCTTAGAGAATGGTTCGTTGGATTTTCTTCTTTGCCGAATTTAACTTCGAGGTGAAGTATAAGTCAGAACATCAAAATGCCTTGGCTGGTGCGCTATCGCGCTGACCTGACTACGAGCTTGCTCATGTTGCGACAATGTCGTCATCAGTCCCTAACTTAATCCGTGCGGCTTATTCCAAGGATGACCCATGCGTAGTTTAAGCTACGGGATTTTGAAAGCGATGAGTCTAAAGACTAGGACATAGACTTGTCAGCACATTTACGTGCGAGGATACATGGATATTCCATCGATAATGACCTGTTGCGCTAACGCACGGATATTGAGGACGCCCCCTATATCGCTGTTCCTCATGATGAGGAGTTGAAGTATCAAATCCTCTACGAGGCACAATACTGCTTCAAATGGTCATCTCGGTCGCGAGAAGATCTATGGCTCGGTGAGCCAATATTATTGGTGTCCCAAGATGTACAAATGGGTGAGCACCTATGTGCGTACGTGCGAAACGTGTCAACGGGTCAAACCCTCAGCACATGTGGCTGTGCCGCTAGCTAGTCTGCCTGTACCCACTAGGTGTTGAAAGTCCATGAGTACGGATTTTTTGTTCGGCCTACCAAAGGATTCGGAAGGAAGCACTGGTATTGTGGTCTTTGTGGACCGTTTAAACAAGATGGATCATTTACCTGCTGTGCCGGATACTGTCGATGCTGAAGTCACGGAAAAGCTGCTTATCGATTGTGTGTTTCGACAACATGGTTTGACTGTGGCAAATGTCTCTGATAGAGATCCCCGCTACACTGTGAAATTTTGGAAATGTATCTTCAAGGTTCTCGGCACCCGATTGGATATGTCCACGGCGGATCATCCGCAGACCGATAGTCAAACTGAGCGTGTTAATCGCGTCATTAATGACATTTTGCGCAGTGTTTGCGCTGATACGCCTAGACGTTGGAGATCAATGCTCCCTGTTGTTGAGTTTGCGTTGAATAACGCTGTTAATGCCTCAACAGGCTTTAATCCGTTCTATATAAACGGTCTCACTCACCCTCGCGTTCCGTTAACGATACCACTCTGTGGCTCAGGTCTTGGTGGGGGAGAGGTTGCCAATCGGCTTGCTGATATCAGCCCTGCTACTGTGTAAAGAAATTAGGCGAGTTTCTCGCAACGCGATTGAATGTCTTACGACATGGGCGTGACGCAATGGCTGATAGCCAAGATCAACAAAACAACAAGCTGATGCCAAAGAAAGAAGTTGTATTAAGAGCTATGAGGTCTTAGACCAAATAATACTCAATGCCAAGAACCTACCTACAAATGTCGTGTCTGCTGTCTTTAAGACAAAGTTGCGTCCACGCTTCATTGGACCGTTTACGATCACTGCCAAGAAGGGCCTTGCGTATACGCTCAACATTCCACGCAAATTGCGCACACACCCTGTGTTCTACGTAGGCTTACTCAAGCCGTACCGGGATCCTTCCCATGTGAACTTTGAGGCGCTGGCGCCGATGAAAAGGGCGGCGCCCCGGATTGCTGCAAGCGAATCAGCAAGTCTAACTGAGCCTCGCTCCAAGTTTTAGCACGCTCCATCGCCTGAAAAAGGCTCTGCATCACATCAAGCATGGATTGGGTCTTCCCCAGGGTTTCTTGAAAACGCTTCACTTCGAAAACCAATTTCTCGTGGACTGACACCGGTACACCGGCCACCACCGACGCTGTTCGATGAGCATGAGTGTCTTCAGTTTCATGTCGAGAGACTACTAAAACGACGTCGTCATCATGGCCACTACCAGCATCTGGTAAAGTGGCGTGGGTACCCTGAGTATGAGAACTTGTGGGAATACGAGGTACCCCTACGGCAAAACTGCCCTTATGCTTTGAATGCTTTTGAACATCGCGGTCAAGGTCATCTTGAAACAGAGGCCGTTCCCAACACTAGTGGTGTGGGTTGGCGGGTTGGTGGTCATTGTCTGACCAACCCTCGCGGCTACAGTAGTAGCCGAAGCATATCGCGTGGGATTACACAATTGGCCTCTGGCCTCAAGCTTGGCATAGTCATACCGAAGCTTGCATTCGAGAAGCACATCAGCCACATTGGCACTAGATTTTAGAGCAGACATACTACTGATGCGACGTATGCGATGCACCCAGTGGACGAAGGCGTTGTCTTCTTTGCTCTCTGTTTCGCCTGCAAACAAGAGAATGGGTATACCCTTGATCGGTGGGACCAGTGCACCACGTGCTTGCATGTCAAGGCGTGCCTTGACCTTGGGTCGTTAGGTGAGGCTACAGGTACCTCTCGCGAACCGCCTGTCCGCTCGCTGCCTCCTCAGGAGACTTAGGCCTATGGCCAATGATCCACGTTGCCAACCGTTGGCCGGCCGCTTGACGTAAGCGTTCCTCCACACTGGGTGAAGTGAACACATAGTCACGCTGGTGCTCGAGGGTTGCGACCATTTGCGCATGTCACCGAGTGCTTTCTCCTTGCTAAAGAAGTAACTGTTGCTGCTCATCGAGCGGTTTCGTGATGATGGCATCATCCGAACCGAGTGTTGAGCGCAGCGCCAATGGCAAATTCTCATTGTCACATTCAGGGAACGGACAGGGGGCAGTAAGAGGTTGTGCCTCGGACATGGGTGTAAACGAACATTGTCCCTGCATCACCCGGGACACTGGTATCACCATCATAGTCCAAAAACGTCCCCGTTTCGAGGTAATCACTGAGAGTCTTAACTCGTCAGGTGATGAGGACATCGTGCTAAGCTTTAAGTTACCGTGAGGTGAACCGCAAGTGCACTGACCTCGTGGAAGAACTAATTTCGATAGGAACGTTCGATTGGAACAAGGTTCGATTGACGTTTTGGGAAACGTCAGTCTGGTGGGGGAGGGTGTAAAGGGGTTACACACAGTTGGGCACCTGGTACCCTGTGTTGTAGACACACGGATGATATTTCACTGAAAGAGATATCGAATATCTTTTCGGTTTTTAGGGGCTGACTGATGTTAGCCACCAGATAGGAGAGATCTTAGTTGTGCTAACTTAGGAAATAAGTGTCTAGATTAGGATTGAAATATTCTATAGGGTCAAATGCAAATAAGATTAAGCTCTCCTTTTTATCTTAAAGACACGTGCCTTACGGGGCGTCTTTGGTCGTTGATCACTGATCACTAAGAGTTAGCAACACCTCGTTGAGGTAGCTAATTACTCTTGAGCACTAAGTGCTGTCGATTCATTGAATCGTTTGGTCCACTGGAACAAGGACCATGAGATTTACGCTTGTTGACTCATTGGGTCTAGTTCTTTTGAACTAGGTTGCTCGTTGAGCGTTATGGTCTTCCTCTGAGTTAAGGAGATGTTTAGCTCCGCTACACAGGGGATGCAAACCAGCTGCCCAAAAATGACATTTATCGTAGAATGTTTAAATGCTTTGAGCAGTCACCTCAACTTTTCTTGCCCTGACGTAGAATTAAAGCATTTGCTCGTAGCTATTGCTTCTACCATCCGATTGTCAGAAGAATGAATATGCAATGCTGAGTCGTGCGCCATCATCATGTTGTCATTCACATAACTTTGAGAATATTGACGATTGTGCTGCTGTTGCCAGGAAAGGTGACAAGGAGACTAGATAACAGAAGGCGATCAAAGAACTAGCTAATCATTCGCGCAAATGCTCGCACAAGACCAAGATGGTGATCGAGCACCCACACGATTGCAAAGCTAAGTTCCGTTATTAATGCTGCAAGCAGGACGATGAATGACGATCACCTCATGCAGATAAGGTAGGAGAGCAAGCTCTGGAGCTCGCCCTTTATAATAAGTAATTTATCATGTTTGCAGCTCGATTCAGTTCTCCAAACTGAATTACATAAAGTCAACGGCGAGCTCCAGAGCTACCGAGCTCCTCTATCTTCTCTTGCAAAGACAGCATACAAAGTCCGTCGCCACCTTTAACGTTCAAAGCATGCTGTAAAGTCCGATGACAAAAGCTTATCAAACCAAAGCTGTTTAGAAATCCATTTCTAAACCATAACCACATCCACACGGTCACCGATAAAAATAAACCAATTGGGCTCCTGCGTACCCACGAACCATAATCACCACGACCAAATCAATTGAGCCAAAAACAAACAATCACCTCTCGCTCTCTCGAGCTCAAGCCGACCCGAGCGCCACTCATGGCCAGCTACTCGTTCCCGCTCCTCAAGCCGCGCGAGATCTTCGCGTGTCTACGGGAGATGCGCGTCCTCGTGTCCGAGGACGAGATCCGTGCGTGTGACCCAAGTGCCGTGCGCAAGATCCTCGAGGTGTTCATTGAGAGCACTATGGGCGTATTGCGCGAGGACATGACGCAGATCGCATTCCCGGGTCTGCCTACCTTGAGCTATCCCGAGATCCACTCGGAGTCCATCCCCGAACTCACGTTCTACCGCACGGCTCAGCATCTGTTAGCTGCCTGTGGCGTGCACGACTTTGGCCTGCGTGACGTGCTGCATCCGACGCCGAAGCGCGTGCGGCGGCAGCTCAGTGCACTCATTAACTTTGCCAAGTTCCGTGAAGAGCGTCTTGTGGTTTTTAGCGACATTGCGGGAAGAACGGACGAGCTGCTGGCAATGAAGAAGACGCTGCGCGAGGAGAAGGCAGCGCTGCAGCGAGAACTGGGGCAGCTGCTTGAAGAACAAAAGGCCGAGGAACCGGCGCGGCTGGAGTTGCAGACGGAGGTGGCTGAGCTGCAGAAGGAGATTGACAAATTTAATCGACAGCAGGCAGTGCTGCGTCACGACAAGGACGAGAAACGGGACTTGCGCAAGAAGTTGGAAGACACTGTAGCATCCGCGAGGTTTAACAAGGTCGAGATGGAGGAGGAGATCGAGCGGTTGAAGGCGCTGATTGTGACGTCACCTGATCGAGTGAAAGGAGAGTTGACGACTATTGCTGAGGCGCTGGAGAAAGCCAAGGACGACGTGCTCGAGCTCGAAGAAAAACGAGGCGCTGTGCTGGGATTCATTGATGTGTATGAGCGAGCGGAGAAGGAGCTGGCGAGGACGTTTACACTGCTGGGTGAGATTGAACAAGAGATAGAAGCATGCAAGCAAGTCAAACATCAGGTGAAGAACGCCCGCAAACGTATTCGTGAGCTCCAGGTTCGCATTGCCGAAACGACCACTCGTCGCCAGCGGCTGGAAAAACTCATTGAGCTCAAGAAGCGAGATCTCTGGAAGTATATCGAGGAGGCGCGAGTGACGGAAGAAGCTGCTTCGAAAGCCCTCCAAACTGCTCGGGAAGAGCTACACAAACTCGAGTCGGCGCATTTGGACGTTCGCCAGCGCATTGCTCAGAACACAGATTCTAGTCGCAAAGTGGAGCTCAAGATGAGAGAGGAGGAAGTCCAGTACCAGAAAGAGCTGAAGAGCCTGGAGCAGGTAAGCATATGGCCAACTATGTGGTTGTTGTTTGTATGCTGACTCTACCTGCTTGTTACTTCTCTATGTGACCACTACAGATGTACGCGCGTCTTCAGCAAGCTGCGGAAGACTATAATCAGCAAATTCTCGAGGCACTCCACTTAAGTCCTTAGCCTTGACATCTGCTTCGCCCTAGCGTGGCTCAGGTCATATCGAAGCATATTTATTTGCCGTCAACGTCATTAACGTACGTGCGATTGTGCGTCTGCTATATTGTGATGGATTAAATTCATGAAATATGATTTCACACATCTGTGTCTTCTGTCTGCTGCGCAGCGATGATCCGTACGATGATAGTATCGTTTGTCATGTTGACCACTGAGCGTAGACGATCTAGAATCCAGTCCGTGCTCGCGAGGATAGTGAACACGACAGGCACGTCTACACCAAAGACTGTCCGCCACACAGTGAGCACCATCACCAAACCGGCATGTGGCACGCCAGCAACACCAAATGACGCAATGGTGCTTACGAATGCCAACAGGACAAATCGTGAAGGCGTCAATAACGCATCATACCCACCGACTTTTGCCAGAAAGACACAAGCTAGCGGCATATACAAGGCCGTGCCGTTCAGATTACTTGTGGCCCCAAGAGGTAGTATCAATCTCGAGATCTGGAGCGGCACTTCCTTCGTATCATCCAGGCACCGCATAGTGATTGGCAAAGCTGCGATTGAGCAAGACGATCCAAAGATGAATAGCTGTGCTGGGAGCATGTGCCACAAGTGCGTGAAGATGTTCCGCCTTGTTGTTACGAAAAGCGCCAGTCCAAAGATCCCGACAGTAAGCGAAAGCAGCGCCACAATCAAAGTACCGACCAAGAACGCAATGCCTTTGATCAATACCAATGATGAGCTGTAAGTAGCGATTGAGCCAGCAATCAAAGAGACGACAGCAATCGGAGTATACTTCACCACCATATTCACGAGCAAGTGTATCACTGTGTTCGCCTGCGTCACCACAAGAAGAGGATAGTTGTTCACTCCTGCTTCTCGGTCTACACTTTTAATCAGCGCAATCCCCATAACGATCGCGAACACGATCACGCTCAAAGTTGAGGTTCCAGAGAACGAGTGATAGATATTGTTCGGCACGAGGCCCTTCAGGGTAGTAAAAATCTGCTCCGACACGCTCAAATTTGCGCACTCTGTACCAGACATCAGCAAGTAGCCGCTCACGTCCTTCAGCACGAACAAACTGTTAGGCGTCGTGCCATTCATCGAGCTGCATGCAATTGTTCCGTCTATCGTGTACGAGAGGTATTTGCCATCAGCACACTGGAAGCTCAACGACGCGAAAGCTGGCTTTATCGGTACGACAGCACTTGAACGATAAAGCTTCGACATGGCGAAAGCAAACAGCGTGCCGGTGATCGACGATGTGATGGACGCTGCAGCGAATGAGAAGATCATCCGTCGTCCGATAGATGCGGCCTTGCCAGCCTCCACCAGCTCACCAATACAAACAATGACGTTGCAGAACACCATCGGAGTCACTAGACACTTCAGGGCTGCAATAAAGAGGTGGCCAGGCATCGCAAGCCAGTCGGCCCAAGCACCACAAATGTTGTAATGGATCAGCATCACACCGGTCATGAGGCCGAGCGCGGTAGCAAGTCCCACCTGCCATATACTCACGCTCGCCCTGTTATCGTGTAGCGAAGTTATCATGTCTTTCAATTCCTGTTTTCGGCTCGAGAGCGGCTCGTCGATCACACGCGAAGGAGGCCGCGGGCGGTCTCTTGAGCGAAAGTCAAACTGTAGTACCGCACTGCGCGGCGTCAAAGTGGAGACGCTGTCCGAGTCGTACAGGCTCTTCGAGTCGCATAAACTGCTGGAGTCGTTCATGCTATTCATCGCCCCTTCTCAATCTCTTCCTCCTGTGCTCCGTCACTACACTCGCGGCGAAGGCACGATGACGAGTAAAGCAGTCAATGAGATATCGAGTCGTGCGTGCTTGCCGCCTCGTAATCGACCTGGTCAAAACTCGTGATGGTCAGCTCGTCGTTACAAATCATTGCGCTTGCTTGCCAGCGGTGTATTCTCAGCGAGAGTGTCGCCGAGATGTTTGCTTGCTCGCCTCTGCAAATCTACGGATATGTCTTTGCCTGCTCTTTGTCCTCTTGTCGTTACACCCACCACGCATTATCGAGTTTTGCAGCCACCGTTGGCTTATGGAGGATCATCTGCTGGTCGTAAAGAAGGGTCCAATATTTCCAATTAGCTTGGTCGAGCTGTGCATCCGCCTACACACAAGCAGCTCATCGCCGCTGCGAACTCGACATTGCTAGTCTTGCACTGCCATTGTGCATTTTGCATGCTGTAGAATAACGGTAGCGCGAGACCTGACGATACTACACCGCGTTGCTTCTTCCTACGTGGCGGGGACAGGATTCCAAAGGATGCGGCGGCGCTTCTCGTCCGCTGCAAAACCAAAGATAGCAGCGCAGATGCCTCGGTCTAGTACAACAGCGTGTGCATTCAGCACCAGCAAGAACGTGACCTTGCGAGCAATAGGCAGTGGTGTAACGCCTAGTAGCTCATTCGCAAAGGACGCATCCAACCTCATGCAACGGGTCCGATATAGCTGAGTGTAGTCATCATCATCACGCCATCGAGATGTCTCTGCGTCGTCATGCGGCAGATCGATCTCCAGCAGCATCAAGCTTTTGTTAGCTTCTAACGCAGCATGGAGATGGCGGACACCGTTGGCACCAATCTCGTTGTGCGCAACGCGCAATTCTTGCAGCACCGGGATCTGATCTGGTGCTTGCCCACGTAAAGATGCTGTCAGCACGTTCATTGCGTCGGCACCAACAAGGTTGGCGTTCAGGTTCAATTTCCGGAGACTTTGGCCTAAGGTTCCACGCAGAGCGTCGACAAGTAGCTGGAGCTGAAGTATTCTACAGCCTTCTACATCCAGGCTGTAAAGATGCTGACTGCCGGCTAGAATTGCGTCCAGATCCATGGCGGACAGCGCGTTGCGCCGTAGCTCTAACGATCGCAGTTGCCCACGAAAACCTCCAACGAAGCTCTCAAGCGCATCTGTGGTAGTCCGAGAGACAGCCATGTCGTTCATCACGAGCTCCGACAATATTACCGAAGCGCTCTTTCGAGCGTCTTCGGTATGCTCCCACGACATTGCGCATTCTGCCCGAGTCCATGCCACACCAAAGGCTGGGATTAAAACACAGAGCCATGCGGTGTCGCCTGGAAGAGAAGCCAAAACTTCATACTCCATGGATTTGGCCCTCAGACTAATTGCTCTGACCTTTTTCTCAGTGATAAGCAGCCGCGGAGAGGCTTCCGATGGAGACGAGTACAGCTCCGTACTACTGGATAACAGACAACGAACTGCTGTAGTTCGGCCGGGACGCACCTGAAGCCCTACGTCTCCGAGCCACTTTAAGACCGTCGTTTGGTGATCGCGAATACCTTCGAGCCACGCTTCGCTGTCCATCGGAAATAGCGGATTCCCCGACAAGTCCAATCTATGAAGTCCTGGCCTCCGACCGCGACAAATCGTAGGTCGAAGACCGATAGCCAGCCATTGCCAGCAGACTTTGCGGTCAACAGGATCTACGAGCGAAAACGTATGTGCAAGCGAGAGGTCTTCCAGTGCTGTGCTTTCACATCTCAAAGCCGAGCAAACACAGCCGATATGGTGGCAGCTCAAGGAGTTTCTTGCTAATGACAACCGCTTCAATGACGGCCTGTAACCCTCATTAACGCCAATAGCTGCGCTCACAAATGCTTGGAACGACGCCCAGTTCTCTGGTGAAAGTGTTCGGCTCAAAGCGTTTTCCAACACGAGCTCCTCGAGCGACAGCTCACATTGACGCACTCTCGGTCGCCGATACTCGTCTAATAGCTCTGCCAGAGCTATCAACTCGTCCCTTCGCATCGAATTCTCACTCAAGTCGAGCGACGTCACACAAAACCTAACCGAACGAAAATCACGAGCTCGTCGTTTCGGCACCAGCACTGTCGTTAGTCTCTTGATCGTATCCGCCGTCAGTCTACACCGGACGAGCTTCAACACCACCGGAACTAGCCGACTACACGACGCTGTGTCCTTCGTCGCCTTTGCACCTGACGGCCCAGACCGTGGCCGTGGCGGCGTCTCGTGCCGCTGCGCGAAGAACTCTGCTAGAATTTCCAGCAGCTCAGTGGTAAGTGGAAAGCGCGAGAAATCTAACACGAGTCTCGGAAATTGCTCGTGCTGAAGCTTCAGCTGCTGTCTGCCTGTCTTGGAGCCTGTAAGCATGAGATCTGAGGCAAACACTTGCTCCCAAAACGCCTGTTTAACCAGCGGATAGCGCTGCAGCGAGTGCGAGTACTTTTCTACTGTGGCCAATGACTGGAGTGCTTGCAGCACACTGGAAGGGACAACGTGGCGGAAGTTCACTACTAGCGATAGTGACGCTAATTCCCGCTCTGCTGCACTACCATCATCAGGCAACAGACTCAGCAGTCCGCACAATGCAGCAGTTGCGCTGTCACCGAGTGATCGTCCTGCCATTGGCGTAACGAGGTTATCGCGCAACATAGCAACGATATAAGCGACTGTACCTGACACTTCGGTGCACCGTAAACGCACCTTCAGTCGCTATCTGAAAGAGTCTGAGTCTGAGAAGACCACGCAGATGCTGCGAAAGGCCAGTCGGTACCAACTTTTTGTTCTTACTGCAAATGGAAGCAAACATGAACGTGGATTTGTCGTAAAAAGCTGCGCGAACCCATCCATAGTCAATGAAAAGACACACACTTCAGGTGCTGAGACAAGCACTACGTCAACATGAACGGCTTCATCTCGCCTCTGCCGCATGCAAAGTACACGTGCACGTGGAAGAGATCGATCGACCGCGACGAGTTTTCATCGTAGTTCCACTCCTCCACTTGTGGAGCATTCCCCTTCAGCCAGCTGCATACAAACTCCTCGATCTCGGTATCATTCAGTTCATGACAACTCCATAGTGTCCAGTGCTCGACTCCCTCGGGCGTCTCGTACGGAAACATGTTGCGCTCCAAGACAGTTTCGTTGTGGCTTAAGGTCGTCGCGAGGATCAGCTCCTCTCTGGGAAAAGCACACAGTCTGTCCTCCATGTCCAGATGAGTCCATTTAAGCTCAGGACACGCGTCCGTTCGGCGCCAATACTCGGCAACCAACGTCCTTGTCGGTACCTTGTACTGGTGGTACCTTGCAAGTCCTCGAGAGAGGTCTTGATTGACACCAAGAGAGGCACGTACAGAGCTGTCTGTTGCTTGGCTCCGTGGCGACTCGACAGGCAAAAGCAGTCGAGATTAAGCGGTGGCGTTCCGTTTCCTTCCCACTTGCATCGCGTTTGTACCGGCGTCTTGTGCTGGTTGCGCGCAAATTGCGGAATGAGATGAAACTTCAACTTACGTGACCATCATTCTGTAGCAACACTATGTTGAAGTCTGCAAACCGTGGATCCGGTTACGGACATGTCCAAGTAAGAGCCAATCATCTTATTGACTACCAACTCTAGTCTCTACGCCTCCTTCTCCTCGTCAATCTTGAGCGCAGCAACCGCGAGGTAGTGCTTGACAGCCTTCAAGAACGCAGCCATCTTATCCAAGTCCTTTACGCCTGGCGATCCCTTGACCTCCACGCCACTGCTTACATCCACTGCCACGGGGTGACCAACCGATAAGGCCTTTACAACGTTCTTCGGCGTGAGCCCACCCGCCATCAAGCACGGAATCCGCGCGCCAGCAAAGATGGCTGCAATCTTCCAATCAAACGCCACGCCAGTGCCGCCCTGCTGGCCCTTTACTGTGGTGTCGAGCAGAATGTAGTAGGCAAGACCCTTCTGAACCTGCTGGAGAATGACCTCAGCATCAACACCGTCGCTCTGCGCCGTGTCTGGCAGATGCAACGCTCGGATCGTCGGGTACTTGATGCTCTTGCAAATCTCAAAGCCCTCGTCACCATGCAGCTGCACCAGATCCAGTCCAATGTCCTCCGCAGCCGTGTTCATTTCAGCAGCAGTCTTGTTCGCAAACACACCCACGACAAGAGGGGCGCGCGCACAAGCCTCTCGCAAGGCCAAGACATTCCTATAGAACCAGTCACGCTCACCGTCGACGTGTGCCGCCAAGATGTCCGAAAGGATGGAGCCTGCACGCTCGCCGTACTCACGCACGGCTTGAGCAATAGCCTTGGCTTCTTCTTTCCGAACGAATCGAGGCGAGTGTTCCACCAGGATAATGCCAATCATGTTAGCCCCGCTGCGCAAGGCAGCCAGTGCATGCTCTACAGTCGTCACACCGCACACCTTCGCGAGCGGCGGGAGCAACGACAGGTCGCACAACTTGGTGTGGTGCGACTCAGTCTGCATGAGGTTCTTCACTGTTGTCGCAAGGTCGCCGCTCTTCATCAGATACTCACCGACTAAGATGCCACGGGCTCCACACTGTTCGTACTTGACCACATCGGCGTGCGAGTGAATGCCACTGAGCGCAAATAGCGTCACGCCATCACATCCAAGCTCAAAACCTCGTTCACGAACAGCGGCTGCGACTCGAGCAGTCGTGTCCATGTCCACTTTAAATGTGCGGAGATCACGGTTGTTCACACCAATCAACCGGGCTTTTGCAGCTAGAGCGATGTCCAACTCCTGGACACTGTTCACCTCGACCAAAGCGCACATGCCAAGTTTGTGAGTTGTCTGCACGTCATAACAACAGTGTTAGCGATCATCTTTGACTCATCATACCACACCAATCCTGTGTCATTCTCTTACGTCAATAAGCTCATCGAGCTGCTCTTGGGTCAGCAGAGCCACAATGAGCAGCACGCAGTCGGCACCGTATGCACGAGCTTCCAACAACTGGTACACGTCGACAATAAAGTCTTTGCGCAGGATAGCAGGACGTTGGTCCATGCTTTGCACGACTTCTCTGGCCGCCATCATGTCGTCCAACGAGCCCTTGAACCACTTGGGCTCCGTCAGCACGGAGATCATACTAGCGCCTGCATCTGCGTACGCCTTGACTTGCTCTACATACCATACACACAAACGAACGTGTCAAGTGCCATTTCTGCAACGGTATTGCATCAACGAGGGCATTTTTCATGCCACGCACCGCGAAGATTCAGTTCTGTGGCGATATCGCCTTTGCTGGGACTCGCACGCTTGAACTCGGCCGCGAGAGCGATGTCTAGCCAGCCTTTGCGCTGAAGTTTTGTGTGTGATCGTATAGAAATGGCATTAGAAACACAACAAATAGAGCGATGAATAGAGTAAAAGACAGAACACAAGCGCTCGCTCTGCACTCTCAGCTGACGTACCGCAGGCGCGTAGAGGCGGTCGAGCACGCTCAGCGCTGATCCGTAGGTTTCTTCTGTTACTCTGATCTTCTCTACGAGCTCCTCAGCAGATACGGACTGCTTGGCCGCCGCCACGTCCAGACGGCGTTGGGCTGCGATCTCCTCGAGGATGTTGTTGCCCATGCTCTTTGATCCCGAGTTTAGACAAAAATACCTTCGATCGGTGATGTGGCGGTTTTTACTGGTTGTTCCTCGGTATTAGAGTTGCTGCCAGAGTTTTTCGTGGTACTGATATAACACTCGATACACTCTTCTTCATTTTTGTACGCATACCGAGCACACACGAATGTGAATAGGTACAACTTTCACGGTCACGCAAGTGCGACGTGCTCAGCGAATTGACTGCACGGTGAACAAAAGTTTCGGCTAATGTAAATTCGTGTTCACATTTTTGTGTCTGCCTCCATTTCGGAGGCTTTCCGCTTGGCAGGTAACTCGACTTTGGCGTTCTCTACCGATGTCTTGCTCTCCTTAGGACTTTTCAAATTCACCGACTTCAACGATGGCGAAACTATTGGACACCAATGCACAAATCGTTAGCACACTCCTTAGCCAATGCAGAAGCAAACAACAAAGACTCAGTACTGCGACGTACCAGTTGTAATGGCGCTCTCCGTCTTGACCCAGCCACACTTGACGAAAAAGTCGTATACCTGACTGGTTTTGTTCGCATCTGTTGAGAAATGAAACACGCCGGATGAACAAGTAATGACGGCAGTAGCAGCCTCAAGTACCACCTACCTATTTGTACCATCTCTTTGGCCATCTTTTTCGTCAGGTACCCCAAACGATAGCACTCGCGAACTAGTGCGTCTTTTATCACCAAATAATGCTAAAAAAATACAACAACCATAGCTACGTCAGAATGCGCGGACATGGCCCGACATACCACATTACAAATGGCAGGTACCTTTGGAAGCAACTTCAGCTTCCTGCACACCTCCTTCTCCTTTGAAGTAAGTAAATGGCTGCCTGGCGTGCCTTCGATGGAAAAGTCCGTTGCAATCACCTCGAGACCACCTACTCCAGATGCTCTGTTTCTTGAACTGTCGCCACTAGCATCGCCGTTCACGATCTGCTCCCGATTGTGCCACCGGCTGGCGCGGTCGCGGCTGGAAGTCGTACGACCTGACTCGTATAAATAAGCGGCGCTATCGCGCTGCTTCTGTATCGCCTGATCCAGCTCGCGCTTCTTCTTATCTGCATCATACAACTCTGCCTCTGCCAGCGTACGAACGCCATTTTTGCGATACTCTTGTAGTAACATGATCTGCTTCTTCAGTCGCATGGCTGTAATCAAACCTTCCACGAACTTATCGTGTTCTTCTGGGGTCTGAAACCGAGCAAACGGCCGCACCTGTGCGAGCAACTCGCGCTCCTCCTTCGGACGCTTCCGTTCCGTATGCTGATGCAACTTGTAGTCCAGCAATCCGCGTCCCACGACAAACTTCTTGCGCTCCATCCGCTTCTCCAGCTTCTGATTGTAAATCTGAATAACCTTTAGCTTTAACTCCCGTTCCGCTGGATGATCCGTATCCGAAAACTCCATATCTGCCAGAACCACTTCCGCTTCGTTGTCGTATTCCACATCAAAGTCTCCCCGCAGCGGCATGTATCCAGCCAATTGACTGGGTACATTCCTCTCTCCAGACGACCCTCTAGTCGCCTGATCCGATGCTGCATTCATCTCGATTGCTTTCTCCTCCGTCGTCAATTGTAACTTATCTTCTGCTGCGTTCTCCCCAACTTCTTCCTTGCCCTCGTCAATAGCATCGCCAACAAACCGAGGCATCAGGTCCTTCCAGCCAAGGTATGCCGTCAAATAATGTCGTTCGCACTTCTTTTCACTCTTCGTCACCACGTGCTCCGCGATATCTTTCCAGTTGCCCATGCCGAACATCTCAATGCCCTCAAGCAGCAGTAGTTCCTCGTCTGCCGTCCACACTGCACTGGCCGTATCGTTGCCAGCTGCCGTAAGCAAGGCAGCTGCATTGGTACCAACAGCTATTGAAGCAGCTGACATGCTCTCAATGCTCGTCGGAGGCTCGTAAACCACAGGGAAGGCCAGACAGTCCGAGACCGTGTACTTATGGGTCTTCTTATGCTCGCCCAGCTCGACTCCCACGGCAAAGCACTCGACACAGAGATCGATCAACGGCTTTGTATGGCACTCGGCACATGTAATCCGTATGTTACGGGCGAGGTCCTTCTGACAGTTGAGACAGAATTTGGTCTTCATCGCTGCCTGCTTGGCTGGGAGCGGGGCGTCGCTGGTGCTACCTGGAGACTTCGAGGGCAGCTTAAGCTCTGAGGTATCGTCAGCAGTAGCACCGTTCGCGGTCTTGGCCTTGCCTGACTTGTGGCTGCGTCGCACGGACTCGCTCCTGCCTGCCATGTTCAAGGATGACTGTGTCCAGGTGGGTTTTTATGAGGATACGTATAGCTCGAGTGTATACGACGAAGGTTACGCTACTGTATACTCTGGTACGACGTGATTCGAGTGAGCTCGTAACAGTTTTATCAGCGCTTGGAGACTTGATGACGATACCGGTAGAGAAAGCGGTTTTCCGTGGCGCGGGAAAAAACAAGTGTTTACGAACTCGGTAATCATCATCACATGCGATTTCTAATCAGTGATTGCATGACACACTGGAAGTCAAAAGCAGGAGTCACTGCCGGGCTCTGAAGTAACGTGGCTGAAAAACGCAGACTAGAAAACCCGAGTGTCCGATATCCGGACAACAAGCACATCTCCCATTCTAAAACTTTCATGACAAGTCAAGTTGGAAGAAGCGGCGACTGTGAAATGATGTTAGCCAACAGGTGGGTAAATGACGTCTAAGGGTCGTTTTGATTTTGGCTCTTCAAGGTGGATATCGAATCAGGCGACGAAAACTCGGCCGGACACTTGAAGAAGCAAGAAGGTATCGAAGCGCGACAAGAGCTACGTGTCATGCCCGGCGAATTTTTGTCGTTGACCGGTGACGCCATTCCCCGAAAGTAACGAGCCCTTTTCAAATTTGGATGGTACTATTGCGATAGTTCACTGTGCAAGACCAACAGCAGCAGTTTCCAACAGATGCAACCGAGAGGTTCCAATGCCGTGGTTGCAGTTCTACAAGCTTGATGTCCATGATTCTAACATTGTCTACGTGCAGCACGAGTTTTTCCATGAGATCTCCACGTACCTACATTCGTTAGCGAGGTTCCCGTTATCTACTTGCCAAAGCGGCGCTTGCGGCGATTGAACTCGAGAACGATGCCTCGCACGTCGTCTTGTGTGACCTCCGGCCACAATTTGTTGATGAAGATCAGCTCGGAGTATGCGATTTGGAACAGCAGAAAGTTGCTGATGCGCAGCTCCCCTGACGTGCGTATAAGAACATCCGGGTCCGGCAAACCGCTATTGCAGCCAAACAACAAAAGAACTCGTCAGCTAACCGACAAGTTGGTCATCTCAATGTTCCCATCAAGCAAACACGTACGCTGTGAGCATGTGTTGACTGAGCAGATGCTCGGTTATGTCATCGACGGACGTCTCACCATTAACCACTTCAATCGCAATCTTTTTGCAGGCACCTACAATCTCATCACGCGCACCGTAGCTGTGTCCAGATATTACGAAAGGATGATAAGCTGAACCTCACAGACATTGCCAGTGCCAACACAAAACCAACGGACTGTCATACCTGACGCAGAGGTTGAGACTGAACTTGGTGCAGTGCCGCGTCTCAGTCTCGATCATCTCAGCAACTTTAACAATGTAGCTCGGCAGATTCCGTCCGTCTGATACCAGCACACGTACGCGGACACCCCGCTTCAGCGCTTCCGGCACAATCTTATGCATAAACTGGTTAAACAGCTGCATCAGCGCGTCGACTTCTGCTTTCTCGCGATTCCAATTTTCTACACCACAGCAGCAAAGAAAACATTACACATCTCAGTGCATCACGCTCACATGCACGGCACGTTCATCACACTGCTCAGCCCCTTCTCCCTCACCTGTCGAGAACGCAAACACCGTCAGCATCTTCATACCCGCGTCCATACACCAATCAGTAAACTGCACGAGCGTCTTGCTGCCATCCGCGTGTCCTCTCACCCCCTCTCCATACTTGTTCTTTCCATACCGTCGGTTCCCGTCCATAATCACTGCAATATGGCCAGGAACCGTCATCGACATCCTCAGCCCAGCATCCGCATCCTCGGAGCTCCTCTCCTCCACTTGGACAGCTTCACCCACTTGCTCAAGTTCACATAACCACCCCACCATCCTCTTCACTGCAACAGCTGGAAATCCTTTCCAATGCACCGACTTGCCGAGTCGATTCACGCCTGACGCCAGCGAAAAGCTCAGTACCGTCAGCACGACCACGAGCGTGATGGGCATGCCAGCCAGCCACCACATCTCAAAGCCGTTGTAGAACGACCGCGCCAGCCCAAAGTCGAGAGTACCATTCACAATTCCATCGTCCAATTGCGACAGCGTCTGGCACCCCGCGTTCCCACGCCGCCACGCGACGCTGCTCGCGTTGTCGTCCATAGTCAGGCGCTAACTACCGGGCAGGAGGAACACGTACGCAAGTGGCGACTGCGGGCACCATTTCAGCCAATGAGCGTCGAGCTCAGCTCAGCTTCAGCTCAGCCGTAACCCAGTGTACCCTTCGATTCCGACCATGTCGCGATGGCTTCGAATTGGGCGAGCACCTGGTTCGTGGCCGTTTCGACCCCTTCGAAACCCTACTTCATGCCTCCCGAACGCGGTCTTAAACCCACCCAGGTTTAAGGAAGAGGCACGTTTTGTATCAAGTGCACCTGTTTCAGGCTCGAAACGATTCCGTCAGCATGTCAATCCACTTTCAATGGTGTACCACCAACCAATTGAGATTCCTGACTGGACACACCACTTTCGAGACTCTTCGCTGCCAATTCACGTCGATATTGGCTGCGCTCGAGGGAGATACCTCATGGAAGTGGCGGCGTTAGAAGCTATCGAACGGAACTTTGTCGGTGTGGAGATCCGGCGTAATGTACTGCAGGAGGCTGAGCAAGAGGTGAAGCGACGCGGCCTCTCAAATTTGGCATTTGTACATGCTAATATGAACATTCACCAGTCCAGACTGTTCCAGTCGCTGCCTGCACCTGTAACCAGTGTATCCATTCTGCACCCGGACCCGTGGATGAAGAAGCGTCACCTCAAGCGGCGGCTGGTCACTGACGAGTTCGTTGCGGAGATGGCGCACCAGTTGCCGAACGGGACACCGATTTACGTGCAGACGGACGTGGAGGAACTGTTTGCGTACATGGTCGAGGTCTTTGAAATGTCCACACTCTATGACTTTGATGCTCTTCATGAGGCCCCGTTTGGAGTGTCAACGGATCGAGAAAAGTTCGTTTATCAAGATGGAGGTGGCATCTTTCGGGTCAAGTTCATTGTGGATAAAGCAGAAGAGAAGACCGAGACGAGAACAATGATGTCTCCTGATGCATGACTTCTTGTTGCGGAAGACGTGCCTGATTAACTCGATTTCGATACTAAGGGACTTGTGTTTAGTTGGAAATCAGGGACCGCGTGCGTGAAATAACACAGCGCCTACGTCATACTGGGATGGCAGCAGAGCTAGATACTTGGTATTTTGGTGAGAATAGAGGCACTGTCGTCGGTGGCTCGGCTGCCTTCACTTGCCAAAACGGCGCTTGCGGCGGTTAAACTCCACGATAACCTCGTGCAAATCTTCGCGGGTCACCTCTGGCCAGAACTTGTCCATGAAAATGAGCTCTGCGTAGGCGATCTGGAAAAGCAAGAAATTGCTAATGCGAAGCTCTCCTGATGTACGTATCACAATGTCCGGGTCTGGCAAGCCACTGTATGGAAAATGCAACCGAGAACGCAGTGTAAGGATAGCTCAGATAAACACATGCACAGGTGCGTAGGAAGCAAATGACAAGAACGTACGCTGTAAGCATACAGTTGCTGAGTAGATCCTCGTTGATGTCGTCGATAGCCGTCTTACCCTGCACCACCTCGGCAGCAATTTTCTTGCATGCCCCTACGATTTCATCGCGAGCTCCGTAGCTAGATAGAACCACAAGTCCACAAGTCGTTGTTAGTTCAGGAATCGATTGTGCGCTCTGCAGTTTGTTGGAAAATACCTGACACAAAGGTTGACATGGAACGCGTTGCAATGCCGCGTCTTGGCCTCGACCACATCAAATGACTCAACAAGGAATGCCGGCAGCTTGCTTCTGTCGGAGGCAAGCATGCGCACTCGAACGTTGCGGGTGAGAGCTTCACCCAGAGTATCATGGATGAACCCGTCAATGAGCTTCATAAGCGTGTCCACTTCACTTTTCTCGCGCTTCCAGTTTTCTACAAGTACAAAGACGTCAGCACCATCGATAAAAGGTGCGTAGGAACAGTGTCCGCTGCGACAACAACGTACCGGTGGAAAAGGCAAAGACCGTAAGGACTTTCACACCCGCATCAATGCACCAATCGGTGAACTTCATCACGGTCTTGGTTCCATCCGAGTGGCCTCGAGTACTCGAGTCGTACTTGTTCTTGCCATAGCGGCGGTTACCATCGATGATAACTGCGATGTGGCACGGAACCTGTCAGCACCAACCAACCGACCACAAAAGTACTCGATCGTCAATAAGGACAGCAGACCACAAGTACATCTTGTTGAAAAGAGTAAGTCACAACCTCGAGATCGTTCTCCTTTTCGACTGTTGACCTGGTTACGCTGCTGGTATTCGGATCGACGCCCATGATCCTGTGCTACTCAGTGTCGAATTGAAAAATGAGGTCGCGATTCGCGATATTCGTCGAGCTGCTCGGTCTTCGGAGACGGGTGGCGTCGTTCAAGAAACCAAGATTCAAGGTACGATACCCCGTTGTCGACTCGGTAGGACATCCAGCCATGATTGACGTTTGAGTAGGAAAGGCTCCAAATCGGCGCCTGTGGCGTTGCTGAGATCCAGACAATCGAGACCGATCACAGTTCGCTGCGCTCTATGTGGCTGGCCCCTCCCCTCCCCCCCTGGTGACATGTACGTCTTTACCATGTAACTACTGACCGAATAACGATCCGGGAAACGTCTTGGTCACTTCGTGAAGGTGCAACACCATGACTGGAGCTTCTTCTACTAGTGACCGGCTATACGAGCGTGTTGGTGATATAGAGTGTGTCAATGGCTTAGAGTGGGATGGTACTGATACGTCATGTGACAGAAACGACACAGCAGCATTCTGTGTGTGACGGGGCACCCTTTGTTTGGGGTGCCACGAAACTTTACGTACACTAGTACGTGCAGAGGAAGCTAATCTACTTGAACGACTCGGTCAAGTAAAGGTAAAGAACTGTATTTAATATAGTTAAGCTATCAATATAACTTTTATCTTTATCTAACTATAGTAACTACGCCGTCGTATGACGACAGCCTGCTCACCATTCATTGCGCGCGTCTAGCAGCGATTGGTGGCAATCTATGGTTGATATGTCTTATATCGACCAATTTTGGAGCAGCGAATGAATATTATCCAAAAGAGGATAATATTCCTTCGATATTATCCACCCCGGATAATATCGGTAGAATATTGTCATGCTAGACAATATTCCAATTGACATCGTTTGGTGTCAATTTCATGTAACGGGCTACCCCGTTACATCACCCCTCCATTAACCATCAATTATCCGTTGATTGAATTAAAATTGATTGGGACAGGGTGACCACCATTGGATCACTCTGGGAAAGGGAGCACTTGTTGGTCAAATTCCATTCATTTGCCAATCCAACGCATGGTTTAGAAATTCAAGCGAGTTGCTACTGCAGCAGCAAGAATAGCGGCTACACGCATGCGTGCGGCCGCGGAAAGTGCCTCTCACGCCTCAGCAGCAGGCGATTTGTCGCCTGTTGTCGTGAATCTTCCACGTGGTGAATCACCACGTGTAACAGGCACATCCGCTGCGTCTGAAGCGGGTACCACGAGTCGTAATCAAGATGAGTCTGAAATAGAGCGTATCTATTCTGGCAAGTTGGATGATGCATCCTACTCGAAGGCGACAACTCACGCCTCCGGGTCACCCGGGGCGGACACTACAAGAGCCAGGTTGACTGGCTCTGGTCAACATGGCGGTATCATGTCCGAGATCTTCGGATCGAGCGATCATTCTGACAAATCTTCGCCTCACGCAAGTCCACTAAACGATAGGACACGTGGAGATGGTGGTGATGCACCTTTGCATCACCACGAGTGAAGTAACTTAAGGGATCGGAGTAACACTCGTGCCAGTGCTCATGCTACCACCAATCAAGAGTCCAGGGACCCGAATGTCCTTCGCCACGCTCCCCGACTGGAGTCTATATGGATGCCGCCATCCAGAGAGTTGGACCGGTTGGCCTGCACGACTACCGAACGGGATCGAATCCCGTTGTTCGATTTCGGGAAGGTTTGTCCACCAGATATCAGCACAGAACTATCCGTGCTGAGGAAGAGTTCTTTACCGATGCGTTCTTTAAACATCGGTGGTACAATGGTAGCCGTGTTCGGGACGGCAAATCCGTGGTGCCGAGATGGAATGACCTCATAAACAACATCACGTGTATTGGCCGTGATGCTTGGCTTGCCAAACTTGATGCAGCTCGCATCAGATTTGAAAAACGCAACCCAGTCAGGGCGCGATACAAATTGCACCGGCTTTCAAAAAGAGGTAGAATTAATCTGTCTCTCGTGGAATGATTCGTGTCCAGGTTGCCTGGGCAACTCAAACCGTGCCCCTAGGGAGGCTTTCCTCCCTAATGATCCCTACTGGAGGGCGCGCATCTCTTCCAAGATGGCCTAAGGGATTGACACCTTGCAATACCTGTACTCGCGCTCGGGGAGGTCATTTTCCGACGGCCCTTCTACAAACGCAGCGGGTGGGTCTCGTCGTACTGCTCGACGAAACCAAGGACATCAACAATCAGCTGGGCACGAGGCTCCCAGCTGTCCCACGCCGGTGGATAAGCACGCCAGCGGACGAGGTAACTCGTCCGGACGCCATTCACATTGCGGTGGTTCAAAATACGCTCCACTAGGAAGCGTTGACCACCGCTTGAGTCCACCAAAGAATCTGGTGGAGGTGGTAACACCTGATCCGGCTCGAGGGTCGGATCAGCTTGATGCTCAAGAGCTGAACCGTCTAACGGAACAGTTGCAAGATGCCTGGCTCATAAAGATCTCGGCGTTATGGGCTTGAGGATCTTGTAAGAGATAATCACAATTCCCTAACGCACGATCGTTCGGACGATCGTGCCGCTTTTGCATTTGCGCAACTTAAGAACGAACGTTCGATTCGTTCTCTTCGTGACGAGCTGACTGCAGCTCGTCGGGACATCGCTCAACTGCGCAGCAGGTCGCTTCGCTAGTCGGACAGACTGACTCGTTGAAACGGGACCACTCGAATGTGGTCTCGGCTCTCGACCGCGGAGGTGTTCTTCGCATCTCGAAGCGGGCTAGTACTGATAGTACGGGCGGAGACGTCCGACGTAAAGCGTAGGATGCGTACGCATCTTACGGGGCAGTTCAATCGTGTATGCGTTGCCCATTCGGCGCAACAACAAAATGGACCGGTGTGCCTGAGCAGTAATTTACTGCTGCCCACGTTTGTCACTGCGTGCTTCGGTAAGTTTACTGTAGACAGTAAAACTAGGTCTCCTTCATCAAGTGAAAAAAAAACGTTTGCTCTTCCATGTTTGTCTTCGTTTCTTTTCTGCTTGTCTATTGAATCTGCAATAGAATCTTAAACGAAGCGGACAACCGCTTCGCGAGTCAGCAGAACTTCCTCTACTGATTCATCCTTGTCAACAGCAGTGCGCTTCGTGTGCACTGCTGAAAGAACGTTGTCTTCACCAGTGAGGGTATCATCGTCCTCACTTCGGAGGTCATTGGCGATGCTGAATATACCAGCATCGTCGTCATCGCCATCATCGATATCGATCCCATCGGCTTCGGCATTTATCACGTCGACACCATTGTCGACGGGTGATGAGCAAGAAACAGATTGGGTTTTGTTCGAGCGAGCCCCCCCTCCCCCTCAACTAGAGTCAAGAAGAAGGGTAAAAGTGGATGGCGTAGGCCATTCACGAAGTACGGTGTATGCGTTGTCGACGCATGCACCGAGTTGTTGATGGCGAATTCCGTCATCGGCAAGAACTCACTCTAGCTCGTAAACGAGTGGACATACCCTTGACGTATCTCTTCGAGAACGTGGTTGACGCGTTCCGTTTGACCATCTGTTTCGTATGGTCAGACGTTGACGTCGTCAAACGTGTTCCAAGTGAACGGAATACAAATGCCAGAGCTACGCTGTGAAGCAAGGATCCCTATCGGACACGAGGTAACGGGGTAACCCGTGAAGTCGGAAGATAGTATAGATGAAGACACGCGCACAAGTCTGGCTGTGATTGACTCCGGTACGGCAACAAGATGTACCATCTTGCTGAACCGATCAACAAACACAAGAATACCAGTAATCTTGTGAACCTCTTTGGGAAACCCGAAGACGAAGTCCATCGATACAGACTGCCAACACTCTGCCGGAATCGGAAGAGGCTGTAAGGGTGCGCAGGATAAAGGACTAGGCTTCACCCATTGACAAACTTCGCAAGCGCGAATGTATTTCCGCACAAACTCATACTGGCGGGGCCAGTAGAAGTCGCGAATCACCATGAGGTAAGTCTTTACCGCGATGCCCACTTGTTAAGGCATCGTGACACTCGTACATGATGCGCAATCGCAAATAATTATGAGCCGGAACGACGACACGAGGTGTGTCGCCGTTGACTGCTGTATAGTACAGCAGTCCATCACGAACAGAATACCGTTCGGTTGAAGAGCGGTATTGAGACGTCAAGCTTTTCGAGCTTGACTGCATGGATTAGCTACATAATCCATAAATCGCAGAAGAGACTTATCTTCTGCGGATGCTCTTCGCACGTCGTCGATCAGATTCGACGACGGAACACTCACTGTTAGTGCCGTGACAGTGGTATCACCCCTACTGTTGGGTTGAGTAGTCGGCTCGAAATCGGGCCGACGCGAAAGCGCATCAGCGACGACATTGAGTCGTCATGGTTTATACTCGACGGAGAAGTTGTACTCCGCGAAGAAATACAGCCACCTCGCCATTCGTTGCGACAGGTGTGGACTATAATGGCCGTGCGTAACGACGCATGATCGGTATTAACGATGAAGGGTCTATCTCCTAAGAGATATAATCGAAACTTAGCCAGTGAGTATTTCATGGCAAGGAGTTCCTTGTCATGCACCAATTTTGCTCAGCTGCTTGCAGCTGACGCTATTGATAACAGACGACGCGCTCAAGCCGTCTGAGTCGTAATGCATTAACGCGCAGCCGATTGCAAAATCGCTGGAGTCACAGACCACATGAAATGGTTTGTCCTTTTCTGCAATCGCCAACACGGGCTATTGTATCAAGCTTATCTTGATACCTTCAAAGAGGTGCTGACACTCAGCACTCCATGACCACCTCTCGTTTTTCTTTAGCAGACGAGAGAGATGTACGGTCATCTCGGCGTTGTTGCGCGAGTACTTGTGCAAGTACGCCGCCAAGCCAAGGAAATTTCGAAGTCCCTTGACGTCGACTGGCACAGGCCAGTCGCTTATCGCCTTGACCTTTTCCGGTTCAGGGCTTAAACCATGTTTACCCACGATGCAGCCAAGAAGCGGTATCTCATCCGATGCGAATATACACTTCTTGAGGTTCGAAAGAACTCTTGCTCACGCAAAAGTGTAAGAACTTTTTGAACGTGGATTCTATGAAGCTTGGCTATGGACGAAGTCATCGTCGAAGTAACTCGGTGCAAAATCGCGCACCGATCGCAACAGGTTCGTAAAACATCTGTTAAACGTTGCGGGGGGAGTCACGTAGCCCCTGTGGCATCACTAGCCACTCCCAGAGCATACCGCTGGGGGTGCTCACTGCTGTATAAGGGATGTCCCGTTCAAGCATGAGGATCTGATAAAATCCATCCATCAGATCTATGGACAAAAAGATGGTACTTTTTGCCATATCATCTATGATGACGCGTTTCCTCGGTATCGGCTTTAAAGCCGGTACCGTTGCGTGCACTATCCGTCACCCTTCTGTGCCCTTTCGCACACAGAAGGTCGGAAAGATTTGTAAGGATGTTGATTTCTTCACATGACCAGCCGCTAATCGACCGGCAAGTAATTTGTCGATCGCTGTGACCCGTTCACGAGGCAGTCGTTACTGCTTCATGACGCAGTACTTCGAACCGGGTTTCAGTTCGATCTCATGCCGAGTGCCTTTGTCCTTAGGCAGCTAGCACGGAACAGTTTCAGGAAAAACATCCCTAAATACAACCAAATCTTTATACGAAGGATTTGTCTTTAAGACTCCCAAGATTGAGACGTGTATCGATCAATCTGGGTCTTCTCATCGAGGACACTCTCGTCCATAGATGAGCTACTGAGAACCCGTTCGTTCTCAGCAAACACTTGTGCCGACCGAATATCGGCGACGTACTCGTCCTCTGTGACGGGTACGCAGATCTGCTTGATCCTGTCACTACGCAGATCTTACAAGAATCTTTTAGATTATAGCGTTGGCAACTTAAACACCTCCGAGGCTGACTTCGGAGGTTTAACCAGATCAAGTGTATAAGTGCCTACACTAGATCTGTCATTCACCAAAACATTCACTGCCTCGGTGATTTCCTGGGAAAACACATCCGCAGGTGGTTGGGGATCCACACCCTCAACATGACTCTATCGAGTGATATCACGCTCAGGAATGCTAAAGCTTTCTTTCAATACGTGTATTGACTGTGGGTGTACTACCACAGGTACGTCTTCTTCTATCGACTCTCTTTCAGTCATTTAGGCTTGCTCTTCGACCGACTCTCTTTTAATCGATCTCGCTTCAACGTGTTGTTCATCCTGAACAACAATGATCTATCTTCTCGGATGCACCTTTCTTGGTGTGCATCCGTGTTCCAGTCCGCTCGATCTCTTCAAGTGGTGAACCTTCGGTGCACTACACGCTAAAAGGAAAGCATCATCGTACTGATTTCCTTCTAGCGTGTAGTGGATTCCCATTACACGTTTGTTTAATGTTACGGATGCGTCTGTATCGATTCATACCGTTATCCTCGTTGGAGGAATCTCCAGCTCAACATAGTTGAGTCTACTATCTTCTAGCGACTGGCGTCGAATAAAAATGTTTGGCGCCCCACATTCAACCAGGGCGCAAAGTGACATTCCACTTGTCACCTCGATCTTCAAAGTGATGAGAGACTCCTCATCACTAGGGGCAGTAAAACACAGAGACTGCGTGTTGGGAGCAATCTTCGTCAAGTGTCCTGCAAATTCTCTTGACGTTGCAAGATCAGGAGAGTGCTCCGCCCCTACTGACCCTGTCCGTTGTTTAGATGGTCCGACTCGCTGTCGCGGCTTGGCGACATGGTCGGACCCACGCCTCGGACCCTTCCTTGGCCAACGGCGGTCATCACGTCCTGTCTTTTTTTGGACGTGTTGCAGTGCTCGGGACACTACACTCATGATCGTAGTGCTCAATCTTCTGAAAGAGATGGCATCTTGCCGTTCTATTGTGCTCAGAGAGCGAGAATTATCGCTCTCTATATAACAGAGGGCCATTGGTTCGGGACCTCCGGTTTCCTGTCGTCTCGTCGGACGATAGTTGGACGAGTTAGCCTGAGACTGTCTCAGGCTGAAGGCTTTCGCATACGCTGTCGCCCCTTCCAGCGTATGGAAGTCCTCTCGGAACATGTAGGTCTTCACCGGCCCATCCACAAGGCCGTAGATGAACACGTTGATGAGCGTGTGCTCATCAACAGGGTTTTGTGTGACTCTACTCGCAAGGTAGCGCAGGTGCTGTGCGTAAGCGTGCACGTCACGCTTACCTTTCTTTAGCCTCAAGAGTGCAGAGCGTGCTCTGAACTCGGCTCTCGGCGGCTCAAACCTCTCTTTAAGCCGAGACTTCAAGATCTCCAACGACTCCAACACGTTTGGGTCGTGAATCTTGAGCCCTAAAGCCCAAGTCTTTGCCCGTCCCGTCAAATTTGACAGGGCGAAGGCGACTTGCATCTCGTCACCCTTGATGTGACGGGCCCTGATGCATCGTCTAACTTGACGAACCATCTCAAAGAAAATCTTCATCGGCTCCCTTGTACCTTAAGATATCAATCTGCAAGGTTTCGGATTGACGCATGTGCGTCGGCCCGCCCATCGACTGATGAGAGCCTTGCTGTTGTAGCAAGGCTATCTTCTGTCGTTCGACGGCAAGATCCCCTCGTAGGAACTTGTTTATAGCATTATGTTGCTGGTATCTGCTTAGAGACTACAACGTGCCACTGATGGCGGGTTCGCCCATGAGCACACTCATGCGGCCGACTACCTCCCATTCTGAGTCACTCAGATGGGAGTAGCCTTCACGTGTGACGTGAAAGATGTCGTCTTCTACGTCCAACACGTTCATGTTGGATAAAGAGCGAGTAGTCGTTGGACAGACTACGAAGTGCTACCAGATGTAACGGGGCACCCTTTGTGTGGGGTGCCACGAAACTTTACGTTCACTAGTACGTGCAGAGGAAGCTAATCTACTTGAACGACTCGGTCAAGTAAAGGTAAAGAACTGTATTTAATATAGTTAAGCTATCAATATAACTTTTATCTTTATCTAACTATAGTAACTACGCCGTCGTATGACGACAGCCTGCTCACCATTCATTGCGCGCGCCTAGTAGCGATTGGTGGCAATCTATGGTTGATATGTCTTATATCGACCAATTTTGGAGCGGCGGATGAACATTATTCAAAAGAGGATAATATTCCTTCGATATTATCCACCCCGGATAATATCGGCCGAATATTGTCATGCTAGACAATATTCCAATTGACATCGTTTGGTGTCAATTTCATGTAACGGGCTACCACGTCACACTGTGTCACGACGGTGATCGACACGTCATTATGGTCGGTGATTTTGTAGCATTGATATGAATTTGCTTCGAGGTAGTTTCGTCGAACTAAGGACCTAGCTAACATTAAGTCACTTTTGATTTCATCCTCTTCTTGTTGCATTAGATTACGGATCTCTTGACCAACCTCATAGCACAAAAGGTCATGAGCTTAAAGCGTTCGACGCAAATGACATTCTGCGCGAACACAACTACTTCGTGTGGGAGTTCAACGCGAGAATGAGGCTGGCAAAGAAAGGGTTGCTGGAGCATCTAAATGCTATGAAGGCCTCATACGAAGGAGACGCATCTGCAATAACTTGGAAAGTCAACGACATGAAGGCCTTCGCGATCGTGACAAAGATGGTCAGCACAAACCTGCAGTCGATGGTGCGCCTAGATCAATCGACTGCAGGGGCATGGGGCATAATCATCAATTTTTTGCTGCGACAAAGTATGCGAAATCGTGTGCAGCTACGACGGCAATTATATAAGCTCAAGTTGGCCAAGGGAGGAAGCATAACGGATCACTTCCTGCGATTCGACGAGATGTGCATGACTATGCAGGCCGTTGGTCAAGAGAACTCACCAGATGAGAACTTGATGAAACTTTTGGGTAGTCAAGCAAGAGACTATGACCCAATTGTAAAGATTATCGAGAACATGCCTGGAATAGGACTGTTTCGTTCGAAGGATATCCTGAGACGAGAACACGATGGGATGGTAAGAACGGAGCACCATGAAGTTGCTCTGAAGACAACACGTACGCTGAAGTATACGAATAATCCTCGACGATTTGCAAGACGATAAAGTACTGGTCAAAGAGATGGCAAGTTTGCAGGAATATATTACCTGTGTAACAGACATAGTCACAAGCATCAGGATGCGAGGCTGATCAAAAAAGCAAGATGAGATCCAAGGAAACAAGAGCATTTACTGCGTCAAGACGGACGTCAGCTGGGTGGTTATTAGATAGTGAGGGAGGCCAGCAGCACATGTGTCCTAACAAAGATGAGTTCTCAGAGACAGAATCACTGAATTATCGATAATTATCACCATTGCGGACGAAAACAAGGTGGACGATCAAGGATATTTACTGTGCGTATGAAACTACAGACAGGAGAAATAATCAGGATAGAGGAGACACTTTGGGTCCTTAGATTGGACTGAAGATTACTTTTGATTTCGGCATTGTCAAAGAAAAGTCATGCAGATTCCAAACACGTGCTGCGTTCAGTCCGAGCTCATCCTTGCGGACTTGTTGACCAAGGCAATTGACCAGCACGAGGTCGAAAAGTTGCGGTCGCTAGCAGGTTTGCACTAGTTGGTATAGCTGCGATGTGACTGCGAGGAGGAGTGTTGAAGATGGACATGTTGATCATGAGGTACGCTTTCACTATCTACAGTCACATGAAATTTTCTACAAAAGCATCTGGATTGTCCCGGATGATCGGTATGTGTGCGTGACCGTTGATAGTTGATGCAGCGTAAGGAACGGTTGGCAATCAATATATCTAGCACGGATGATAGGCAAGACAACGGGAGACTATGGCGCAGGTTTAACACTCCAGTACAAAATACAGTATTCAATTTACCACTGCCAACACTACACATTTGCTGACAGCCCTACGTGCCGGTCACATGCGGTCTAAACAACAAATCTGTCGTAGTTAGTCCCAGCACGAATCCAGATATAGATGCCGCTGCCGCCGCTATTATTAAAATAACACCATGCGCTTGCTGATGTTGATCTACCACAGCTTCAATCGCTATCACTAATTCAGCTCCGATAAGAAGACTAAACACATATAATGCCACGGAGATACAAGATCCTTTAGTGTGCTTGACAAATATGCATGAGTCTGCCACTAATGATCGAAATCCTACTTCCACGAAAACACAATAGATTGTCTTGAACCATGTCACCGCCGCACGCTTAATCCCATATAGGCTGCGGTTTAATTTTGGCACATTATCGCGACCCGCTTGTATACCCAATGGAGGGTATACGCATGTCTCTTCTTCTAAAAACTTCGTTAGGGAGTGCAGTGTCGACGTCATACTTATGGATAAATGTCCTCTTTTAACAACACACCACCGAAAATACTCGAATTGGATTGAGGCTCGCCACTGGAGAATGTGTATCCACATAATCCACGCCAAAAGTCTGCCTGTAGCCAGGTGCTACAAGTCGTGCCTTAAAACGCTCGATATCACCAAATTTAAAGTTTGATCACAAAAACGAACTTGGCCCCGATCACATTTTCTCTTGGACCTTGTGACTCAATTGTACAGGTATTCTTATTTTGCAATGCCTTTAGTTCGGGTGAAATCCTTGTTCCAATCATCACATTGCGGTGATCTGAGAGCCTTAAAAATCACAAATACGTCGGGGTTACAAATGCTGTACATGCTAGCTCATGTTTAATACGCAGTCGCTTCGTCCCATGTTCGTGACACGCTTTAAGTAATTGTGATTATCATCGCAATACCCATTGATACTAGTGCTTGAGATGATTCAGCTTTGGGTCGAATCAAATGGAACCATGGCAGCATCCCAAAACGATCCGTTCATTGTCTGTTAGATTGTTTTGTCACAATGTGTGTTGATCTTGAATCTGGTTTGCTCGTCTCTTGTACATCTTCGATCATCGACACTTCATCCTTTTCGAACTTATAGTCTGTTTTGTGATACCCTACTTGTCCATGCGTTGAAGTGGTACTTCTTGCTGGTTTAAAAGAATTCTTTCCATGATTCTGCGCAGCAAACGGGTCGTCTATTCGGGGAAGATCTCTAAGGACAGGACCATTTGCACATGGTATGTTGAATCGTATTGTTTCACTCCACAGATATAGAGCATCCAATCAATTGTGTAGCGAAATTACACAGCTTGTTAAGTCAGAGGAAGACTTAGTGCATGAAGAGCGATGTTAGCTCCAAATAACTAGACTCTACGAGTCTACAAGCGTAAAGCTTATGGTCCTTGTTCCAGCGGACCGACCGATTCAGTGAATCTACAGCACTTAGTGCTCAAAAATTGCTACCTCAGGAAGATGTTGCTAACTCTTAACGATCTACGATCAGAGACGCCTCGCAAGGCACGTGTCTTAGACAAGATCAAAAGGTAATCTTTAATTCTATAAAGTATCTTAATTCTAATGCTACCTAATCTAGGCACTCATGTCCTAAATTAGTATTTTCAAGCTCTTTCCTATCCTGTGGCTGACACCCGTCAGCCCCTGTAAACCGAAAAGATATGTTATATCTCTTTCAGTGGCATACCAGCCCATGTGTCCAAGACACAGGGTACCGAAAACCCTACGATGTGTAACCCCTTCACAGGACACGTTGACCTTTTCGCACTTCCTCCCATTACTACGAGGACTTCTTTCCCGTGGTAACATGGCCAGTTCGTGCCGACGGCCTCGTCTCCATCCGTTACTGCAACATCAAATAAGACGTGACAGGGTGACATGACCTTGGTTATCAAGTAAGACGTGACTGGTGACGTGCACTTGAGTACAGCCGAGACGCCTATATGACGACGCACGACAGTTCCCTGCCCTCGCACCGACACGCCGAACCGTTCCTGCTCCTGAACCTGACATCTCGCGACTCTGATATCAGGTCATTTACACAGATTCGTCTTCAAGCATCCTGCCGCAGCTCAAGGCAACGTGAGCCTGGCTCAGACCAATGTTTGCGTTGCCACAGCAGATGTACAGGCGCTTATGATCGTGATCTTGTGCTATGTGAGACTTGACAGACGAGGACAGCTCACTCAGCATCCTGCAACGATTACAGAGCGTCCAGATCATCCTCGTATCGAAATCGCGGTGCACATTTATACATCACAAAGAGCCCCATCCAGGTGGTAGATCCACATTCTCGTAGTACAAGAACAGAACTACCTCAAGTCCTACGAATCCTCTAAACTCTCGACTGTTGCTGCTACAGCAACGGCTCAAATACACAAGCTTTTTCCCATCATCCTACGCTAGCTAAGATCGAGATCATCGTCGTGCAATAGGAGACTGACTGACGTAGCCCATTCTAGCACCGCCCCGTTAGCACATCTTCGGATCTTGTCGGATCTTCTCATGAAAACCACCGGAGCTCTGTCTGCTGCTTCTCCACCTACAAGTGGAGACTGGGCACTGTGGCAAATGGTCGACTCGCTGTATCCAACGGGAGGCTTTGCGCACTCTCTAGGACTTGAAGCTGCAGCGCAGGAGGGACTTGTGCAGGACGCGGTATCGCTACGTGCGTTCGTCTCGTCCTCGCTGCATCAGACGGCCGACTTTGCGCTGCCGCTGGTGTTTTCTTCGCATCAGATCGTCGCATCTGTCACTGACTTCGTCGACTCTGTTCTCCGTCTCAATAGTCGCGCCACTGCGCTCTATTCGAACCACGTTGCACGCAAAGCCTCGTTTGCCCAGGGCTCAGCTCTGCTGAGACTGGCGGTATCAGCGTATGCGCCTACTTTTCCACGCATGGATTTGCTGCTGGAGATCCGTAAAGCGGTGAAGAAACAACAGCAAGAGGGTGTTCACCACGCTGTTCTCTTTGGTGTGGTCTGTGCTTTGCTGGATGTGGACGTCGAGTCGACGCAACGCATGTATCTGTACGTGTCCACGCGCGATGTACTGAGTGCAGCCACGAGATTGAATCTCGTTGGACCTTTGGAAGCGGCGAGGCTGCAGTTTGAAGTGACGCCGTTGCTGGAGAAGGTGTTTCTGGACAAGAAGAACCGCGAGGTGGAAGAGTCGTACTCGTCGGCACCGATATTGGACCTTGTACAGGCCATGCACGATCAGCTCTATACGCGCATTTTCAACAGTTGAGAGTGGTGGAATTTAAGAAGGTGTAAGGATGATTCAATGGTAGTGGGATGTCAAATGGCCATCGACGTTTGCGAGCTGCAAATGTAGCGCAAGTGGGACACCTTTACCGATAGGGACGGCTGAACTTTCTGTCTCCAGCTGCAACTGCCCCTCGTGTCAACCTCGGCTGAAGCGTGTAGGACGGACGACCAATTGATCGACTAGACTGACGTTACGTTGCATCCCTTTTGAGTCTTGATGCAGGTTGATGCAAGTGGTAAGGACGGTGTGAGCGTCCGCAAAGTTGGGGACTTGGAGCTGCGTTGCGATAGGGTAAAGTGAAGCTGCACCTTGGGGAGGTAACAAGCCATGTCGTGGAGACGCAGTCAGTAACAGCGTCGGATCCATTTTTCAATCGCAGCCCATGGTACATGCAAGGCGAGAAGGTTGGTGTTGTAACGTCTTTACATCGATCAGCGGACGAAAGCACTACAGTATGTGGATTAGTCCTGCCGACCACCCCGTCTAAACTGGAAGTTTGTTGTCGTTCAGTTCGGTCCAGGGAACAGTGCTCACGTTCCTTGGGCCACCCGTTGCTGCTCGATTGGCTCGAAGAAACAAGGAAGAAGCAGCTACGGGCAACGGCGCAAATCGTTGCCGACCTACGGATAGTCCAGGTCCCAACCCACTAACGAGTAACAAGAAGCGTGAACGAGACGATTGGCTATGGCCAGAGCGAGCTGGTGCCAGATACATTCAGAAGGCTTCTGGATCGCTGCCCGTAACCAAGCGCTATGCACCAGACCAGTTTGACGGCACTTGAGAATGCATTCTAGCAAAGATTGAGCGTGCAGGAGAGAGCATTCGCACCGGTATCAAGTGGCATGGAGACAGGAAGATGAATTTCGTCAACCCCCGTGTCGAAGTGCTCGCAATGATGAGGAGGACACCAGGAGAAAGGAGGAGGACGAACTCACACTCCAAACTGTGCAGCTCGCACTAGTACAAGCAGCAAAAGGATGCTGAAGATCGATCGATCGATCGATGGATCAGTCGAGGGGAATAGCGTCTGGAGCTCAAAGTCCTTCCTTGTTGAAGTGGCAATCGTAGACCTGTAATTGATGCAGACCGAGGCCATCGCGATGGAGCTGTCCACACTTTGGAAAAGAGAGAAGCGACAACAACAACCGGCAGGCAGGGATCAGTGCGTGTGGATGCCTTAGAGTCCCTCGCACAGCAACTTTGGTAGGCGGGTAAACGTACGGAGGGAGAAGAAATGGCTACACGTATGATCCAGCGACGACGCGGATCGGAAGTTGAGGTACTTGCGAAAGAGGAAGATCAGCTATCGCGTGTGGATCCAAGTCTCATGACGGAGCGTCAGCAGCTGACGTTTCTACTGCGGACAACGTCACACGAAGCATCCCAAGTGACCAAAGAGAAGGCAAAAGACGCGGCTGGCTGTACGGTCGTTGTGTCCTAGGAAGAAGCACCGACGGATGTCGCTCACGCGCCAGTATAAGAAGAGACCAAGTGCAGTGGATTTGAAGCAGCAAAGAATGGCTCAGGAGGACAAGTTGAGATATGACGAGCCGGTCGAGGTGTCTGGATCGGACCATGATGTACCGCGGTGGAATAAAGGAGCACCGTCTTTTGAGAACCGAGAACCGCGCTGTGCGCTGTGCTGCGACTACGAGACGGCTTATGAGGCGTCGTTCTCGGACGTGCTATTTCTCTGTCCCTCGTGCAACCAGAAGTATCCGACGCAATGAGCTTTAGGTCGTCGCGTCTGCACAACGTGAACAACGTTCGAGGAAGATCTGGCAAGGACGAATGGCGGAGAGCTTGCGTGTGGTGATCACTTAGTGAATGGACCCGAACGCAATGTGATGATGTCGCTAAGACCGTGAAGGAGAGGACGACAAAGTGCTCCAGCTTTTACCGCTTTGTTGACGCATGACGTCTACTTTAAGTGACGCCAACGAGAAGGTATCGAGCAGAGAGTTGATGTGCGCACAGGAGGTTTGTAACTGTAGCAATTTCGTTTTCGTCCGGAGCTCTCGTGGGACGAGCTCTCGGCTTTTGTCACTTGGAGTTAACACTCGCCTTCGTATGATGTTCTCGAGGGTGTGTGTGTGTGTATCATATGTAAACAAACGTGGTCAGTGTTAAAACCCAATTTTAAAACTACTTTACGCACAAAAGACACAAATAACACACACGAGTGAGTAGGCGCAAGTCGGGAGCATGCCTCCTGGAAAGAACCCGTCGTACACCAAGCTGGACAATGAGGTACTTAGCGCCTTATAGACATTCATTCCCGTCTCTTGTATGTGGTTGTAATCGCGGACTGACTGCTGACACCGGTTTGGTTTTGTGTATTGAGGAAGCCGAAGGATCAGGACGACGACGACGACGTGGCCGACCACCGACGTGCACAGGAAGTGGAGCGCCAGAAACAGGACGAGAATCTAGACGAGCTGCACTTGGCTGTGAGGCGACTGGGAGATATGAGTCTTAATATCAGTACAGAGCTGGATACACAGAACAAGTGAGTGAGAGAGGGAGGGAGGAGGGCTGCATTTAGTGTGTCGGCGAGCTCTGCTATGTTAACTCTGTTGTTTCTTGTTGTTGTCTTGTTGTTGTTGTTGTTGCTGTGGACAGAATGCTGGATGATTTGAGTGATGACACGGACCGAGCCAAGCAGACGCTGGCGATCGTGTCGAAACAGACACAGGAACTCGTCAAACAATCGGGCGGCGTCAAAACTTTTGTCATTATTGTTGTGCTGGTGCTTATCTTGCTCCTCCTGACGTACATGGTGATCATGACATAAGTCGTGCGCCAGCGTCGTGGTTCCGCAAGTAATAGATTGAGTGAGTGAGGGTCGGCCCGAAGTAACATATACTACTCATGTACACGTCGAAGTAACACACACACACACACATGTGCTTCGCAGCACATGATTTCGTTCATATATGGTGGCAGCTGGCACCAACGTTGGTAGATGAGGCAGCTGCCTCTGCAAAAGCTGATGATTGCCGATTAATGATGTAGCAGCAAAGGATTGACAGGCTTTCATCCATTCATTCATATCGAATCCGTCACACGCCTACAACAAGACATGCCGATCGTTTCTCCTGGCAATGCACCATTTGCACTTCTTCACCTGACATCGCATTATCTTCCATTACTCCCTCCACTGTTTCTGCTCGCTTCATCGCTTTTCTTTTCATCATTTTTTCATCGTTTTCTCGCCCTGCTATGTCATGCAGACACGACCAAGTGTTTGCTGCGTCGGGTACTTCTGATCGCACGCCGGACACAGGAAAAGCGGCGCATCGCAGAATGGCTCCAGGTCGCAGCACAGCGCACAAAACGGCGTTCCAGCTGCACTATTCAACATGGCTACATCGCTGGCGCTCGACGGACTGGTCTTTTGCTGCTTCACATGAACGTCCCTGTCCTTCCTCTCTGCCCTGAGCGCTCGACACACTGCCATCTTCTCCGCTCTTAGCCTCGCAGCAACAGCAGCAGCCACCTCTGCATCTGCGGATGGGGTACACCGACTCCTCGGCGATATTCTTGCTGATCGAGGAGCATACGGATGCAAGGTATCCCTTGGCAGCTTAATTGAGTTCTTCGGCGGTCGACCACGACCACAATAAATCACTGGGAGAGCTTCTGGGAACGGCTTCTCCGTCGTCCCACTCACATCTACAACAGGCAGCACAGAAACAACCACAAGCAAACAACATCATACGTCGTCAACACTTCCCCAAATTGCAAGCAAAAGCCGTCAATACACCAGAAAAAAACACTATCCACTCGCTCATCAACGTACAATTCGTACGCGCTTTGCCGCGCTTAACGGCACGTGATCGACGTGGCGCTTCGTCCTCCTCGTCCTCGTCCTCACTGGAACAATCCGAGCTGCTCGAGATACTTGATCTCTCTGACGCGTCAGACGGTGCAGTTGCACGCAGCAGAAAGGCCAGCTGCTGTCGCTCCGTCATCACGCGCGGGTCCAGCGAGTCTTCGGTCGAAACAGCGCGACGGGGGCGCTTCGTGGCCAGCATAGCGAGCGGAAGACACGGACGAAGCGGCTCTTGGGTACAAAGTGGCTCGTCGACGCACCTTGAGGCTCGATAAGGTCGCTCGATGGACGCCAGCGCTGCTGGTCGTGGCTCAAGTCGCAGGCGGCGGCGCTACTATGGGAATGGCTGTTGTTTGTTTTCTATGGCCGAAGGCGCGACGTCTTATTGGTGCGAAACGCCGAAGAGCTACGGACGTGCACCTGTGTTCGCACTAAGTACGATCTGAGTCGACCCAGGTGGGAATAGCTGCGAAAAACCGTCGCAATGTTTTGGGTTTTCGCAAACTGGGTAAAATGAAATGGGCTGCTGTGCTTACAACGTTTTATACGCACTTTTGTGCACGTTACAAAAGACGCATTTTTTTCGAGCGACCGAGCGAGACCTTGGACAGGCGTATTTTTTGACCGACTAGGAACGTTCCGATCGAATGAGGAATCAGCAAGGAGAAGCCAGTCCTCTTCTTATCGCGACTACCATGTCTTTTCGTGCTTGAGTTTGCGCGAGCATCGGGTGTTACACTCCATATAGAGCACGCCAGCATTGGATTGACAAAATAAAACGCCTCCCGAACAATCGACGCGCTTTATCACATCATCTTCAACTTGGAGGCAAAAGGGCTCTTTCTGTTCGAGGCATCTGATTCTGTGTCCACTCAAAAATGCTCCTTTTTTATCCACCGCTATCCGACACAAAAACAGCCGGGTTTTGTACCAGCAGCTTCTCCCCAGTGATTGGCTAAAACTTCGCGCGCTCGATACCAATCGTGGGACCGGACGTGGCGCACTTCCGATCTTATCGCCTTGGCTCGATGGCTGCGCCCGTGTCGGCAACTACGGCTTCAGTACAACCGCCTCCGCCTCAGCGTCACGCTCAGTACAAGAAGAAGATCTCACCGAAACCGAAGTCGAAGGCCGCACCTCTTCAGGGCAAGCTGAAGTCCCGCAAAGTCCGTTCAAAAAAGACGTCGAAGCTCGTTATTGATGCCGCGGACTCTGCCGCCATTGTCGACGACTACCATGACGCTCTGTGGTACAAAGCGGGAGAGGGCGATCTGTTCTTTGCGCACTGGCTCTTGGGTCGCTGTAATGGTGTGGGGGACGCCATGACGCCGCAGTCCGTGGACGTCTTGAAGCGGATGTTTGCGCTGTATCATGTTCAGTGTAGATTACGTCAGGAGCTCTCTCGAAGCTCTAGACAGGAAGTTAATGGGAAGGCAGAAGCTCTAGAGCACAAGAGTGATGTTGAAGAGGCTTTTTGGTCTGTGGAAGAGATTGTGGAGCAGGTCGGAGACGTGCTGAGAGTCTCGAGGTTGGAGCTGATGAAGCAGCAGGAAGCAGCGGACAAGTCCAATACAAAGAGAAGAGGAAGTTTTGAGAGGACTGTTGTGACGGAAGTGGTGGAAAGTGCGACGGAACTGATACTGAGTAGAGCGACAAGGGAAGATGAGGTGCTACTGAGACGTTGGATCGATCTCTTGAGGAAGAAGGATAAAATAGAAACAGACGTGACGACAGGGAGTGTGCGTGAAGCCTGCACCGAAATAAATGCAGGTGATACGAACGTTACAAAACAAAAGCGAAAGAAGCGTCAAGAGAAGATGCGGGTGCGCAAGAAACCGACAAAAACGGCAGAAGAAACCGCTTGTGAGCAAGTCGAGTCATTTCTGACGTTCTTGGTGGAGTCAGCGCAAATCCCGACGCTAGCAACAGCTTCCGTGACAGCGGCACCGTCAGAGGTTGAAAAGACATGGTCATTGGAGCTACAGCAAATCGTGGAATCATCGAGCATTGATCCGCAAGAGGAGGAGCGCCGTTTGCAAGTGGCTCGGGATATTCAGGCAGTCCTTCGACGGGAAGTGAGCCAGTGGCGACATTGCGAGGTGATCCTGTACGGTAGCTCGTTGACTCAGTACGGCTCTAAGAGATCGGATCTGGATATATGTCTCCTTTCTAATGGTCACAGCACCGACGAATGTGTCAATCCATCAGAAGCAGTTGTTGGAAAGCGTGAGCTGCAGCGCTTGATTGACGGAAAATCTGGCGAGAATGGACATGTCCGAAGTGATGCTGGAGCTGCCAGGCAGTTGTCAGATACAGGTGCATTAGTACGAAAGAGCATCGAGAAGCTCACACAAGCACTGAACACACTGGACCGATCGGGCGTGAATGGTGATAAGCTGGCTAAGCAGCAGTATCATCTGGAGTTTTTCTACGACCAAATGCGGCTGCTCCGCAATGCCATCCTGGCTGAACTCTCAAAGCTACCTGAAAGCCACCTGACAAACGAGGGTATGAGTGCACACCTGCAAGCGACCATTGCTGCCAGCAAACGTTGCACTAGCGACCTTTATCGCATACGTGAAATCCTACAACGTGTTGTTAAGTGCGAGGTGCGCCAAGTGATAGTTGGCGCCCGCGTTCCTATCATTCGCTTCTTGCACACACGCAGTGGTTGTGATTATGAGTGCGACCTGTGCTTTGGAAATGTGTTGGCTACGCACAACACGCCTCTTTTGCGTGCGTATGCCTCTTTCGACGATCGTGCGCGCGCTCTGGGGCTCGCTGTGAAGCACTGGGTCAAGCAGCGAGGTATTAGTGACGCGTCGATGGGGTTTCTTAGCTCCTATTCGTTCGTGCTATTGACCATATTTTACTTGCAAGTGGTTCACGTGCTTCCGAATCTGCAAGATCCGAAGCTTTTGGAGTATGCACACGTTGAGCCAGTCTACGTTAATGATGTCAACATCGCTTTTTGCAAGGAACGCGATATTGCTCAAGCCTACCATCAGCTCACGTCATCAGGTGGTATTTCCGAAATGTCGGTGGCACGTCTGCTGGTTGGATTTTTTGAATTTTACGTCAAACAATTCGATTTTGCGAAGCGTGTCGTGACTGTGCGAGCACCAGAGACACCTGTGCTAAAACTTCAACACTGGGGCAGTCGTAAGGCTAAGACATGGCGTTTGAGTATTCAGGATCCTCTGGAGACTGGACGTGATTTAGGATGCGTTTTGCAATTCAAGGGACAGGAGAAAATTATTTGTGAGCTCCGCCGTGCACACAGAATACTCGTCCAAGGTGGAAGTTTCATCGACGAGGTCTGTGCTATCGAAAAATCTGTCGAAGAAGTGAGTGATGCCGGGAAAGCAAAGCAAAAGAATGGAGTTGCTACACCAGCATACAGGGTACAGGGCGACCGACGTCTGCAGCAAGCAGATGAGGACAAGCGTTCGTTCTCGTTGTCGTTAGAAAGCGCTGACGAAGGGTTGACAAAGGAAATGATTGAGCTGTTGTTCAAAGATTTTCAGGCATCGGTCAGCGTTGCCAAGGTGGTAAAAGCGACAACTTTCGATGCTACAGCCGGTGATGATAACGATGCGGGATACACGAGGAAGCGGTGGGAAGTTGAGCTGCAGACGCATGGTAAAAGGTATCCTCGCAAGCTATCCGGTACAACTCGAATAGATTGGGAGTCGGTAGATGGTCGTGGGGGCCGCGTATGGCTTCATCACCAGGCCTTATATGCTACGCCGCCCTGTCGTCAGTGTCTATCGCCCAAGCATGCAACAAGCACGTGCTTGATAAATGGTAGACATGAAGGCGACGACTATGGCGGTGCAGGTGATAGGGGCGGGCAGGTTGACAAGAAGACAGCAGACAGGAATACCCATCGACGTGTTCTTCGTTTAAAGCTGCAGAGTGGTCCACAAGTTACTGTTGTAAAAAAAGAGGGCAGTCGTCGCAAGAAGCAGCAGCAGCAAGATGGGGCTTCAGAGCAAGCCCAGTCTGTAACAACGACGAAGCCTAGCAACAGGCGCCGCGCGAATGAACTCGGCAAAAAGAAGTTTCGTGGAAAGAAGAAACCGGAGACAGAGCAAGTCGCTACTGAATGTATCGGGTTTATGGAGGTTGAAATAGTTGCGGCGTCTGCTCAGGGCGAAGGAGAAGGCGGACCGACAGGTAAGACGCTTCAAAAGAAGAAAAAGTGGCAGCAGCGGGTCTACCGCAAGAGGGATGTTTGAAAGAGAAAGAACAGGCCCGTGACATGGTAGAACCCGGATTGGAACCACTTCTTGGTCTTCTTGACCGCGATGGATTTGTTCTTACTGAACGTACCCGAGGAGAAAATGTAGGCGTACGAAATGTTCATTTTGACATCACGAATTGAATTGTCAGTCTGATGTGCAGCACAACACATAATGGCTCATGTTTTTCCGGTTTCATCACGGCAGTGGATGAACGTATGTTCTCATGACACATCTGTATCTCATTTACAATTATGACTGGCGAGATGGAACAGGTCCGGTGATTTGGGACCGGTCAGACAATCAATCGTCCAGTAGCAACTGACTAAATTTAAGCAACGAGCGGTGCCTGACTCATCTACCTTGCTGTGCTTTTAAATTGCGACAAAAATCCTCCCGCTGCAATCACAAACTCAAGAATTTTCTTCTAAAAAATGCATTTTAATTCTCCGTTTCTGATGGCTCAATTCCAAATAGCGACCTTGTAACGGGGTAGCCCGTTACATGGTATTGACACCAAACGGCGTCAATAGGAAGATTGTCTAGCTTGACAATCTTCTGCCAATATTATCCGAGATGGATAATATTGAAGATATATTATCCCTTTGGGATCTATTCATGCACTGCTCAAAGGTTGGTCTAAAAAAGACATTTCAACCAAGGCTACCATCAATCGCTGCTAGACGATTGGTGGTAGCCTTGGTTGATATGTCGTAATGAGTGGTGAGCAGGTTGTCGTCATACGGCAATGTAGATTAAAATAGTCGGATAAAGACTGAAGTTATCTTGATGGCTTAACTGTATTAAATACAGTTCTCTTTTATGACTTTACTCAAACGAGCTGTTTGAGTAGATAACCTTCCTCTGCACGTACTGTAGCGGAGCTACATAGCTCCTTAAGTCAGAGGAAGACTTAACGCTCTACGAGCAACTTAGTTCTAAAGAACTAACGACTTTACGAGTCAACAAGCTTTATAGCTTCAGATCCCTGTTCCAGGGGACCTAACGATTCAGTGAATCGACAGCACTTAGTGCTCAAGAGTAGCTACCTCAAGGAGGTGTCGCTAACTTTTAGTGATCAGAGATCAACGATCAAGACGGCTCGCAAGCCACGTGTCTTTCAGATCAAAATGGGAACTGATTTTATTTTTGTTAAAGCCTATAAAATATCTTAATCCTACTCAAAGATCTTTCGTATCTAATGGCTGACACTCGTCAGCCCCTACAAACCGATAAGATATCCTATATCACCTTCACAGAAGCGAACCCTCAGGTGTGTAACACCTCTGGTACAAAGTACCATGATTTCGTGCAACCCCGTTACACCCTCCCCCACCAGACTGACGTTTGCCAAAACGTCAATCGAACTCGTGTTCTCAGCGAGAACAGTGCGCGTACGGTGAACCTCACGGTAACGTACGCTCCAGCACGATGTCCTCATCACCAAACGAGTCAAAGGCTCTGTGTGACTACCTCGGAATAGAGGAGGAGGTGGACTATGGTAGCGATACCAGTGTCCGCGATGATACAGGGACAACGTCCGGCTCACTGATGCCTGAGGCACAACTTTCGAACACCCCAAATCCGTTCGCTGAACGTGGAGGTGCAAGCGCGCCGCCAGCGCAGCATGCAGCATCTGGTTCTGATGAGACTATCATCACGAACCCGCTCGATGAGCAACAACAACTGCTTGTTCAAAGAGAAGAAAACGCTCAGCGTTATGCACAGATGACTGCAACCCTTGAACGCCAGCGTGACTATGTGTTCACCCCACCCAGTGTGGAGGAACGTCTGCGTCAAGCGGCCGGCCAAACATTGGCAACGTGGGTCATTGGCCATGGGCCTAAGACTCCTGAGGAGGTGGTGAGCTGCCAGGCACTTCGTGAGAGGTACCTGGAGCCGCACCTAACGACTCAAAGTCAATACAAGGCACGCCTTGACATGCAAGCACGTGGTGCACCAGTTCCACCGATGAAGGGTATACCCATTCTCCTGCTCGCAGGCGAAACAGCGAGTGAAGAAGACGATGCCTTCGTTCACTGGGTGCACTATGTGCGTCGCCTCAGCAACATTTTTGCTCTAAGGGCTAGTGCCCATGCGGCGGATGTGCTTCTCGAACGCAAGCTTCGGTATGATTATGCCAAGCTTAAGGCCAGAGGCCAATTGCGCAAGCGCACGCGCTATGCTTCGGCTACTAAGGTAGCCGCGAGTGCTGGTCAGTCTGTGACCAACAACCCGCCAACCCGCACCACTAGTGGTGGTGAACGGCCTCGGCCTCCAGATGATTATGGCCACGATGCTCAAAAGCCTCCAAAGCATATGGGCAGTCTTGCCGAAGGGGTACCTCAAATTCCCATGAGTTTTCAGACTCAGGGTACCCACGCCACTTTACCAGATACTGGTATTGGCCCTGACGACGACGTCGTTTCAGTAGTCTCTCGACATGGAATTGACGACACCCATGCTCATCGAGCAAAGTCGGTGGCGGCCGGTGTACCGGTGGAGGCCCACGAGAAATTGGTTCTCGAAGTGAAGGGTCTTCAAGAGGCCTTGGGTAAGTCCCAGTGCATGCTGGATGCGATGCAAAGCCGCCTTCAGGCGATGGAGCAAGCTCAAACTCGGAGCGAGGCTCAGTTGGACTTGCTGATTCGTCTACAGCAATCCGGGGCAGTGCCCTTGTCGTCGGCGCAAGCGCCTCCAAGTTCACATGGGAAGGATCCCGGTACGGCTTAAGTAAGCCTACGTAGAACACTGGATGTGTGCGCAATTTGCGCGGGAGGTTTAGCGTATACGCAAGTCCCTTCTTGGCCGTGACCGTAAACGGTCCAATAAAGCGTGGACGCAACTTTGTCTTAAAGACAGCAGACACTACATTTGTAGGTAGATTTTTAGCATTGAGTAGTACTTGGTCTCCGACCTCATAACGTTCAATACAATTTCTGCCTTTGGCATCAGCTTGTTGTTTTTGGGTATCTTGGCTATCAGCCATTGCGTCACACACATGTCTTAAGACATTTAATCGCGTTGCGAGAAACTCGCTTACCTGTTTTTGAACAGTAGCAGGGCTGATATCAGCAAGCCGATCGGCAACCTCTCCCCCACCAAGCCCTGATTCACGTAGTGATAGCGTTAACGGAACGCGAGGGTGAGTGAGACCGTTTATATAGAACGGAGTAAAGCCTGTTGAGGCATGAACAGCGTTATTCAACGCAAACTCAACAACAGGGAGCATTGAGCTCCAACGCCTAGGCGTATCAGCGCAAATACTGCGCAAAATGTCGTTGATGACGCGGTTTACACGCTCAGTTTGACCGTCGGTCTGCGGATGATCCGCTGTGGACATGTCCAACCGAGTGCCAAGCACCTTGAAGATAGACTTCCAAAACTTCCCAGTGAAGCGGGGGTCTCTATCAGAGATAATTGCCACAGGCAAGCCATGTTGGCGAAAGACACGGTCGATAAACAGCTTTGCTGTACCTTCAGCATCAATGCTATCCGGCACAGCCGCTAAGTGAGCCATCTTGCTCAATCGGTCAACAAAGACCACAATACCAGTGCTGCCTTCCGAATCTTTCGGTAGGCCAAACACAAAATCCATGCTCATGGACTCCCAACAACCACTGGGTACCGGCAAACTAGCCAGCGGCGCCGCCGCATGTGCCGAGGGTTTTACCCGTTGACACGTTTCGCACATGCGCACATAGGTGCGCACCCACTTATAAAGTTTGGGCCACCAATAACTTTGGCTCACCGAGCTGTAAGTCTTCTCACGACCGAGATGACCACTTAAAGCAGTATCATGTGCCTCATAGAGGATCCGATACTTTAATTCCTCATCATGAGGTACTACGATACGAGGGTTGTCCTCAATATCCGTGCGATAGCACAACAGGCCATTATCGATGGAATATCGATGTAGCCTCGCACGTAAACGTGCCGACAATTCTATGTCCGAGTCTTTAAACTCATCGCTCCCAAGAGCCCGTAGCAAAGCTACACACTGTTCATCCTTGGCATATGCAGCACGAATTAAGTCAGGGACTGACGACGACAGGGTCGTAACATGAGCAAGCTCATAGTCAGGTCGACGCGATAGCGCATCAGCCAAAGCGTTTTGCTTACCTGGCTTGTACTTCACCTCGAAGTTATATTCGGCAAAGAATGAAAGCCAACGAGCCATTCTCTGTGAGAGATGAGGCGACTGTGTCGCAGTGCGCAATGACGCATGATCGGTATAGATCACAAATGGCTTCGAGCCAAGCAGATGGACTCTGAATTTGACAAGAGCGTACTTCATAGCAAGTAGCTCTGTGTCGTGAACAGGATAGTTCTTTTCAGCAGCTTTCAGCTGTCGAGATTCAAATGCGATGACGCGTTCGCGTCCGTCGACATCTGTTTGTAACAGAGCACTGCCTATGGCAAAGTCAGATGCGTCACAGACGACACTGAAAGGCCGACCAGAATCGGGCAAAGCCAATATTGGCGCATGAAAGAGACTCTCCTTAACTGCTTCAAAAGCATTATGTTCGGTGTTACCCCAACACCAACCCACATCCTTTTTAAGGAGATTGGACAATGGCCGAGCCATATCTGCGTAATTTGCACTGTACTTATGTAAGTAATTGGCAAGGCCAAGCCACTTACGCAAGTCCTTTTGGTTCTTGGGGACTGGCCAATCGACTATGGCTTTTACCTTAGCGGGATCCGCTCGAAGGCCTCGCTTCCCAATGAAGCACCCTAGAAAGGGAATCTCTTCTGCACCAAAGATGCACTTCGATGCGTTCGCATACAGCTTATTCATCCGCATACACCCGAGCACCGCTCGTAAATGATCGATGTGATTATCCACATCTGATCGCCCATTCATTGCACGACTATGGACAAAAATGTCATCAAAGTACGTTTGTGCATAGCCTCGATGAGGTCTGAATAGTTGCGTTACCAACCGGTTAAATGTAGCCGGGGCGTTAGATAGCCCTTGTGGCATAACGAGCCACTCCCAAAGCATACCGCTCGGAGTACTCACCGCTGTTAGCGGAATATCGCTTGCTCGCATGAGCAGTTGGTAATAACCATCGAATAAGTCGAGTGCACTGTACAGTGTACATCCCGCCATATTGTTCTGAAGAACATCCTTTCTAGGAATAGGCGTCTGCGCCGGTATAGTGGCTGCATTAAGCTTATTGTAAGCATGCACAATACGCCACTTGCCATTTGGCTTTCTGACACAAAATGTCGGTGTTGAATGGGGAGATTTACTCTCACGAACCATTCCAGCCGCGTGCTTAGCACGAAAGAAATCGTCAATGACGTCGCACTGTTCTTTAGGCAAAGGCCACTGCCGTGTTACACAGTATTTAGTTCCAGGAACCAAGTCAATCTCATGACGTACACCTCTATCGGGAGGTAAGGCAGAAGGTGGGTTGTGACACACCACATCTTGAAATTCCTTGACTAAAGGATAGAACGGATCCAAAGGATCTTTAAGGATCGAAGATCCACTTCGTGCACTAAGTGCCGCCTTTGTATCCTCTAGGACAGACTCATCCATTAACGAGGAAGAATTTAAGTCAGTATCAGGTCTAATGATTGCTAACTCGGATAACTCTCCTGCCTTCAAGGCCTGGCTAAACTCGCCATCAGACATTTCGTCTAGCTCACACAGAGCGTCCACAGATGGAAGGGTTTCGAGGCTCACATTGCCATTAACCTGACCAGTCACTCCATTAACAAGTGTATATAGTGTATTGCTAATCTCACTATGTGACTGTGAGGACGCCTGGTGCTTTACAGCTGCTACTCGGCGTCTCGATTGTCTCTTCGAGACCTTACACCCCTTAGGGGTCGGGACAATATTGTCCCCATGGTTACTACCAACCATAGTACGCTCTACACGAGAGCTTTTGTCTTGACCGACATTAGGTGTGGTGCCCTCACGGCCGTCCACACTATACGGCGTATCGCCAACAGTGTCATTACTGACATTAGGTGTGGTGCCCTTACGGCCGCCCACACTATACGGCGTATCGCCAACAACGCCATTACCGGCGTTAAGCGTGGTGCCCTCACGGCCGTCCACTCTATACGGCGTATCGCCAACAACGCCATTACCGGCGTTAAGCGTGGTGCCCTCAGGGCCGTCCACTCTATACGGCGTATCGCCAACAGTATCATTACTGACATTAGGTGTGGTGCCCTCACGGCCGCCCACACCATATGGCGAATCGCCAACAACGCCATTACCGACATTCAGTGCGGTGCTCTCACGGCCGACCGCACTCGGTGTAATTTCACGTGCCACCATACACACATCAAAGGAATCACGTCCTTGATCACTCGGCCCTAGGCCAACCATGCTTTCAGCATGCAGTGACTCGTTATCACAACGAGTACCACTCAACGGAGTACGTGCCGTTTCACTAGTTTTAGACGAGCTAGGCTCGAAACTTATGTTTTTAACATTGGAATTAGATAACTCGGACATTCCAATATCCAGCACATTGACATCTTCTGTCAAAGGCTCGCGCCAATAGCGCTTCTGCTGCCTAGCAAAGGTGGGTTCATGACTCTCCAAAGCTTCGCTAGGAACATTGCGCGTAGCGCCTAAGGTCTTAGACCTCCAATCAATCCATGGCTCATGGCGCTCAAGCCAAGCCATACCTAGGATGAGATCATATCTCGAGTCCAAATCTAGGACAAGACAGCGCTCAATACTGTCAAAGTCTAAAAACTTTATACCTAAGTTCAATGGAACTTTAGGCACCGTTACGCGACTTCCAGTCGCTAAACGAACCGTGATAGAATCACCCTCATGCGCTGTAAGCGCCTCAGCATAACGCTGACTTCCCTCAAGGAAACGGCGTCGAGCATAATTGCAAGACGCTCCAGAATCGATCAATATCGACCAAGGCTTCTCGAAGCCCTTAATTTTCGCCTCGGCGACCAACAAGCCAGACTTGTATCCACGCACCATACCCGTAGGTATGGTACTCTTTGGGGCTAAGCCCTGCATTCCTTTACCTTCTAAAGGTGTAACAGAACATAGTTCTTCCCCAGTAGGGCGCCCCGCGCCTACTGGGTGTCGGCATTTCCCCGTGCCATGCCAGACTTCTGACTCGGGCTCGAGTGTTGGCTCGTAGTCTGGCGTTGCTTACGCAAAGGGCAACCAGGCCGCAAGTGTTTAGTGCTTCCGCACGTAAAGCATCGTCTTACAACGTGTTTCTGCTCAGCAGCTTGAAGCTCAGCTTCACCTCCATCTTCAGCATAGCTCAGATCCATCGGTTCCGGCCTATTATAGGCTGTGGTACCCGAATAGTTTGCTCTCACAGAGCGAGGATTGTATCCGTTCCAATCAAGTCTGGCCGACTTGAAGTTATGCTCAGCATTAAGAGCAATTCTCACAGCCTCTTCAAACGTAGAGGGGTGAACCCGAAAAACTTCGGTTCTGGCAATGCCAGTACGTAGACCTTCCATGAAGATAGTCACATGGACTGCTTCAGGCAAAGGGTCAGACTGCATTGCAGCCATGAGCGTTCGCAGCTCTTGGACATAGTCCGATAATTCATTCTTACCCTGGCGGGTAGAAAGAAAGCGTGAGCGCACGCGGTAAGCCTGGTTAGGTGGAGAAAACATCTGTACCAATTGTAACTTGAGCGACTCCCATGTGGGAAACGCTATGTCCACCGACGTGCTACACGTCAAGGCCCATTCTCTAGCTCTACCATCGAGCTTCGAGATAGCCAGCGAGACCTGTTGATGGTCAAGCGTGATCAGACCTGATCTCATGGCCATCTCGATCTCACGGATCCAGAGGATGAGGTTCTCACCCTCCTTACCGGAGTAGTTTTTTACTTCCACTCTAAGTGGACGAGGCTAAGCCTCTTCGTCTGGTACAGACACGTAGCGTGTAGGCATAGCCGACGCTATTTGGTCTTGGACCTGCCCTAAAAGGGTCGCTTCATACTGCGTGAAGCTTTCAACACGTGCATTAAGCACTTCAGGACCTTGTGAAACAAGGAACTCCACGTACTCTGGACCCAAAGATGCGGTCAGCTTATCAAGCGCGACCTTTTGGGCCTCAGATAGGGGAGTGATGTTTTCCATCCTCACAGAGGATCAGTCTTAAAGACTCAGGCGTAGATTGACTACGAGTGCTACCAAGTGTAGCGGAGCTACACAGCTCCTTTAGTCAGAGGAAGACTTAACGCTCTACGAGCAACTTAGTTCTAAAGAACTAACGACTTTACGAGTCAACAAGCTTTATAGCTTCAGATCCCTGTTCCAGGGGACCTAACGATTCAGTGAATCGACAGCACTTAGTGCTCAAGAGTAGCTACCTCAAGGAGGTGTCGCTAACTTTTAGTGATCAGAGATCAACGATCAAGACGGCTCGCAAGCCACGTGTCTTTCAGATCAAAATGGGAACTGATTTTATTTTGTTAAAGCCTATAAAATATCTTAATTCTGCTCAAAGATATTTCGTATCTAATGGCTGACACTCATCAGCCCCTACAAACCGATAAGATATTCTATATCACCTTCACAGAAGCGAACCCTCAGGTGTGTAACACCTCTGGTACAAAGTACCATGATTTCGTGCAACCGCGTTACACGTACTAGTGTACGTGAAGTTTCATGACACCCCAAACAAAGGGTGCCCCGTTACACCTGGTAGCACTTCGTAGTCCGTCCAACGACTACTCAGTTTTTATCCAACATGAACGTGTTGGATGTAGAAGACGACAGCTTTCACGTCACACGTGAAGGCTACTCCCATCTGAGTGACTCAGAATAGGAGGTAGTTGGCCGCATGAGTGTGCTCATGGGCGAACCCGCCATCAGTGGTATGTTGGAGTCTCTAAGCAGAGACCAGCAACATGCCGCTATCAACAAGTTCATACAAGGAGAACTTGCCGTCGAAAGACAGAAGATAGACTTGCTACAGCAGCAAGGCTCTCATCAGTCGATGGGAGGGCCGATGGACACGCGTCGACCCGAAACCTTGGAGATTGATATCTCAAGGCACAAGGGAACCGATGAAGATTCCCTTTTGAGATGGTTCGTCGAGTTAGACGATGCCATCAGGGCCCGTCACATCGAGGGTGACGAGATGCAAGTCACCTCGCCCTGTCAAAGTTGACAGGACGAGAAAAGACTTGGGCCTTAGGGCTCAAGCTTCACGACCCAAACGTGTTTGAGTCGTTAGGGATCTTGAAGTCTCGGCTCAAAGAGACGTTTGAGCCGCAGAGAGCCGAGTTCAAGGCACGCTCTGCACTCTTGAGGCTCAAGAAAGGTAAGCGTGATTTGCAGGCTTACGCACAGCACTTACGCTACCTTGCGAGTAGTGTAACGGAAAACCCTGTTGATGAGCACACGTTCATCAACGTGTTCATCTACGGCCTTGTAGATGGGTCGGTGAAGACCTACATGTTCCGAGAGGACTTCCATACTCAGGAAAAGGCGATAGCGTATACGGAACAAGAAGACTTCAGCCTGAGACAGTCTCAGGCTAACTCGTCCAACTATCGTCCGACGAGACGACAAGAAACAGGAGGTCCCGAACCAATGGACCCCTGTTACATCGAGAGTGAGAACTCTCGCTCTCTGAGTCACAAGCGAATGGCAAGATACCATCGCTGTCAGAAGATTGGACACTACGCTCATGAGTGTAGTGTCCCGAGCACCGCAACACGTCCAAAGACAGAACGTGATGACCACCAATGGTCGAGGAAAGGTCCAAGGCGCGGTTCCAACAATGTCGCTAAACCGCGACAGCAAGTCGGACCGCCAAAAAACGGTCAGGGTCAGTAGGGGCGGAGCACCCTGCAATTCCAGCCCGGTCAAGAAAATTTGCAGGACTCTTGACGAAGATTGCTCCCAACACACAGCCGCTGTATGTTACTGCACCAAGTGATGAGGAGTCTTTTATCACTTTAAAGATCGAAGTGACAAGTGGAATGACACTTCGCGCCTTAGTTGGCTGTGAGGCGTCAAACAGTTCTATTCGACGTCAGTCGCTAGGGGATAGTAGGCTCAACTGTGTTGAGCGAGAGTTCCCTCCAACGAGAATGACGGTATGCCTCGCAACAGGCGCATCCGTTACAGTGAATAAACGTGTAGTGGGAATCCACTAAACTACAGAAGGAAAGCAGTACGATGATGAATTTGTCGTACCAGATTTGGATGAAAAAATTGATGTCATCCTCGGTCTGCCGTGGCTTTAAAAATACCAGCCATGGATCAGCTGGCAGCATCGATCTGTGAAGATGTCGGCCGTTTGTTCATGACATAACTATCTGATAAACGTCCTGGAGCTTCCACATGCGTGTGGATATACTTCGAGTGGGTGTGATGGCCTCACTTCTGGTACAGTCGTTAGTATGGCTGCACAAGACCACAGTGTAGAAGGCTACTGCACTGTGGAAACAGATTCCGGCACCTGTGTAGAGACACAGACTGCACCAAAGGTTCACCACTCGAAGAGATCGAGTGGACTGAACCACGGATGAACACCAAGAAAGGTGCATCCGAGAAGAGAGATTAGTGTTGGTCAGGATGAACAACACGTTAAAGCAAGATCGACTAAGAGAGAGTCGATCGTTGAGCAAACACGATTGACTGAAAGAGAGTCGATCGAAGAGGACGTGACCGTGATAGTACATGTAATGGAAGAAAAATCCAGCGTTCCTGAGAGTGATAACTCCCGAGAGAGTTGTGCTGAGGGTGTGGATCCCCAACCACCTGCGGATGTGTTTTCCCGGGTAATCACCGAGTCGGTGAATGTCTTGGTAAATGACGGATCAAGTGTAGGCGCTTATACACTTGATCTGGTTACACCTTTAAAGCGGACTTCGGAGGTAATCAAGTTAATAACGCTAGAATCAAAAAGATATCTGCGTGGTGACAAGATCAAGCAGATCTGCGTTCTCGTCACAGAGGACGAGTTCGCCACCGATATTCGGTCGGCACAAGTGTTTGCTGAGAACGAACGGGTTCTCAGAAGTTGTTATCGATGGACGAGAGTGTCCTCGATGAGAAGACCCGGATTGAGCTGTATACGTCTTAATCTTGGGAGTCTTTGAAGACAAATCCTTCGTATAAGGATTTGGTGGAATTCAGGGGTGTTTTTATGAATCCGTGCCATGCGAGCTGCCTAAGGACAAAGGCACTCGGCATGAGATCGAACTGAAACCCGGTTCGAAATACTGTGTCATGGAGCAAGGGCCACTTCCTCGTGAACAGGTCACAGCGATCGACAAATTCTTTGCCGATCGCTTAGCGGCTGGTCATGTGAGGGAATCAACATCCCCACACAGCTCTCCAACCTTCTGTGTGCGAAAGGCCACAGAAAGGTGGCGTATAGTGCACACGTTCAAAAAACCGAACGCTGCAACGGTACCGGCTCAAACGCCGATCCCAAGAAAGGACGTCATCATAGATGGTATGGCAAAGAGTACCATTTTTCGTCCATGGATTTGATGGATGGATTCCATCAGATCCTCATGCGTGAACGGGACATCCCTTACACATCAGTGAGCACCCCCAGTGGTATGCTTTGGGAGTGGCTATTGATGCCACATGGGGCTAAGTAACGCCCCTACAACGTTCAAAAGATGTGTTACGAATCTGTTGCGATCGGTGCTAGACTTCGCACCAAATTACTTTGACGATATCTTCGTCCATAGCCGGGATATGGATGGAAAGACGGACGTGAAGGTTCATAAAATTTGCATCCGGAATATTCTTACACTTATGCCTGAGAATAAGTTGTTCGCGAACCTCAAGAAGTGTCTATTCGCAGCGAACGAAATACCACGTCTTGGCTGCATCGTGGGTAAAACCGGTGCACGCCCTGATCCGGAAAAAATCGAGGCGATTAGAGACCGGACTGTGCCACTCAACGTCAAGGGACTTCGAAATTTCCTTGGCTTAGCGGCGTACTTACACAAGTACTCGCGCAACTATGCCCGAGATGACCGTATATCTCTCTCTCGTCTGTTAAAGAAAAACGAGAGGTGGTTTTGGAGCGCTGAGTGTCAGCACTCCTTCGAAGGTATCAAGAAAAGCTTGATACGATCGCCTGTGTTGGCGATTGCAGGCCAGGACAGACCATTCCATGTGGTCTGTGACGCCAGCGATTTTGCAATCGGCTGCGCGTTAATGCAGTACGACTCAGACGGTGTTGAGCGCGTCGTCTGTTTACAATCTCGTCAGCTGCAAGCAGCTGAGCAAAATTATCCAATGCAGGACAAGGAGATCTTTGTCACGAAATGTGCACTAGCTAAGTATCGGGGATATAGCTCAGGAGATAGACCCTTCATCGTTTATACCGACCATGCGTCATTGCGCACGGCCGTAAACAGTCCACACCTCTTGCAATGGATGGAGAGGTGGCTGTCTTTCTTCGCAGAGTACAACTTCTCCGTCGAGTATAAACCAGGATTACTTAATGTCTTCGCTGATGCTATTTCGCGTCGGCCCGATTTCGAGCCGACTGCTCATCCCAACCTGTAAGGGTAATCCCACTGTAGATACACTATCAGTGAGTGCTCCGTCGTCGAATCTGCTCAACGACGTATAGAAATCATACGCAGAAGATGAGTCTTTTCAGCGATTGATGGATTGTGTAGCCGATCCATGCAGTCAAGTTTTGAAAAGCTTGTCGTCTCAATACCGCTCTTCAACCGAACGGCATTCTGTTTGTGATGGACTGCTGTACTATACAGCTGTTGCCGACGACACACCTCGTGTCGTCGTTCCCGATCATTATGATTTGCGATTGCGCATCATGTATGAGTGTCACAATGCCCCAAAAAGTGGGCATCGCGGAAGGGAAAAGACTTACCTCATGGTGATTCGTGACTTTTACTGGCCACGCCAGTATGAGTTTGTGCGCAAATACATTCGCGCTTGCGAGGTTTGCCAACGTGTGAAGCCTATTTCTTCATCCCGTGCACCCTTGCAGCCTCTACCGATTCCGGCAGAGTGTTGGCAGTCCGTATTGATGGACCTCGTCTTTGGGTTTTCCTAAGACGCCCACGAGAATACTGTTCTTCTTGTGTTTGTTATTAGCTTCAGCAAAAAGGTACATCTTGTTGCTGTACCGGAGTCAATCACATCCCAGGGCTGTGCCGTGTCTTCATCGATACTATCTTCCGACTTCACGGTCACCCCGTGAACTCGTGTCTGATAGGTACCCATGCTCCACAGCGGAGTTCTGGCAACCCGTGATCCGTTATCTTGGAACAAGTTTGACTATGTCAACTTCTGACCGTCCCGAAGGAGATGGTCAGACGGAACGCGTCAACCGCGTTCTCGAAGAAATACTCCGAGATTATGTCCACTCGTTTGCGAGTTGGAGTGAATTCTTGACGACGGCAGAATTCACCATCAACAACTCGGTGCATGCGTCGACAACGCATACACCGTTCTTCGTGAATGGCCTACTCCATCCACGTCTACCTGCCTTCTTAGAGTGTGACTCTAGTATAAGGGGGAGTGGACTCGCTCGAACAAAACCCGATCTATTTCTTGCTCATCACACGTCGACAATGGTGTCCACGTGATGGATGCCGATGTCGATCACATCGATATCGATGACGATGATGACGAAGATGCTGTTATACTCAGCATCGCCAATGACTGCTACAGTGAGGATTATGACGCCCTCACTGATGAAGACAACGTTCTTTCAGCAGTGCACACGAATCGCAGTGCTACTAACAAGAATGAATCAGCAGAGGAATTTCTGCTGACTCGCGAAGCGGTTTTCCATTTTGCTCAAGACTCCATTGCAGATGCAATAGACAAGCAGAAAAGATACGCAGACAAACATGGAAGAGCTGATGTTCTTTCATTTGATGTAGGAGATTTAGTTTAACTGTCAACAGTGGATCTACCAAAAGACGCAGTGAAAAATGTGGGCAGCAGTAAATTACTGCCCAAGTACATTGGTCCGTTTCGTGTGTTGCGCTGAATGGGCAACACATACACGATTGAACTTCCCCGTAAGATGCGTACGAATCCTACGTTTACGTTGGACGTCTCCGCCCGTACTATCAGTACGAGCCCGTTTCGAGAGGCGAAGAACACCTTCGCGGTCAAGGGCCGAGACCACCTTCGAGTGGTCCAATTTCAACGAGCCAGTCTGGTTGACTTGCGAAGCGAACTGCCCACTTCGATGAGCGATTTCTCGACTAGCTGCAGCCAGATCGTCACGAACAGAATGAGCCGAACGTTTGTTTTCAAGTTGCGCGAACGCAAATGCGGCACGATCGTTCAAATGATCGTGCGCGAAGTAATTGTAATTTTCCTGTACAATGTCATGAAGCTCCAATTTCCGAGTCCGTTCATGAGCCAAGTCGCCGTAAAACTGATCCGTGGCACATTTCAGTTCCTGAAAATCAAGCTGATCCGACCCTCGAGCCGGATCCGGTGTTCACACCACCACCACATCCTTTGGTGGAATCAAGCGGTGGTCAACGCTTTCTGGTGGGAGGTATTTTGAACCACAGCGACGTGAATGGCGTCCGGACGAGCTACCTCGTCCGCTGGTGTGGCTATCCACCGCCGTGGGACAGCTGGGAGCCTCGCACCAAGCTGATTGTTGATGTCCTAGGTCTCGTCGAGCATTACGACGAGACCCACCCGCTGCGTTCGAAGAAGAGCCGTCGGAAAATGACCTCCCCGAACGCGAGTACAGGGCTTGCAAGGTGTCAATCCCTTCGGCCATCTCGGAAAAGATGTGCGCCCTCCAGTAGGCATCATTAGGGAGGAAGGCCTCCCAACCTGGACACGAATCACCCCACGAGAGACAGGGTAATCCTGCCTCTCTTGACAGCAGGTGCAACTTGTAACAAGCCCCGACTGGGTTGCGTTTCTCAAACCTGATGCGAGCTGCATCAGGTTTACCGAGCCAGGCCTCACAGCCAATGCACTCGATGCTATGGATGAAGGCATTCCATCCTTGCACCAAGGTCTTATCGTCTCGAACACGGCTGCCATAGTACCACCGATGTTTGAAAAATGCATCGGTGAAGAACTCTTCCTCAGCACGTATGGTTTCCGTGCTAGTATCAGGTGGGCAAATCTTTCTGCAATCGAACAACAGGATTCGATCTCGATCGGTATTCATGCCGGCCAACCGGTCAAACTCTCTGGTAGACGGCATCCACGGAGACTCCAATTGAGGAGCGTGGCGCATGACACTTCGGTCTCTGGCCTCTTGATTGGTGCCAGCGTGAGCGCTGACACCACTGACACCCGATCCCTCGCGTTGCTTTGCTCGTGGTGATGTATAGGTGCATCACCACCATCCCCACGCGTCCTATCGTTGGATGGACTTGCGTGAGGCGGAGACTCATCGGAGTAATCACTCGATCCGAAGATCTCGGTCATGATGCTGCCGCGCTGACCAGAGCCAGTCAGCCTGGCTTTTGCAGCGTCCGCGCCGGTTATCCCGAGGCGTGAGGAGTCGCCTTCGAGTCGGATGATGCATCCGACTCGCTAGAATAGATGATCTCTATCTCAGACTTGTCTTGATTACGATTCGAGGTACCCGCTGTAGACGCAACGGATGTACCTGTCGCACGTGGTGACTCACCACGTGGAGGATTCACGACAACAGGCGACAATTCGCCTGCTGCTGAGGCATGAGAGGCACTTTCCGCGGCCGCACGCATGCGTGCAGCCGCTCTTCTTGCTGCTGCAGTAGCAGCTCGCGTGGCTTTTGATACCATGCGTTGGATTGGTAAATGAATGGAATTTGACCAACAAGTGCTCCCTTTCCCAGAGTTATCTAACGGTGGTCACCCTGTTCCAATCAGTTAAAATCAATCAACGGATGATTGATGGTTAAAGGAGGGGTGATGTTACGGGGTAGCCCGGTAAATGAAATTGACACCAAATGGTGTTAATAGTAATATTGTCTAGCACGACAATATTCTACCGATATTATCCGGGATGAATTATATCGAAGGAATATTATCCCCTTTTGGATAATATTCATGCGCTGCTCCAAGACTGGTTGATGTAAGACATATCAACCATATATTGCCACCAATCGCTGCTATACGCGCGCAATGAGTGGTGAGCAGGTTGTCTTCATACGACGGCGTAGTTTAATGTAGTTTGGTAAAGATTAAAGTTGTGTTGATAGCTTCACTATATTAAATAAACTTCTCTCTTTACCTTACTTGATCGAGTCGTTTAAGTAGTTTAGCTTCCTCTGCACGTACTAGCGTACGTGAAGTTTCGCGGCACTCCAAATAAAGGGTGCCCCGTTACATACGCTCTATTTCAGGCTCATCCACATTGAGAGTCGCAGCACCCGCCGCGGACGCAGCGGATGTAGCTATCGCACGTAGTGACTCACCACGTGGACTGTTCATAGCAGGCACCGCCTGTTGCTGAATCGCAACAGCAGGAAAAGGATCACCTGCTGCTGAGGCAAGAGAAGAACTCTCTTCGGCTGCACGCATGCGTGCAATCGCCTTTCTTGCTGCTTCGGCAGCACATCGCATGGACTTTGAAACCATGCGATGAATTGACAAATGAGTTGGAATTTGACCAACAAGTGCTCCCCTTCCCAGAGTGATCCAACGGTGGTCACCCTGTCCTAATCAGTTAAATGTCAATTAACAAGCTACCCCGTTACATCACCTCCCTAACCATCACACACCCTTTAATTAAAAAATATATAATCAACAGTTGATTGATGGTTAGGAGGGCGGTGATGTAATGGGGTAGCTTGTCAAATGACATTTTGACACCAGACGGTGTCAATAGGAAGATTGTCTAGCGTGACAATTCCCTACAATATTACCCGAGATGGATATCATAGAAGATATTTTATCCCCATTTAGGATAGTATTCATGCACTGCTTAAAGACTGGTTAATAAAGACATATCAACCAAGGTTACCACCAATCGCTGCTAGACGCGCGTAATGAGTGGTGAGCAGGTTGTCGTCATACGGAAATGTAGATTAAAATAGTTGGATAAAGACTGAAGTTATATTGATAGCTTAGCTATATTAAATGCAGTTCTCTTTTGTACCTTTTACTCAGCTTAGTCGTAGAGTAGATAACCTTCCTCTGCACGTACTAGTGTACGTGAAGTTTCGCGGCACCCCAAACTAAGGGTACCCCGTTACAGTAGCGCAATAAGTTGGGCCGGTGGCACCTGTAACGGGGCACCCTGAAGCTTGTACTGGTGACAGTACAAGCTACTTATTCTGATAACAGAATAAGGCGGTGCCTCGTAACTTCACGTACACTCGTACGTGCAGAGGAAGACGGTAAGAAGAAGCGAGTACTCGGTTAGAGTAAAAAGTAGAACTGTATTTATAATAGTTAATGTCTGCAATAAATCACTATTTATCTTCATCTAACTATGTCTAAATACAAATGTGTAAATCAGTTATCTGCTCACCACTCATTGCGTGCGTCTGTCGTGGCGCGTCTTCGTTGGTTGATATAATGGCCTATATCAACCAATTAGGAACTACTTGGAAGTGCTACAGAATATTTGTCCTTATGACAATATTCTGAGAATATAACTCTTATAGTTATATTCTATTAACAATTTCTTATAAATTGTTATGTAACGATTCACCCCGTTACAGCACCCACATATTCGAAGAAGAAAATGCGCGAATCGGTACAGCATTGTGCAGGACATCGCAATATTACATACCTCGCGTGCACGCAACCCGAGCCAGCACGTTTTCCAAAACGAATTGAAAAGAAAATAGCAAAACCTGTCATTCCCCAGCGTAGGTATCGCTGCATGTAAGCGCGATGGAGCAACTCGCTACTAATAGAAGTCGGATTTATGAACAACAGTGCGCTATGCGTTTCGATGAACATAGCTTCGAGATCGCGTACGTATGGAAATCGGTATCGGCTAACCATTGCGCTAGAACCCACAAACGAACGAGCGCGAACGAACCTAGAATTTGACAATTGACTTTTTGAAACAAGTGACAAAGATATTTGTTCCCTCTTTTCCTGCCTCATCATAAGCCAATCATGGATGGTTGTATCAAACTGTGGGGGTTTTACAAGAAAGTTGAGAGGAGATCAACGGTTTTTCGATTAATGTTGGATTTTTGAGATTGCAAAATGGGGATAATCCTACCGGTACGACCAGGCAAGGCCGATTTAAGCGAGTTCTAGCACCTAAAAGCTTGTTAGAACAACTGGTGTCGGCAACAAGTTCGAAAAGAGTGGTAAATTCTTCTTCCGATTGATACCGGTTTTTCGTACTTCGGCTATAACATATGAGAGGACAAACGCGTTCGCAACATGTCGAAGTTAACACATGGCTAGGTGACGATTTCGCAGCACACATTTAAATATCGCTTCTATTTCAGCAAGGGATACTGTCAGTAAAGCTCAATTGTTTGTGCCGACGTTAAGTCAGCGGACGCGACGAGATCTGGATCGGCATTTAGCAATGTAGCAAAATAGAAAATCCTTTCATGAGTCGTTACGGTTTTTCTTGAGTATTTGATAAACACCTCGTTACGATGACGGCCCTATGATGAAGTTCTTAGTGTCGACTCTAACCTCCTTTATGTCTCCTTGCTAGTATCTGGACTGACTCACTGTCAGAGTGATAAGCCACTGCACAATTCAGTTAGCCTTCCTTGAACAAGTAGCTGTAGGCGCTCAATGCAGGCGCCCCGCCCAGGTGAGCGTACAAAACATTCGAGCCCTCAGGGAACTCGCCGTTGCGTACCATGGAAAGCATGCCGTCCATTGACTTGCCTTCGTACACCGGATCGGTGAGCATACCCTCCGTACGAGCACATAGACGAATAGCGTCCAGCGTTCCTTGGTTGGGCAGCCCGTACTCTGGTCCACCGAAGCGGGTATCCAGCACGATGTCGTCAGAGGTGATCTCACGCCCCAACTCCACCAGCTCTGCAGTGTTCTTGGCAATACGCAGCACCTGGTTGCGGGTTTTCTCGGGTGTGGCGGACGCGTCAATGCCAATGACCTTGTTCGCCCGTCCGTCGGCCGCAAAGCCGACTACCATGCCAGCCATTGTACTGCCTGTCACGGCGCACACGACGATGTAGTCGAATTTCAAGCCTAGCTCGTTTTCTTGCTGCCGGACTTCCTCGGCGAAGCCAACGAAGCCAAGCCCACCTTTAGGGTGCTCTGAACACCCGGCTGGAATGGCGTACGGCTTGCCACCAGCTTTCTTGACGCTCTCCATGGCGGCTTCCCAGCTTGGACGAATGCCAATGTCAAAACCTGCCGCATGTCTGCGCACATCTGCGCCCAAAATACGCGACAGCTCGATGTTGCCAACCGTGTCGTACACAGGCGCCTCGTCGATGGGATAGTTGACCCAATCCTCTTGAACCAAGACACACTTGAAGCCAAGGTGTGCAGCAACTGCAGCCACTTGACGCGTTTGGTTCGACTGGATACCGCCAATGGACACGAGCGTGTCGTAGCCGCCCTCAATGGCTTCTGGAATGATATACTCGAGCTTGCGCGTCTTGTTTCCACCAAAGGCCAGACCCGAGTTGCAGTCCTCGCGCTTCGCGTACAGCTGGACCTTATTGCCCAGGGTCTTGGACAGACGTTCCAGGTGCTGGATGGGCGACGGACCAGCGAAGGTGAGTGCGTGTTTGGCAAACTTCGAGAGCTTCATCGTTTGTGGTGCTTTTGGAAAGAAGACGGAGAGGCAGGACTGACTTGTAAGGAAGCAGGTCAAATAGGGAATGAGCTGCTTACGCCACACACGGAGCAAAGCTTTTGATGCAACACGGGCCTCCTGCTGCTGGCTGGTATCGGGTCCTTGTGCAAAACAAAGACCATCCACGGGCATGCTTGCTTTCAACTAAAACAAAAACCGGACACTAGAAAAAAGAGGGATTCGAGTCGGATTGGCGTCATCGAGTGGAAAGAAATCGAGAGCGCAGACATGGGACGATCGATAGATCCTTCCGGTGGCGCAAACGTGTCTTGGATTCCATTTGCAACCTACCAAGTGTGAATCAAACGATGCTGAAGTCTTACACATTAGAACGTACATGCTGCCACGTTGGAGCTGCAAACTTGTCGCGATAGCGCGTCGATAGAGATTCGGTTGATTACGGCATACGTACAGTGGTACGGTCCAAAGTTGAATAAGATTTCGAGCATAGAAAGACAGATCTGTCAACAATTGAGAAGGCTCCAGCTCGACGAGTTCAACGCGTCCAACGTAGCCCATAGCTGTGAGCGCATACTCATTAGCAATTGATGGACAACGAATACTACGGAGAGTACAAGGCAAGAGCTGCTTACAAGTCGAATCCTCGCGAGACTTTTGTACGGCAAAGATCGGTAGATTATCGGTCGCTTGATTTATCACCGTACAGGGAGTACAGGGCAGTGTCACCTGCCCTGTACTTCAGCGGAGCGAGTTAAGCTCGTTGTAAGTGTCTGCCACTACGGACGTATGCGTGACGGTGAAACGGAGACGGCAGTCCGGCCGTTCGGCGCTGCAAAGTGTGGTATGATGGAAGGTACATTGTCTGGACCAGCTGCTGATGGACATACATCATACGACGCAAAGCTCTGCATTCCTGAGAATCGAACCAACGCACAAAAACTGAAGATCTACGTTGTGGTCTTGAACACGAAATGATGCTACGAGTCGACTGTTGCCTTGCGGTGTCCTCGATATCGACATGCCCTCAACAACGACAATAGTTCTGGTACGACGCCGTTTAACAGAGCCGGGATGCATTCTCGTGCGGCTATCCGCACAGACACAGCTTTGATGGGTGCTTCCACTGAGTATGTCTCAGAAGAAAAATTATGTTCTGGATGCGATCTGGTCCCCGCTTCGTTCGAACGACCAACAACTGACATACACCCGATACGTCATTGTCGAGGAAGCTGATGCCCCTCTCTGCGATAAAAGTTGCACGATAAGCTTGTAGAAGCGACGGAGCCCGCGTTATCGGCACGCAGTGTGATAGCTGTTGGGTATTCACAAATTCGGATAATGACGGAGAACAGACAACTGCATTCGTGGCTAGTAACAGCTTCAAAAGAGTTCACAACGATGCTAGTGGCTGCGATGTGTAGCAGGCCAGTGTTGCAAGAGGAAGGCGTAACTGGCGAGCGTGTGTGGCGAGAAGTGAGGCTGGAATGTAAACAATCTTCGACAACATGTTCCGGATACGTGTTGTCGATGATAGTTTGCAGTCATTTGATTCTTTTTTGATGGCATTTCTTGCAGTGATCATTACCTGAATAATAATGAAGGGCAGTCATCGTTTGATTGAGCTACACGGCCCTTCTCGATTGTCCCAACGATCTAAATCGATGGAAACTGTGTATCTCACGCAGCAATGATGTCGTGAGCCTAAGCGCGCAATGGCTTCTACTTCTTCCGCTGCCCCTTGACATATGTGACGCTGTACTCGACGACTTCAGCATCATTCAAGCACAGACTGATGTCTGGGTGACTAATAAATTGCCATCACGCGATTTAGTGCCTCGCTTGCTGTGAAGTCTGCCCAAATTTCGGTTAGCACTGTAGTGCAAGCCGCCTCCAAAGAAACGAGCTTCTTCTTGCGAACTATGTCACGACCACATGAAAGCCACGTGCTCGCTTGGTAGCTCGGGCGATTGCTCACTTAGTGGAAAGGGTGGTGTCTATTCTATGAGAATTTAAACTGGCCAATATTCCGATCCACTTGGCCGATCAACGATGCTCTGTGGTACCTATGTATCCCGATATGTGGTATGGTTAAGTTCACGAAAAAGAGCAACATGGTATGGCTATTACTCACTCAGGCTGCATAAAGATCGTTACAGGGTGAACACGTGTGGTTCAACTGCGCAGTCGTGATACGGCATCAGCATGAACTAATATGCTGCCATCTTATCTGGTGATCCAATGACGATACGGAATAAGTGAAAAGCTGCCGTCCAATTCACAAGAATCATATCCGTTGCCTCTTCTTGCACCGATTATACTAAAACAGACGATCCGGTCAAAACGACGACAAGAAAGTCGTTTTGGTGCCATTGCTTAAGTTGCTGATCATAAATTTAAGAGATAATTGCAAAAGGTGACAGGATTAGAAAGGTTTACCAGAACATAGCAGGATATTCTAAATCTAGATACATTTTGGTTTATCGCACAGCCGTAAGCGACGGCTTGGTTGTTGACAATACAGTGACCCTAGGGAATCAGCATGGCACCGACGCTCGATAGAAAAGTCGTGACTTGGTAGCACTGATAACTCATAGAGTTTTTTTCTCGAGTTAAGCGCCGCGATAAGATGACGACACGGGGTCTTCGACTGCAGCCACGTCTCACACGAGCAAATCGTTGAGGTCGTATCGACTTTTCGCTGCTCCGATGGCTGAGTGACACAACAGACGAGGGAGACGTGGCCGTCACTGACTACTGCAATGTATTCTTCAGCTCGCTTCAGCTGGATCCAAAATTCAGCCTCAGCTCGAGGAGTGACCACTCGTCCTGCGTGTATTCACAGTCGTGCGTACTGGTTGCGAGCGTACATATTGCCCAGCAGTATAGTTGCGTAGCTCTTGAATAACTCGAAGGGTAGCACTATTTGGGGTTTATCTTCAACTTCGTTTACGGCTTTTTGATGAACGAAGATACATCAGGATTGAGAATATGCTGTCACGGTCTGGTGAAGCTTTCAAATCCTGTCACCTTTTGCGGTTATCCCGACGATCAAAATAATGCTCAAACGTAATTGTGACGGATGTGACCTCATCAGATCGGGTCATTGTAAACCTACTTCGAGTGACATCTTGATTTCCACGCGTCATTTTGTGCTGTATAAATTCGCATCGCGAGCTCCACGAGACTCGCTTGCAACTGTAAGCACAAACAGGACCATTTTGAACTTTATAAGCTTCTAGACTCTGGCAAGAGTGCGCTGGACGGACCGATCCATTTCAGTTTCTTTCCGGCTGAATTATCGCTGGCCGACTGATCGTTCCTGGAGAACTCGAACTCACAGCCTTTACTGCTACCCAGTACGCGGCCTTCCCATTGCACTACCAGGCAGGTGCAGCACATCTGGAATAGCACTGGCCCTCGTCCTAAGATCTCCATGTCCAAAAGATCATTTCTTGCTAAATTTCTCTTCGCCTGAGCCATACTACTATATGTCTCCATGTTCAAAAGATCATTTCTTGCTAAATTCCTCTTCGCCTGAGCCATACCACCACGTCCCGGAGACTTGTCAGCTCGAAGCAACTCGTTATCCGCCGCTGCCAGATACCACACGTCTTTTAAACTGCACTTCATTCATTGCTGTAACTTGAGACTGCTTGCGCGTCAATAGGAGGGTAATTCGTCGCAACAATTTACAATTGAATACTGAACGACCAGATGTGGGTGAAGACTCAGAGTGCCACATTACATCCACACGTTGCAGGACATTTCAAGTTTTAGCCTTCGTTTACCGCAGGCGCATCTGCTTGCTCAGACCACACCACGATCGGTCCTTTGGATGCATGTCCGTTCCATACTTGTCCAACATCTTTACGGATGCTTTGGACCGCTCCAGTCAATACCATCGCGAATAACTAGGGTACCCAAAACGCTCCAATCTACCCATGTCATTCATATCCTACTATATGGTTGACGCTGGTCAAAAAGACGATGCAGTCGTTCTTTCATTACGTGGTAAGCCTCTCCCAATATGAGCAGCTTGAGGTGCGTAAGCCTGATTTATGTGGAGGCATTTCCAGCTTAAGGCACAACAGTTGCTGCTGAACGCGACTTGAGTCTAGACGCAAACATGACGTGTCCTGGATCTCGGATGCATCATTTCCCCGGTCCGAATGCGTTATTATGCACGCCTTGAATCTAGAAACGTAACGCTGATATTGCTTCTCTGAGCAATGATCTGGACGTGACAAATAAGCAAAAGCGTCTTCAAGTCATCTCGCCTCGTTGCTGTTCTTTCGCTATTGCGCAAGTGGATGTGTGCTTTGCTGTCGCGTTGGCTGGTGAAAGTTATCGATGAAGGCTCAGCAGAATCCACAGTGGCCGAGTAGCTGCGAGTTGTCTACATCGTGACAGCAGTTGTGGTGTGACGGCGATTAAACGAATATGAGCGTCGCTAATTTACGAACGATGGGCCCAGCAGTCTTGACCTCACATGACGCGTTATTGCACCATGTGGCCCAATATTCCAGAACCAGATGCAGCGCTCCTTTCGGTTGTTCCTGACTATATGACCACCAGATCGTTGCGTTCCGTAGAATGAACTTGACGCTGACTCTCCCTTGAACGATAACACCAAGCACTACTGTGGCCCATTCGGATCGGTAATATCGCGACATCAAAGGTGAAAAAGATATGGACGTCTGATGACACTTATAATGGTGACGCCAGATACGAACATCCTTTGCATACTCGTGTATGTGTTCTATATATTCAATCGCACCTGGACGGCGAAGGTCAACGGCATTATCAGATTAAGCACGAGACGGGAAGCAGCAGTGAACGGTACTAATGCATCTTCCGGTGGTCTGAAACCAAGGTACATGATCACTGCTGCGCAGATTGCGTCCAAAGTGATGCGAGGAAAGAGGCGCGTACGACCTCTTATCTCGTTTTGGTGAGGTGATGCATGTTCGATAAACACTGCGCACATCTGTACGAGCAGCGGGTTGCCGACTTTCACACTTGGCACCTTTAGCCATCTGGTTTGCAGCATAGCTCAAGTCGAGGTGGGTTGTCTTGTGGCCCTGACAATTCATGCAAACAGCAACAAATGCCAGTATCGTTCGCGAATGATCCGTTGGTTATGACCTTTGGTCGGATTCTCCAAGACCTTTTCGGTTAAGACGTGATTTTGACACTCTGGGTCTCCTCACCCTATGAACGATATCTCGATAGTCCACAGACGAGCGAGTCGAAGCACTCGGTGAGTGTTTTTTCATCTACAGCTCTGTTTATGCTTCTCTAGGTTACGATCGACACTACCCACATACGCCTTGAAATGCATATAATTTCTCCGACTAAGAAGCTGGAAGCGAGTCTATCATGGCAGCAATCGCTTTGGCAGGTGAAGTGGTATTACCAGCAGGGGCAGCAGACGTTCCAGCAGGTACAGGTTCCGTCGTTGTACCAGCAGGGGCAGCAGGCGTTCCAGCAGGTACAGGTTCCGTGGTATTATCAGCAGGGGCAGCAGTCATTCCAGCAGATACAGGTTGCGTGGCGTTACCAGCGGGGGCAAGACGGGACGACTCGCCGGAAGCAGATCTTGGCAAGTCGTCGGAAGCAGATCCTAGCAAGTCGTCGGAAGCAGATCTTGGCAAGTCGTCGGAAGCAGATCCTGTCAAGTCGTCGGAAGCAGATCCTGTCAAGTCGTCCGAGTCACTTGAAGACGTTAAGCTGTTCGACGACGCGCCCGGGGTAGGCTCATCCGCGGCAGATCCAGACGACGCCGCAGATGCACTGGAAGCTCCCCCTTGGCTCGAGTGATCCACAGCTGTTGAATTTGTGACAGGCAATGACTCGCAGCCGGGGCGGGTAGACTCGATAATCAGCTGCTCAACCTCCGAGTACACCATACCGAACGCCGTGACAGTCGTGTTGGTAGGCTTTCTGGCAGGGATCCACATGAAATCGATGTGGTTGGCCTTCGAGCCAGAGAGCCACTCCCCGCCCAAAATCTGGTACGTCTCGTCGGTCTCGAGGACGTAGTCATAGTCGACTTTGGTCGTGAATTTGTCGATGCGACCAGTAGAGCAAAGGGGACCATTTTCGCCGGACTCGACGACCCAGTAAAAGCGCGTGGTGACCACAGCAATCTTAGTTGCGGCGTCATTGAACGGGTACTTATCCACGTTAAAGTACTTCTTAGCCGCAGCATCAGGTGTCGTCCACGCGAGACGAACAATCTCGTAGCCACGCACGGGCTGATTCCACACCGCGTTGCCGGCGGTATGGTCGATGACGAAGCTCGAGTTGAAGCGGCCCATGATGTTGGTCACAGCAATGTGGAAGAAACCGGGACTAATGTCGCGACGACGGTCGTCGGTGAAACGGCCGTACTCGTCCGTGATGTTCGAAGTCACATCGTTGCCGTTGAACCGAGAGCCCAAGAAGATGGTCGGGATCCTTGCCCCATCGTAAGTCACGGTGAGAAGGGCCTTGATGTCGTATGGCTCAAATTTCGTGCCATTGTGCACGACGACACATCTTGGCTCCGGCTCGAGGATCGCAGCAGATGCCCACGCATGGCAAATACCGAACCAATTCGGAATGCAGTAGCCTGTCTTCTGGCCATACCGCTTGCCACACTCGCTGCCGTCCTTGAGCTCCTTGCAGTCTCTTTTGTGCAAGCATTTCTTGCGATGTTTATGCTTGTCGACGCCGTCCTTGAATGAGATCTTGTCCATCAAAGCCTTGGCATCATGGCCAAAAGCATTCGCGTACTTCTCCGCGGGACTCGGTTGGTTCGTTTTCCACCGGTAGTTGACGCTGTCCATGTACGTTGGCCAGTAGCTGCTTGGCCACGGAACCGGGTCGAGCTGGCACCTGGTGGGAAGGACCGTGATGTCCGTTTCGAGATCAAGACCGAAGAACTTCTCAAGCTTCATCATGTCGTGACTCTTGGTCCCTTCGAGTCGACGACGTCCTAACACCGCAGGTTGGACTTGAGCAGGGTCGAACAGTTCGGGGACTGGTGCCTCAATCGGATTAGTGACGGCGGAACTAGTGAACGATGACTCTTCCGTGGGATGACTTTTACTTGACAGGTACGTCCCGACCCCCGGAAAGGCTTCGTTCATAATGACGATCTCTGCGTAAACGTCGGACTTGTCATTCTCAATGGGCACGGCCTGAACTTGGTGCCCTGCATACACTGCTGCAGCCACTCCGTACACGAGTGGCCAGTGCACCATGTTCAGTGGATCAGCAAGCTGAGGAGACGAGATGAACACGTAAAGTCCGAGCGGAGCTGAACTGAATTGAGGAGCTTGCTGCCGAGCGTGCACTTTGCCGATTGAGCAGCTAGTGCCGACCAGCTCGACGAATCGTTCCTTTCAAGCGTGTTTCGATCCCTCGTGCCAGACGGCACATTCACATGGGATTGGCACAGTGTGTGGCCTCGAGTATGCTCTGGCCGTTCTCTCGAGAGGCAGTTGTCTTGCGCTCGGCAAATCAGGTGGCTCTCGATAAGCGAGAGCTGGGGCAGATTTGTGAGCCGAGCGTTTGCTCGCTTCCAACTGCTACCGGACACTGAAAGCTGTACTGTCTCGGTCCGCGAAGTAATCTCGACCACTCTTTCGACTTGTCAATGCGCTCTGTGGTCGCTGCGTGCAACGTTGAGGCTCTCCTTTACTTCCATCAAAGTGTCCCGAGGTGAGACAACAAGCGCTTGACGTGCTTTCATCTCAATTAGTTAGTTGTCTAGACTTCGTACAGTTGTAGTGAATGCACACGATGAAGCCAAGGTCAAGTGGACAACTCGTTCTATCAAACGCCTTACTGCGGTGTAAAGTCCTGCCAACCGGTCGTAATGGGGACGTTTTCTACGGCTTCATGCAGCGCACCACGCGTTTCTTTCTGGTCTGATCGTCGCCACAAAGGTTAGAGCCAAGCGGATGTCGTTCAATTGAGTCGATTCGGAGTCAAAGCCAGTTTCGCCCGCAACCTGATCCTATCCCAAAGTCGGCGGTAGGCAGGGGAGGCTATCCTGGGCACAACGCCCCGTCAAAACCAGATGAGCGCTCAGACGGTTGTCGATCGTGACGGGCCGCTTTGCGACAAAAGCGAGCGCCTGCTTTCTACGGATTACATGCAGACTGCGATCGCAGCAACCCTGCTACGGGTCCCGAGACATGCTGCTTTGCAGAGGCGACAAACGGAGCAAACGGCGGACAGTTGCCACAACTGCGGCACCGGGTTTCGGTCGCAACGACTCGATGGTATCTCACTGCTGTAAGGTTGGCATGATCCTATTCTTCTTCGGTAGTAATGAGAATCGGGTGGTGATCTAAGCTACAAGTGCATTGCTGCGATTCGAGTGAGGGATATTCGGCGGAGGCCAGCTGAGAGGATGGAAAGAAGCATCAAGTTTTGACTTTCTAGCGGTTGGATGATGAGAGAGGTTCATCACGCACACACACACACAGCAAAAAGTCACACGAAACGATAGGCCTGCACAGAAATGAAGGTTGTTACATGCACAGATGCAATGGGAGGTTACGGCGCAATGTCTGTCAGATTGAGGATAAATGCGCAGCATGCTTCGGGTGGGGCAGCTTGCTTGGACTTGGGACTTGAAATAGTCTGCTATCGACCACGAGAACGGTAGCTTGCAAGGAAACGACTCGTACAGTCCTGCTCTGAATGAATGGTATCTGACTTGTCGCCGAGTTACTACTTGTCCATACTTTCGGCGCGATTCGTGCTTGATTTTCACCAAACATGGAGGTACGTTCAATGCGCGATCAGAAACATTTCAACGCATGCCGAAGCATCTCCGTACTCTTTCTTAGGATTCTTGAACGTGAATCAAAGGTTCGTCTGTGGACGCTACTGCTTGGCCTTGTGAGAATGCCACCGCTTTCATGATAGGTAGATGATGATTGCCGCTGTATGCACACCCAAGCAGGGTAGTGTGTCAAAGTGCGCTATTCGTTTCTCTCGACTGTAATTTGGGTTTTTATGATGCTAGAGTCGGAAGTTCGATCGCGTTGTACCGCTGCCACGTGCCAGTGCTTCGTACCATCTCAATGCACGACGAGCAGTAACTTGGCAACATGCAGTTTATGTTCCTGCCACACCGATGGAATGCAGTCATCACACGAGTACAAGTGTGAGCAGAGTAGAGTCAATTCGGCATTCTAGATGACAAAGCACTTCGGATATCGAGTACACGCTTACACTCTCAGCATCTGCGATAGGCAGCGGAGATTTTCATCATGATGGGATCCCTCCTCGAAGCGAGCGCGACACGATCACTAATATCCATAGCGTAGACAACGCAAGCTAGGTCTTCCCGTTGCTGGAGCACAGCTCGAATGCTCCAGAGTGGCTATCTCGAAAGCAGTGAGGTCAAAAGCGTAGCCGAATTGGCCTCTTCGTGTGATGTTGCCGCTAGAATTCCTGCTCGTACATCTTTACAGCACAGACATTTGCTCACCAACAAACCGGTGCGAAAGCTCAGCGCACAGGTGGAGCTCACAGTTTCGTGAGATTGCTCACGATAATCACATCATGTACGGATGTCGAGTGGAAACGAAAGCTTGCTACGAAGTCGACTGTGCAAGGTCACGCTCAACTAGACCAGCATCACCTTACCGTACAACCTCGACATGCATGCAATACACGGACAAGCCATGCAACCGTACTGGTCTTACATGGACTGCAACGACATCGACCTACGTCTTCTGCAAGTGTTTAACGTCCATTGATTGCGGTGACATCCGGGCCTTTCGACGACACGTCCACACGATACCAAAACCAAAGACATTAACGTCAACGAGACAACATCCAGTCGAGCTTAGTCAACGGGAATCGTTCGTCTCGATTCCTCGCACAACGCGTCACCGACGACATCTGCTCCTATTTGCGTCGTGCACGACATTAGCTACGCACTGTCTTGTCCCTGTGTCAACAGCAGGTAAGAAGAACCTGATCAGCGACCAGCTAGATGCAATCGACGACACAAGTGTCAGCGCAGATGCAGCACAAGTAGCGGCCCTGTCTGTCTTTCCAGCAACTTTGAATCGCGTTCTTTGCGTTACTGATGTCTGCGCCTTTGCGACGAAAATGCAAACGTGTGGATGAGGCGGAAGGAATCGGTGTGGAAATGTCTTGGGACGTCTCTCGTCTTTGCTTGACCCGCGTCCTATTGCTATTAACAACTCTCTCTCGCTACGACGCTCGAGAATCAATCCAATTGTGCCCAGGTCTTTGAAGTCGACTGACAGTATTAACATGCGCCTCTATCTGAGATAGATGCAAGCGAACATATCGAGCGAATGTCGATGGGGATGTTCGGTAATGCGGTATTAATGCAAAGCATTCGCTAGAATACTCGACAAGCGCATCGATCGTCCAGTTTAACGACTGCATTAGCACGAAAGGGACCGAATCCTCACGCCTCGTGCTTCCTCGTGTGCCCATCTTTTTGACGAGATCGACACCAACGTCATTGGAACAAAGATTGACGCAGTCGCGTACAGCAATCACAAATTCCAGTGTGCTAGCCAAGAATATCGCAGCAGGCGCAAAGTAGTGCACGAACGAGCTGCATTGAGATGGAAATGCTGCATGTGTCATGCAAGCTACATGCACAAAGGAAGTTGATCTCAGTTACCGGATACGATACGTGTGACACGCGTGATTAGTGCGACCTTGGGAAGGAATGAACTTGCGACATAATGATCGCCGGCTTGGCACTGATTCCTCTCTTTTTCCTCTTCATCTGCCGCATTTATCATCCCGTTTGTTCTACTCTTGCACTCTAGCGACAGCGCAGCGAAAGTAAATGAGCGCTACCACGTTGCATGATCGATGGGAGCTCACACGGTATGGTGAATCGAGTCGCTGGAATCGCTCAAGGTGCTATGACAGTAGCGGTTGCAACAGCGACATCTATAGCATGCCGTCAATAGTCAAGGCTGTTCTTTTCTGTCACCTTATACCGAACTACGACGCAGTTTCGGTGATTCTGCATCGCGCGGATACCTACGATACCTTGCCGATGTGTTTGTTGTAGTACACGTTGATAGCTATTTGTCGCATTGATGTTGGAAGTAGAGCTGCCAATTGCTTGTCAACAGTGATAAAGCTGTAGGCAGCCGCACTGATGGCGATGCGAGTGCATAGCGCCGAGATCTCGCGTATACGCTAAAGCGCAAAAAGCACGCAACCAAACAAAACATAGGCTGGAAGAGTAGTGTGCAGTTAGCGATACAAAGTCAAACCTTACATGGGTGTTGCACCTGCAGAAATGAACGTTTCTACTTTTCTACTAGGATCTTCGTCATGGAAATCTTCCAGCTTAAGCTTCTTGAAAGTTGTGAATGTAGTAAGTCGTGAGATGCTCTGCATACGCAGATTTCCATCGTAATTATTCCAGCTCAGTGACGTCAGTGCTCAACGTGCCAATGTTTGTGTACGTCAGGGATGGCGTCCGAATCTCGATGCTCACAAAACGCAGACGCTTGGTGCTGCTTCTTCCCTAACTTCTATGAAAGGCGCTTTAGTGGCATGTTCTGGAACATGAGGCCATTGACAAGACCTTCCATTGCAGTGCCGGCCACTGACACCAGCACGACTGACTGCCTGTTCGTAATCTACGAACGAGAAAAGCGCAGGAAACGACAACAGCGCTTTCGACTCCTTCACCTTTCTACTCCGCCATCCACCTGTAGTGTCCAGCTCACCGTCTTTTCCAATACACTCACTCGTGTGCCACAATTCCACACAATGCGCGACATCGTGATCGGCCAGCTCCCTCAAATCGTTACACACCCAAAAGAAGGTCCGAGCGTCCACTCCACTCCAATCCAACAACGTGACGCGTCAAAAGTCCACTTTATTTTGATCACATTTACCGCCTCTCCCCATCGAAATCGGAGCATAATCATTCGATTTCCACGTGTGTAATCGCTGGCCTTCGTCACCAGCCAGTCCCATCGTGGTAGATTTCGCCCCTCCCTCACTGACCCCCCACCACCTCAAACCTGCCAGTGTACAGTCAGGCAGTTGGTATTTCAGGCACATATGAGGTCTCAGGATGACGAGGAGACCCCGCTCGTCGACGCCTCGAGCGCGCGCCCCCTGAATTACCAGGGCCTTACCAGGCACGAGACGGACAAGAGCGTGGACACCGCAGCCGCTTCGCCCCTCCCAAGTCGAGCCAAAGCGCGTATCCGGGTCGGATTAGATGCTGCTGTGCTGGATAATCAGAAGAAGTGGAAGCGCCTTTCGGACATCAAAGACGACAATAGTACGGCCAAGAGCATGGCGAGTGAAGTGCAATTCGAGTTCATGAAGCACCGGCAACAGCTCGCACATGAGCAAAAGACGCGGCTGGGATCCGGGATCCCGACGTACCATTTGGATTCGCCCGTGAATACCGAGGAGGAAGCCGAAGAGGACGTGATTCTAGTTGCTGAGGACTATGGGACGTGTCTCGAAGAAGATCGGTACATTATTGCCGCAGCTTTTATCAAAGATGGTATCCACGGTCGCAAGATTGGCTACCGTCTGGATCGAGATGCCTTGTTGTTGAACGAACTGTTCCACTCCGAGTCGTACCGGATGATGTACATTTTTGTGGTCGCTGCCATGTGTGCTATGGCGTTCGTAGAGAGTCCGGGGGATTTCGACATCAACTCGTATTTGCTCGTGGACTTGCTCTGTCTCTTTGTCTTTGGCGTGGATCTAGCCATTCGATGGTACATGAGCTCGGTCGAGACGCAGCACAAGTACATCTCGAGACAGCCGTGGGCAGTCGTGAGAATGATCTTGCTGCTCGTCACGTGTGCTGACTTGCTCGTGAATCTGCTCTTCCCGACGATCAACCCGTATCGATTTTCTAGAGCGTTGCGGCCGTTCTTTTTCATCGCGAGAGGGAGGAACATCCGCATCATTTTCTCCAGCTTTTTACATGCACTACGAGAAGTTTTGATTGTGCTAGGACTGAGCTTCTGCTTTGTCGCCTTCTTTGGACTCGTGGGGTACCTCATTTTCTCGGACACGAGCGACGCCTCGGATGCCATGTACTTCAATTCGCTCTCGTCGTCCATGTACACCATGCTGCTCATACTGAACTGCATGCCCTACATGCCCAAGAGCATGTACGCGTACTACAAGATGACGCATTGGAGCGCCGTTTTCTTCGTGCTCTTTGTCCTACTCACGAACTTGTTCCTGCTCAAGCTCACTATTGCTGTCTCATACAAGTCGTACAAGAAAAATACGGAGAATATGCTGTACAAGCGTCTGCAGAAGCGCAAGGCCGCGTTGTTTGCTGCCTTTGATATCCTCGCTCAGAATCTAAACTTTGACGACGATGGACCGACGAACCAACCGGGATCTGGTAGCACCCCTCTCAACGCGGCGAGCGACATCAGTCTGGTTTCGGATGCACCCATGTTGAATGCTGCGAATCGGCGTGGATCATCGCGCTTTTTCCTTGGCACGCTTGACAAACGGGCATCTTTCAGTGTCGCCAACCCGAATCCGAACGCCAGCATCGTGACTCCGGCAAACAAGCGCCACATCTCGCTGGAATCATGGATCAGTGTGTGTGAGTACCTCAAGCCTAAATGGACCGCTACAGACGCTGAACTCGTGTTCAACACCGTGGACATCGAGCACGTGGGCTTTCTGGACTTGACGGATTTCTACCAGCTCTGCTCGCTACTCAGTGTAAAGCTTGAGCGTCCGACGCTCATCTCGAACAGCCTGATGCGCCGCTTTTGCACGCCGCGCCAACGCCAGTCTTTTCGTCGATTCCGTGGACAAGTGCGCAGCACGCTGCTGTACGAGGTCCGTTTCTGTGGCCGCTATAGAGTGCTTCTGGCCGAGCTTGTTGTCGGCGTGCTCATTTGTCTCTCCGTCGTTCAGGCGGTGCAAGTGAACAACATCCAGCTGGCCTTCTCTGTGAATGACTCGTGGCGCTTGCTGGGGTTCTTCCTATTGAACCTATTCACGTTGGAGTTGCTGGTGAAGATGTTCGCCTTTGGCTACAATGAATTCTTCACGCGGCCATTCTGCAAGCTCGACTTGGCCGTCGTCAGTGTGGGCTGGTTGTTCTACGTGCTCACGACGCTTTCGAAACCACCGCATATTTCCTTGGTCTTCTACGATATGGCGCTAGCAGTGCGATCGCTGCGGTTTTTGAAGCTGTTAAACTTGTTCCCGCCGTTTCACGAGATCATGTACACGATGAAGGCAATCGTGCCGCTGATTATGCAGCTGCTGCTGGTGATCTTCAGCGTCACGTACGCGTTTGCTATCGTCACACAAGCCAATTACGGGGTCGCATTGCGGGATTTCCCGGCCAGCAAACAATCGATGTCGCCTGGTTGGTATGCACAGCGCGAGGAATTTCAAGCAGAGACGTTCGAGCAGACACTGTTGACGCTATTTGGAGTCGCGAATCTTGCTGGATGGGATGCCGTCATGGACGCTGCTCATGCCGTGACGGGCTCGAACTCGACGTACGTCTTTTTCTTTGCGTACCGCATCACAATGAGCAACATCCTGCTCCCTATTTTCGTTGGTTTCCTAGTCGAGTCGTTTGTCTCGAATGCCAAGACGGTGGAGTCGACGATCCAGACGAGTTACGTGAAGTCGGCGCACCTCATTCCGGTGGACGACGAGGAGAATCGCATGGCGCTACTGGAATCACGCCACATGCTGACTGACACGGATATTGCCAGCGTAGGCAATGCCCAGCTCCTGTCCGCCCACTTGGCTCATCCACCCCATCGTGCAGAGAAGTTGCCATTGTCGCCTGGCTCAGTGTCCGACTCCTCAGCAAGCGAAGTGCGCTTCAAATACAAACGGCGTGGCAGTGTAGTGCACGATCTGATGTTTGACGCGGTCAAGCTCTCGGATGTGAGTCGTCTGTCACTGCAGATGGAGCAGAAGGAGGAGGAGCTGGCGCAGCAAGACATTGAGATCCGCAAGCTTGAAGGCAGCGTGTTGAGCATGAAGAGCCGTCTGAGTCAGTCGCAGCACGTGATTCTGGCCTACGAGTCCAAGCTCGAGCAGCTCAGTGCAGCATTACGGGAGGCACAGGAGCGTCAGGTGGAGCTAGAAGCAAGGCACCACCAGCACCAGCAGCAGCAGCAAGGGTCCACATCGAACGCTACAAGAGAACGAGGTGCTCGTCCGCGTGGCCGCGCGAGTTCATGGAAGCTCTGGACCGCCAACGTCTAGCGTAGCATAGCTGTTGAAGCGAAATGGCTACAACTGAAGTTGGGTTGGTGTGACGCGTCGTCGTCATCACGTTGCTTGTCACGTTCCCACTAAATGCGACCTGCATCCCTCTCGACCAGCTGCTAGCTCTCTCCACTTTCGACTGTAGCCACTTCAGTCAGTCGCTATTCGTCCCCTCGCTCAATTGACTGCAACCATCACTTCCATTCCCCATTTCTCTCCATCTCTCTCTCTTAGTCGTCACTCATTCATTTATCTATTGATGGAGTTCCTCGTGCACAATATCTCGCACTCGGACCTGGTTGTAGAGCTCTCGTGGCTCCATCCGGACAATAAAGACCTCCTCGTCATCCCTTCCACCTCCAGTAACAGCAACAGCCATGCAACGACTGACCCTCTACCGTCAACCCATGAAGCTCGAGCCAGCGTCGATATCGACGGCATCTCCGTGCCCTTGTCAATCCTAGCTCGACCCAAGTACAGTCTCTTCCAGCAAACGAGTCGCCGCATCCTCGACCGCGTGCAGCAACTTCAACTCGAGCAACCTCGAGCGTCCTCCTCCTCTTCCTGGTCGAGTTTGTTGCATACCTGCAACGTTACGAGGGACAAGCGCTCGACACCTTGCAATGCTGACACGCAGCTCCCGATCGGCTTCAACTTGGCAGCCGCTCCCATTGAGCTGAGCAAGTCGGAGCTGTTACGCGATTTCCAGCTACGGACTGAAGGCGACCGCGTGGAGCGCTATTGGGATGGCCGCGTTGGGATCACGGCCGTCTACTTCCCGTTGGTCGCACTCTTGTTGCCAAAGTGGCTGCAAGTGCTGACCGAGTTCCAATCCGAAACCAGTCGACGACTCGTGTACTTGATCAGTGGCGCCGGCATCCCGCGGCATGTCGAGCACGTGGGCAGTGGGAACTCGACCGAGGTCACGGCTCAGCTTCTCGCGTTATTCGTGCATGAATATGACCGTCACGTGACGGTGATTCAAGTCCATTCGGGCTCGAACATCTTCCGCTTTGATGACAATGTGCAGTTCATGACAAGGGAGTTGCGACCGCTGTTGGAAGCTCATCGAGAGACGCTCGTGGATCGATGTGGCGAGACGTGGAAGGCTCATTTTCACGTCACCATTGCCTACGCGGATGGCCCTCCAGCTCGATTGAGTGCACTTAATGCTTCACTACGGATCTATCGCCCGTCGTATCTACATGTGTGGCAGCTCAAGACATTCTGGCACGAGTGGAAAGTATCTCTCATGGACGTGGACTTTCACTCGTTCGAGAACATTGAGGCGTCGCCGTTAGTCGCACCGAGCAAAGCGGATGCACTGACCCAGCGGATTGTCGTCGAGATGAAGACGTTTCGAGACCAGTTCCTTGCAGCTGAAGGACAAGGAGAACTAGCGAGCTTTTGGCTGCGTAAGTCCCGCAAACCTGTACTTGCAGTGCTGTTGATCGAGAAAGCTGCTTCAAGCAGCAATGAAAGTCCGACAGTGGTGGTGCAACGAGGTATGAATTGTGAAGTGTCGATGCCGACGGGTTCGTTATGTGCTGAGCGCAATGCTATTGGCAGTGCATTGGCCAGCGATCCAACGTTGACTCGTCGAGCGTTAAAGATGATTGCCGTGCTAGGCTTGAACCTCGCTGGAGAGGATATTGGCAGCAGCAATATTGTTACGAGTTCGACGCCATTGGTATCTACTGACCAAAGTGAGGAGAGAGTGCAAGAGGACAGTGAGGCTGAGGAGGAGTTATCTCGAGTCTCCACTAGGGCTACTTCTACTTTGGTTGAACCGACTTTAGTATCGAGTCAATCTCGCTCGAAAACTACAGCGGATGTTGACGTGGCGGTCGAGCCTGATCGGATGCAACGGATAGTATCCAGTCCGAGGCTGTCAGAAGACAAAGGAGCAAAGGGATTGATTTTGAGCGACGAATGTGGCCAGCTTTGCAGCAGGGCAAGTGAAGGTTGCGGACATGGGAAGCGCAGTCGAGAGCACGTGGATGACGTCACTTCCAGGTCATTGACGAAACCCAAGCGGCCACGCACGTTTTCGTGTGACGAGTGGATCTCGGACTCAATGAGAGGAGCCAGGGCATTGCCGGATCGGAACCCCTTGGCGCCATGTGGGGCATGCAAGGAATGGCTGGTTAAAATCGCGGAAGCCAATCCGTCGTTTCGCGTGATCACGTTTGACAACGCGCGCTGTCGTCATGTCTACATTAACCAGATCATTTGAGCGCTGAACGCTCTCGTTCGCACGTACGTATGTTCGGAGTTTATGGTACACTGGAGTTGCAGTTACGTTGGTAATGACTGGTTCGACGACAACGTGACTCGGTTTGTAATGGACGAGCGACTGTTGAAGTACCTCTTCACGTGACTGACTCGATGACGATGTTTCGCTCTACGTGATAGTTATTCTACCTACGAAATCACTACCGTGACGCCTGGTCGTCGGCAAGCGAAGTGAGTCCACGTTGTATACAGTCAGTTACACTTCGAGTGTCTTAAGTGAGTCCACGTTGTATACAGTTACACTTCGTGCATCGATTCGAACGTTGTGTGTAGCTTTTCACTGCTGCTGAACAGTCGTTCCGCCGGGCCTGTCTGCTGTCCGTCCTCCTCAATCGAGCAAACCCACGATGTTTCTACCGTCTCTTGTCAGATCGAAGTCTTGGTAACAAACCACGTTTTGCCCCTTTTGGAGCGAGCTTGATGGCAAGTGCTGGCTTTTTCTACGAACAGACGTGCATCCGTCCAGACCGAAAAGGGCTTTGTCGACGACAACACGATGATACCTACCCAACGACGAGTCGAGTGAGGGCACAATATCGATAGAACTTGCACCTGACTTTGTAGTGGCAAATGAAGGTGTAGTAAAAGAAGGGCTTGTCTGAGCGGCACAATGTAGGTCTTGACGCACATTGTCGCCCGAAGCACTTGCAATAAGTTGGACATACATGCAAGTAGCTTGGCTTCGTGAATACAAAGGATCGACCACTGTCGTGCCTTTGTCGCAGAATCGGATTCTGGCGTGGTGCTGGAACTTCTTGAGCCCAATTGTCGTGGAATAAGAGCAGCTCCTGGTCTGGCGTGTCGTCTGTATGATAGGTTTCTCCGACAGACGTGCCATGCGCACGTGAGTCAAGACTTGTGTCTGTCGAGATTTGGCTTTCTCTGACACGAAAAGTCTGGCTTGCGTCGAATTCCGTCTCGACCAGCTCAAGTCCATCGCTCATGCATCGGAATGGCTCAAATCTTTGGGATTGCAGCACGCAGGTTGGCATCGCTGCTTGCCTGCCTAACTGCCCCTACCCACGATTCCGACTCTTTGTACCCTTATTTCCATCGACGGGCTTTGACACGCCGATTTAGCCACGAGTTGCCGATCGAGGGGTCAAACCGTCACACGAAATAAGCGCTCAACGCCTTTTTATACACTCTACGACACGGCCACGTGCACTTGTATACGGGTCAACCTCAACTCCATGATCCACAGGAGACGAGGCACTTGAAGTTCGCTCGTTCACTCTCTCCTAAGTCGGTAAGTCAAAGCCACCAACGGCGTGTATAGACAAGCCCGGTCGGAAAATCGAGGCCATTCGGTCAATTGTCACCGTTTGTCCGCCGCGTATACTGCCTGTATACTCACGACGACGCAGCGTCACAGCAGCCACCACCTACCCCTTCCCTTTCGCCTGTCTCTTGCCACAACCGAGCACATGGACAAGCGGGGAGCTCCAGTTACCAACTTGCTCCATTCACTTCACACAGACGAGTTCCGGTCATTCCTCGTGCAACTTGTTCAGTTAAACTCAAGAACGACCTCAATGGGCCTCATGGACACGAGCTCCAGTCGCAATCCCACGACCCACGACGTCGTCGTGACTGCTTCCTTCCATCCCAAGACGCACGAGACCTCGAATCGAGCGTGGATCTGGCCCACCAAGCAGCAGCACAAGGTCCAGGTCCAAGCATCCCCAAGCTCAGCTGATCGTCAACTTGCATCTTTCAAACGCCGCAACGGACCTCCCAATGCTCTCCGCAAGAGCTCCAGTGACCGTCCATTGACCTCGCCCGAGCGACGGCAAGAAGTCCTGGCTACTACCGGTGGCAGTACTAACGTCCTCAACGAGGTATCTACCTGCAAGAAGAAGAAGAAGACAAACCGGACTTATGAAGACGAAGTCCAGCGCCGCGAGCGCATTACAGCGCGGGCTGAGGAGATTCTCCTTGAAAAACGCTGTGTGGGAATGCTCGTTGGAGCCACGTGCCCTGTCTGCCTGACAGACGACGTGGACACGCAGTTGTCCGAGTGTGGCCACGTGATCCATGCCAAGTGTATCAAGCGCTGGATCCAGTCGGGCACGTACTGTCCCGTGTGTCGAGAAGAGGTTGTGGACATTGAAGAGGCGTTCACGTCTCCAAGTGTCGCTTCAATGACGATGACAAAAGACCGGCTCATGTCATCGTCCGAAGCTACGTACTTACCGGAAGATGAAGATGACGACGAAGACGATGCTGATTACGAGTGGGGCTGGTTCAAAGACTTTGACGAGGGCGACGACGAGCCCAATGCTGCCAGCGCGTCGATGCTAACTAATGGTAGCTTTGCTGCACGACGGTCATTGCTGACGACGTTCCCAGGTGGTGCAACGAGTCGACAGTCGTTAACGACCACGACAACGCCAATGCTGAATCGCAAGATGTCGAGCACGTTTGACATGTGCCGGACATTTCCACCGCTCCATGAGGTCTATGACTTGCCGTACCATAAGAGCAAGTACCCGTGGATGCGCGTATTGCCGTCCGATCGTCACATTGCGGTCAAGATTCAGATCCGGAGTTTTCGCATCGTGGAAGCCAAGACTTCCAAGGCACAGCACGCCGAGTACCTCATTGAGATGCAACTGGATGGCCGCTACATCAGTCGCTGGTGTCGGTACTCGGCCATTTACCGCTTCGTATGGTCGCTCGACCAGAACCAGTTCCGGCAATCGATGGCAGCGTGGCATCCTATTGACGCCAAGAGCCGGTGGTTCAACCGCCTTGAACTGAGCTATTTGCACAAACGGTGCCGAATGCTCGAGGCTTTTGCACACAAGTTGCTGATCGAGAGCCCGAACGCACATCCACTCGCTGGTCTAATCGAGTGCTAAGATCATGACGTAACTTATTTGCATACAGTGTGTAGATGTTAGCGGGTGTAAGAGCGGGTTGGAAGCTGAAGTATGGTCTATAACACGAAAGCGTATTCTGCCAGTCCCACTAAGCTGTGTGTAACAATCGCCAGCAGCTCCGTACTTACTCCTCTCTCATGGAGTACTCGCTACATTTTCGAGTCAAAGCCCGGTCTGTCGTGTATTCCGCTAAGTACGCACGTACTAACATGCGGTTGGGTCGGTGCTATGTCGTCAGTGTTAACTGAATGTGCCAAGAAGCGACTGGACGTAATGCATTGGACTGATCAGCCCACGCTAGTATACGGTCAGTCAGTCAGTCGTGTCGTGCTTAGAAACCTGGCTCTTGAAAAAGACGCACACACGCACGTACGTGGATGACGGCACTGGCACGGCAGGCCACCGTCTGGAGAGACTGGGGTGTTTGTTACTTTACGGATCGTACTGGAAGAGAGCTCTTGACCACATCCGAACGAGCTATGACGTGCACTGACGACTCGTTTCGCCAAAGTATACGGTATACGACCTGCCTGTGGAATACTCAAGTACATTATCGATGTTGAAGGGAAGAGCGCGTATACTCACACGAATGATGACGAAGGTCTGTAAACCTGCGACACGACAAAGAACGTGAGCAACGGTGACAAGAAAAGGGCCGGCTTGGAAAAGAGCGGTCTAATTACCAACGGGTTGTAGTACGTTTTGCCTGCAAGTCAAAGTGCAGGTACTGCAACTTGATCGTCCTTTGTCGCACGGCGCTTAAGGGTGCACCCGGACAAACAGTTCGTCGCTGCTACGGCACCACCACCAGCTTCTTCATTCTCGCTCATTTTCTTCCGCTTTCCTGCTTGCCTGTCATCTAATTGCGTCCATGCTTTCTTTCTTATAGCGGCGACGTCATTACACTTGCTGTCTTGGTTGTTCACTCCAGTAGCTCGGCTTGCTGGTATACCCGAGCGGTATCCCAATTCAGCAGGTCCGTGAGCAATGCCACCACATCCTGCGCTACTTCCACGCCAAACTGAATCGCTGACCCTGCAGCGTATGTGGACAGCGCTCCCTGGATATCGGCCATGCGTCGCAGCTGATGCACCATGCGCGCAGACATGGGGGTCCGCAACTCCGTCGTAAACAGTCCACGGTACTCTTTACTGTCGCGCAATAGCCCGAGCTGGCCCGTCACATGTAGCGGCCCACCACACTCGTGTTTAATACGGTGCAAACTTGGTCGCATTTCCAAACTCACACTCAGCAGCACCTCGTCCAAAATGCGAATTCCTTGCTGCACCACGCGATTGGGCTGCGGCACCGCTTCATATCGTAGGTAACGGAGCTGACGGTCCCACATGCGGCAGAGCGGCAAGAAGAGCGCAATGTCTTGCAAAAGGGGCTTCGGCAGGCGCAGCGTACGGTCCAGTAAGGTCTTGTACTGCTGCTGCTTCTGATCCTTCAATGCCAGTGTCAGCTCCGCGCGCGATTGGACGTACAGCGTCGACAAACGCATGAGCGTGTAGCACCTCTTCCGTCTAAGATCTTCTCGCATCAACCGGAGCTGGTTCTGCACCGAAATCTTCAAAAACAAGTCCACATGACCTCGCCGCTGTGCAGTCTCGGCCGCTGTCTTGTCCCGGTCGTCTTTCAGAAAAATGTCTGCACCAGCTGTCATCAGCGCTTCGACTGCAGCAGTATGGCCACGTTTAGCGGCCAGAAGCAGCGCCGTACTACCCTGCCGGGTCTGTTTATTTACGTTCGAACCCGACTTCATGAGCATCGTGGCTATGTTTGCGTGCCCTCGCTGTGCCGCCAGCATGAGCGCCGTCATGCCTTCGTTATTCGCAGCACAAGAGTCTGCTCCTTCCTTGATCAGAAACCCCACGACGCCCTCACGTCCTTCCTGCGCTGCACGCATCAGCGGGGTCGTGCCTTTCTTATTTGCATAGTTTTGGTCGCCTCCAGTCTCAAGCAGCATCTTGACAACCGACAAGTGCCCAAAATGAGCAGCAGGAATAAGTGCCATGTTTTTCGACTCTTCATTCACACCGCGCTCGAGCAGAAACATCGTCATGTCGTCCCATCCCTTTTGCGCAGCAAGCAGCAGCGCATACGTGCGTTTTTTCTACAGCATCAACAGAAGCAGAAAAAGAAACATCAACATCGTCGCTCATCTCCCGGTGTCCACTGGTTCTCCATCCACACATCCACGTACAGTCTTAAAATTCACGTCAGCACCGGCATCCAGTAGCATATTGCAAAACACGTGGTCGTTTGCACGCACGCCAATCATCAAGAGCGTCAGCCCCGTCTCATCTTCCGCTGTCAACAACTTGGGCAGCAGTTCTTCCACGTTCCTCGCTCGCAACACCGTCCGCATGCCTTTGTGCAGCTCCTGCGTCTTCTGTTCCTTGGCCACATTGAACAAAAACGACTCCACGTCTTCGTACGCCAACTCCACGGCTGCAGTGCAAGCACTTGCCGTTGACCCATTGGACAAGGCGGTGCTGCTACTGAAAGGCTCCAGACGCACCAGCGAGAGCTGCTGGAGCTCCTCGTCATCCGTCGTCGACTCCTCAGCAGCAACAGCCACAGCCAATGGCATGGGCTCGTCTGCTAGTACCTCTGGCCTTGAATGAAGCACGTCCAGAGCGTCATCAGGAGCGGCAACAGGCGCAGCAGACGAGACGCAAGTGACCAAAGGCGACTCGTCTGCGGCCAAGGCATCCAGACGACCGCGCGCCAAGAGCAGAAAGGACGACATGGTCAGGTCTGGAAGCAGCTGCGCTTCTTCTGCCTCTTCTGCTGCTTCTGGTACGGGCGCTATGGGGAAGGTGGTGGTTGGATCAGTCGTGGACATGGGAGGCGCTTCAGGAGGCGGTGGAGACGGGACGGACGGACGGAGGGGGGTGGGTGGGGGTGGAAGGGACGACGTCGTTGTCGCTGTTGGTTCTTGGGCGCGGAGACGCGCGCGCTTCCTCGGTGGGGAGAGCCCTTCAGTGCTCATGGGGGGAGTCGCAGCCACGTCGCAAAGTGTCGGGACGCTTGGTACGGGGTGGGAGGAGGATAAAGTCGAAATGACAAGTGGGAGGCGGTGAATGACAAAGTAGGGGGCGGGGATGACAAATGAGGAGGAGGAGAAGTCGCTGTGTGTGTGTGCGTTTTTTCTTCTCTTCTCTCATTTGGTGTTGTTGGGGGCTGTTTTTATCCAATCGTTGGCTTTTTGTGAGAACAAGTTGGACAGGTGGGGGAGAATGTCGCACGAACGGATGATTCACTTGCTGATTGTGGGGAATGTCGTCTTGACCTGACTTGTAGTGGATTGATTCATCGACTGAACACATGTTGCATCCGCATAAACAGAACGTGCCGCTTAAACAGCCTGAAAAAGTGCTCACAGAAATGGCAAGTCAGATCCAACGATGTTTTATGTCGGTCGAAACTTGCTGCATTGTCGACATCACATCGATGCAACGGATACGGCAGTCGTCATACTTACATCTTCTTACCAGGCAGCGAAACTTACAGTAGTAGAAATAGGCTCTCGTGCAATGCATCTGAACTTCCACACACCAATCTGGTATCAGAAAATACCCCATCGGCTCACAACTAGCTCACATATCCAACTTCACTACAACACCAGATCTTTACAATCCCGAATTGTCATTTGTCAGTACTACTTCAGACAAAACAATCACTCTGCAGGATCACTGATCGTTAGTACTACTTTAGACAAAACAATCACTCTGCATGGTCGCTACCACGCTCGTTTCCCCTCGCTTGAGTGACAACCGTACTCCAAGCGTTCTTCGACCTGCTGCTGGCCATGACGGCGGCGGTTGTGGAGATGCCCAGCTACGAAGCGCTGCAATCGCAGCTGCATGCCATGTCCTACAGTGAGGTAAAGCATTCACCTGTCATGCGTTGTTCGTGTTACTTCACGCAAGTGACTCGTTGAATGCTTTTAAACCGAGTGTGCAGCCGCTAGGAGTTGAAAGCGTTTCCCTCGTCTGTCGCTTACTTCACGACTTGCAAGAAGTAACAGAAGCGAAAGACGAGACGGAGCAGAAGCTGGAGCATGCACAGAAGGAAGCGCTTGAGCTGGCGCAGCGTCTCCAGCCGCTAACTCGAGAGAACGCAGAGCTGACGCGCGAGAACAACAGTGTTGGTGGATGTGAAGGTTGCACGAAGGTGGATCGAATGTACCTTTTCTTACCTATGATCCTTACCTATTATCCCAACCCTGTGACTTGTGCAGCTATATCTGGAGATTATCCATCAGGAAGAGGCAATTACAGAGAGGGAGAGAGCCTTTGAGCTCGAGCTTGAGGCTCTGCACGATGACATGAGAAAGCTCCAGATGATGAACTACCACAAGACGCAGCAATGCAACGAGAAAGCAAGCAGCTACATTGAGATGTTGTGTTATGCTGTACGTCTCTCTTTCTCTCTCTTTTTGCTGACATGAGAACTGTTGCTTGTGGCAGGAGCAGGAAGTGGCCAAGTTACGGACTCAATGGGAGCAGGTGCTAGCGACAGGAGCAACTTCTGCGTTGCCGTCTGCTGCAATGAAGAGATCCGCGACGCCGCGGTCGCTGCAACGATTTTCTTTAGACAGCCATCTAATGAGGAACATGCAGCAGCAACAGTCGGAAGAGCTGACACAAGTGACCAGAGACGTGCACAAGCAGCTTGCGGAGCTGACAGCTGAAAATGTCAAGCTGCAAGCGCAGTGCGATCAGCTACACGCTAAACTGGGAGATCGAGAGCAGGAGATTGACAGGCTGTCGAACTACTCGGTGGAAGCAGCAAACAACCAGACTACGTCATCAGCGGAATCGCAGGACTTGGAGGAGCAGTATCGTACAAGGGAAAAGGAGGAGGCGGCTGCTGTGCAGGTGGAACTGCTGAGTGCGCAGATCAATAGTCTAAAAGATGAGGTGACGAGGTATGAAAGACGGCTTCGGGACGCGGCAGAACAGATTTGTCGAAATGACAGCATCACAGAGAAGCTGCAGTACGTTTTGAAATTTTACTGGCGTATTTCCATCGTATCCTTGGGGTTGATCGAGGGGTTTGTATTTGCAGGCAGGCTGAGCTAGATCGGGAGAACATGGAAGAAGAATTTCGAGTGCTGCAGAGCAAGTACCGTATCCTGGAGGAAAAGAACTTGCAATGTGGAGACGCACATCGTGAGCCGGATAGCTTTTTGGAGATGTGCGACCCCGCGCCTGCTAATGAAAACTTGGCAGAGGAAGAAGAACATATGGACGTAGCATCGCTGAAGAAACAGGTGAAAACACTGAAAGCGCACAAGGATAAGCTTGGGGATGCGCTTCGCGCTATGCAATATGAAAAAGTATCGTATACGAATGCTCTTGCGAATGCAAACTCGCATAACCGCGTACTCACGAGCGATCTAGCTCGCGCTGAAGCGAGCGTAAAGGAGCTTACAGCGGTAAAAGCTAACTTGGAGCAGTCGCTGGCAGACACTCGGGCATCTTCGGGTACAAGTGCCCGTGAGCGGGACGTGCTTCATGAATCTCTTGAGCAGAGTGAGAGCAATCGCACGCTCATCAGCGAGGAAAAAGCCTCGCTTGATCGAGAGTTACGATCTCTGAAAAAAATACTGCGTGAGCGCGACGATGAGTGCCGATCTTTGAACCATGCACTTCTCGTTTGTAAGAGGGAAGTGGAGCGTTTGACTGGAAAGCTCGATAAGCTGGAAACAGCAGCCAGCAACGCGGGGGGTAGCGATGAAGCCCATGATGACAGAGCAGCAGTCCATGCTCAGGAGAAAAAGTGGCTGTTGGACGAGCAGCATGATCTTCGTTGTGCAAAGGAAGCGCTGATGCTTCGTGTGGTAAATCTCGAGGAGGACTTGCAAGAGACCAAGACTTTACTGGAAGAAGCAGAGCTTGAGAAAAAGGGTCTAACGGAGAGGGCAAACACGGCGTTAAAAATGCAGAGCAATCTTGAATCAATGCTGGAGACAAAAAAGCGCGAGTCACTCGATCTTCAGAAGCAACTCATCGAAAGTAAGGAAAAGATCCGTCCGCTCGTTGACAAGCAGCACCAAGCACAAACGCTGCTCAGTCAGGCTGAAGGTACCGAGGACGAGAAGCTGATCGTCCAGAATGAGGCCGCAGCACTTAAACGACACGTGGAAGAGTTGCGCGACCAAAATGCGAGGTTAAGAAATCGCGTGGAAAATGAAGATTTGCAGGTTAAGAGGCTATCGGATCAAATTCGAACTTTGCAGGCAGAATGTGCCGTGATGAGCAAGAAGTGTACAACACTTGATAAAGAGAAGGCAGGTCTGTTGGATAGTTACGAGAACGCTATGGTAGAGCTGCGCACCGCCCGCCAGTCATGGAATTATTACCAGAACGAATTTGAAAAGCTGTCGAGCGAAGTACAGGCTCAACAACATTCGCTTTCGTCTGGTGAAGATGCGCTCCAGTCTAGCCATGTCTCGATAAGTGATCTTAAGAAACAGGTTCAGCGGTTGCAGAGTGAGTTGAAGCTCAAGCATAACAATCTGGCTCACGTGGAGACACGACTAGAACAAGAGAAGACCACGCACAAAAGCGTCCACACGCAATTGGTTCTGCTTCAAGACGAGCTCTCACAGGCGAAAGAGACAAATGGCGCGCGCGAGATTGGGCTGCAACAGTTACGAGAGGAGAACCAGGCCAAGGATCGTGCATTGGCCGAGAAAACCGAAGCTCTTGATAACTGTAAGCTGCTTATCGAGCAGATGGAGTCGTCCCGGGATCAGCTGGTTTTTCAGACGAAGCAGCGACAGCAACAGATCCAGCGGCACCAACAAGAGATCGACGATCTGCGCACAAAGATCACCTCGCTCGAGAACGAGAACTCAGCGAAAGTTGTTGAGATTGCGTCGCTAAAGAAGCTGTCACGAACGCTGGACAGTGAAAAAGATGCAGTGAATGATCAGCTGGATATTTTGACTGAGAAATATCAGGAGATCGAAAAGCAAAGCGGCGAGCTTCGCCAGGCCGTTGAAGCGAAACAATCTGATGCTGCCGGGCTTCAGGAGCAAATGAGAAATCTGGTGAACAAGCTGAATGAGTCTGAAGATAAGCTGGGTAAGATGCAAGCTCACTGCTCGAAACTTGAAAATGAGCTTGACCGTCTTGAGCATTTGAAGGGAGTGCACACTGCCGAGTTGACAGCACTTGCCCAAGACCTGGAGAATATGACGATAGAAAACCAAGCGATTGCTGAAGAGTGTACCCGTTTGCAAAGAATGGAGCATTCTCGTTCCCAGTCGGCCAAAAGTATGAAGCATAGTACAAGGGAAATTGAACGGCAGAGAGACACACTGCAGATTGAGCTAGAGGACCTGCGCCATACGTACCGATCGTTGATACAAGAGCAGGAGGGGATGCAAAAAGCACGTGCGGAAATGCTTGCACTCCAGGATGAGCTTGCGTCAGTGAACGAATCTTTAAGGAAGCAAGTCGCTGCGTTTGACAATCAACTTCGAACGTTGAGGGAGAAAAATGCGACTTTGACGACCGAAGCAACCACGTATCGTGATCAAGTCAGCTTTCTTACCGAAAAGCTCCAGAAAAGTGAGGAAAAACACGACGACCTCCAAACGCGAATGCAGCAGTTGGTGCAAGAGCTAGATACCCAAAAACAGATTTCGACTGAGATTTCTGCTCAGCGTTATGGAGCCCAAGCTGAGAACGCTACCGTGTCCCAGCGCATTGTGCACTTGGAGGCAAAATTGAGCAACTGCAAGTACGAAGTCCAGTCCTTGCAAGCTAAGCTTCGTGACGAGCAGTCCCAGCGGCGAAGTCTTGAAGAGGTTGCTTCTACCCTTCGCCAGAAGATAGCGACAAACGAAAATGTGATCTTGCATTTGGAAGAGCAACGAAATGCGATGGCTCAGGAAATTCAGGCTTCTTATCTACGTCAGGTTCCAGTTTCCACGGCCATCATGGACATGTCGGAGCTCAATCACGCACCACCGTCTGTTGGTCAGGCATCCCACATGTTGCGATCGAAAGCACCTGGCGCAACGAGAGACCGTTTAACTCCACCCCCGATATCGCCAAATGCAACAGGAAGCACTCCAGAATCTGGGGAAAAGTCATCTAGCGCGTCCTCCTCACTTCTGCCATACCACGCGATTGAAAAGGCCCAGATGAAGTGCCAAGAGCTGGAAGACCGACTGGCTCAGCAAGATGACACGATCAAGGAAAGTTTATACGAATCGTTTCTTACATCGCTGGCACGGGCACTAATGACTATCTGGTATTTATCTGCAGCAACTGGAGAGATCGCGTTGCAAGTTCAAGCGGTTTGCAGCAAAGTACGAGCGCGAAATCCAGCAGGTTAGTGGCTGCGTGTCGTATTGTAGCCTGCAATCTGCTCATTGTTTTTTGCTGGGTTGTGTTGTCAGCGCGATCGAAAAATCGAGGAGTTGCAGAACAGCTCTCATGCGTCTTCGTTCGTCTCCCCCGATGCGCCATCATCAAGGTCTAGACAGTCTCGTTCGTCCTCGTCATCATGTTCAAGTCGGTCGAGAAGGCAACATGACGACGGCAAACACTTGGACGTTCCCGTCTCACCTCAATAGAAGCGAGGCTGCCATGATCGTTTCGGCGTCAATTGATTAGAAATAGCTCGAGTGTAGGCATCGGAATTGGATGCCATATTATAGATGTGTGAAAAGTCGTCTGGTACGTCACCACTAAATGGGTTCGTAGTGAGTTTGCCGACACACAGGACCAAACCGAGTCCAATGGACGGAACATATGCTACGATTTGTTGATGATGACACTGTTTTGCTCCCATGAGGACAGGTTACGCTCTCACGATGGACCAAAGAAACTTGAAGGCCGATAGACTGCGAGCATCCAGCCGTCTATTTTTTCTTCCAAATGGTTTGTACATCGCTGGCAAGCACATCTGTACTCGATACAGATCATACCTGCGATGGGGGTATGATACGCTGTGTTGTCCCGTGAATGCCATTTAGTCTGTATACGCGCATGTCTTCGTACATTAAGGTTAGAGCTACTGTTGTGAAGGGGTCGTGAGCCGCTCGATGTTACGAGGCAATGACCTACTTCTTCCTCATAGACGTTTACGACGAGCAAGGCAATGGAAAACGCAAGACATCACATTCGTAAAAGCCATTTCAAGTAGCACACCCTCTTCTGATGAACAGGATGGAGTGCATTGCATGCTGCAATGCAAGAAAAAAAGCGTGAGACCCAGCCTGGAAATGTTAGCGCGATGCTTCAAACATCTCATCTTTGTCGTCTTATGGTCCATCATCACTGCGTGGCGCGCTTATTGTACAGCTACGCGAGCAAAAAACCACGTCGACTTGCTACGGATTGATGGCGAGAACGAGCATCCGATTGACTGCACGTCATTTTACGCTATAGTTGCTCTGCTTTCCACCATAGCACTAAGGTAGCCTGTCATCCTTTGACGATTCACCAGGCCAAACTGAGTTATGATACGGACAAGAGCCTGTGTCTGGTAGGCAATCGAACTCTCTACTACTTGTAGCTCATTCACCGGCCACTCTCGTACATCTCTAGCTGAAAAGCGTGTACTAGAAACTGTTTTGACGCCTTGTTCGTACAGGGCCTTAGTGTGCGGACCGGTATACTTTATTGGCGAAGGACCTACTGTTTCGTGGCTAATACCGCTTGTGGGAGATAGATATTACAGAGCGAGCGCAATAGCCCATACTCACTAGATGGATTCTTGCGCTGAATATGCGATAATTGATTGATGCTGAACGGTCTATCCATTCACCTTGCATTCACATAGTCGCAAGAAAACAGCCAAGCACAGTCGTCCAAGCATCTGAAAAAAACTACAAGAAGTGCTCGCTGTGAGAGACGAACGGGTCTACTTTTCGATCCCGAGACGAAATCGCCGCACAAATTGCTAATGAACATTGAGACGAAAACCATCCAGTCGATGCGAGATACGGACGGAGGCGCAACCTTGTCTTGCGATCGACTATATTTTAGCACTTCGGAAACTGGAGTAGGAGGACGAGGAAGCGGTCGATCCACTTTGGTTGTCTTTTCGACTAGAAAGCGTGCGACATTCGCTACATGAAGCCAATCATCCTTGCCTTCAGATTGTGTCTTGACCATGACAACGGAGCTCGCGTGTGCAGCCGTAACAGTTCTGCCTCATATCTTACCCTTTTACGCAATGACGCATGCTCGTGAGAGTAAACAGCAGTAGATACCGACATGTAACCACGTGCTCTATCTTGAGATTCTTCACTTGCGCTCTGCCATTTTCGTGCATGAGCTGCAATTTCGTTTCGCACATCCACTCCGTCCGACATGGTTTGTACGATTCGGCGATTCTACACTGTAACATGAAAACAGCCCACGTTCACGTGAAACAGTGCTGGTTGTCTTGTGAATTCGGAGAAGCTCAGGCATCAGAGCTGGAGCTCTTCGTTGACGAATGCAAAGTCCATTGCGTACCCTTCACTACATCTACATCTCGCTCTTGATTTCAGTTCCACTCACGATGTGAGGCACAGCACATGTTCCAGTGCTTGTTGAAGAAGAGACGGGAGCCAGTCGGCAGTGTTCCTGGCTGCGAGAAAAGAGACCTAATCCGGTCTTCTGTCTCTGTCTCGTTGTTACTCACAGACACAGGCTCTACAGCTGCTTGCAAAGATCCTGGTCACGAGACACTTCCACATCAAAGACTGAGCCACTGCAAGGTTAATCACGGCAGTGGGAAGCCGAAAGCAAAGGTAGGAAGAGACTGTCTCCGGACAGAGCTGCACGCTGGCAATACCGCTCCATTTACTTGATTGCGTCACGATCACATGCGTCCGGTCGTAACGTTGCATACACGACGGAATCGCGAACGAGACAGAACTGGTTCGCTCGTAGACACGAGGAGTATCCAGCTCACGACTTCATGCCTGGCGTACACTAGTAGTATCCCTAGGCTCTTTACTTCATTGCTTGCAGAAAAACCGGCGCCAGCGATCAGCATTCGTGAGTCTCGACTGCCTCCAAACTCATTGGCATAACCGAACACCGCGAATGTCCATCCTTTTCAGCGCTCAACTTGTGCTCGCTCAACCTCACTCTCTCTCTCATCGCCCCTGGATTCCAGCGAGATGCCGGTTCGCGTGATCATGCTCCATTCCTCTCTCTCTCTCTCTCTCTCTCTCTCTCTCTCGAAAGAAGCTCCACTGTCACTCAAACGTGGACCGAAACTGAGCGTACAGAAGAAGAAGATGCAGTCCAGTTGGTAACAAAACCCCGTCAACAAGTGATGGGGATCCCCATCCACGTGCTATGTGCCTCGCCTCGTTCCCGCAAGAGTCAGTCAGTCGACTGGTCGTGGTCAAAAGACTTGCGATGCAGCAAGTCGAAATCTTTTTCATGGCCATCACCATAGCACCGATGGATCTACTAGGGAGAGAGAGAGATGGGGCCCATGCTTTTTTCCTCCCACCAACCTCGAGCAGAAGAGCGTCCGTCTACCCTCCAGCGATCAGTCACTTTCAAATATCCATCTAGTCTTCTCGATCGACGCCTGAACTCATGGCACCCGATCCGCATTCCAACGCGTTTCTTACCATCGAAGACGCGCATAATATTTTCACCATGGTCTGCTGCTTCTTTGGCATTGGGACGCTGTCCATGCCGTCCAACTTTGCTCGCGCAGGTCCGATCTACGCGACGCTTGCAATGGTGCTCATGGCTTTCGCCAATATCTACGCAACGATCGCGCTTTCGAAAGTGATGCTGGCTGCCCCGGCATCAGTCAAAACGTTTACGGACGTGGGGGACTGGGTCTTTGGCAAAACGGGACGCTACGCAGTGATCGTGTCCCAGCTGCTCGTGTGTCTGCTGCTGCCCTGTGCGTTTCTCGTACTCGGGAGCACGTTGCTCGACGTGCTATTTCCAGACTCGTTCAGTCAAACGTTCTGGATCGTCTTCATGGCTTTCACAGTGATTCCGCCATGCTTGATCCCCACCCTGAACGAAGCTGCTGCCATGGCACTGCTGGGGTGCCTTGGTACGCTCGTTGCCGACGTCGTTGGGGTGAGTATTCTCCAGTGGGAGATGCGGGGACACCCGTCGGCACCCTCTCCAGACATCACATTGCACCAGGTACTTACCACCTTTGGCAACCTATCTCTGGCATATGGTGCTTCCGTCGTAGTGCCCGATCTCCAGCGACAGCATTCGGAGCCTACCCGCATGCCTCGTATTATCCTCGTCAGTATGGGCGCAGGCTCAGCTTTCTTCTTTATCGTGGCTGTCGTGGGGTACATTGCTGGTGGCTGCCAACTATCGGGTAACCTCCTCTTCTCGATCGTGAATACGTCGGACCCGACAGCTGCATCCGCATTGGGGTTTGTTCCCAATCGTGGCGCTGTCGTCATGGCGTACCTCTTCATGCAGACCCACATTGTTGTTGCCTTTTCGACAATCATCCAGCCGCCGTTCTACATGGCTGAACGCTTTCTCCTGGGGATGCACAAGACATCGACTATGGATTTTATCCAGGAGAGCCAGAAGTTGTCGAGTATTGCTCCCGTGACGCCGGATCTAGAGGGCAACTACTCGACCTCCGACACTTCAGGCGCACTCGGTACGGAAAAAAAGCGACAGCAGAAGGAAGAGCTCGAGATGTCCGAGTATACTGGCAAGGGAACTGTTCTTCGCTACGTGACTCTGCGTCTTTCGATCATTGCGGTGCTCGTGGCAGCATCCATTGGTCTGCGTGAAAGGTTTCTCGATCTCGTGGACTTCACGGGCGCTTCAGCTGTAACAGTCTGCTGCCTCGCGCTGCCTATTGTCTTTTACCTCAAGGTTTTCTGGACCGAGCTGCCCATGTACGAGCGTGTCGTGGCCTGTCTATTGATCCTGGTGTGTAGCATTGTCGGGTGCTACGTGATGATCTATGCTGGCCAGAACCTCTTTTACCCACACACCGAGGAGCGGGTTACGTTCCCGTACTGCCCCGTAGAATACCAAGTAGAGCCTTACTTTGTCAGAAGTGCGACAACGTCGAGGTGAATGTCCCAAGGCTCGTAACGATAGTGTATCGTAGCATCAAGGAGGCCGGTAAAGTCTCTGTTAAGACCTCATGAATAGTCCCATTCACATTACTGTAACAACCTGCACCACGAGGTATATTAACGATCGTTTCAAGTCAGTAATTAGGATACGAGTGCAGCGAACAGTTCCGACAAAAGTTTGTTTTTTTCTATTTGTTGTTGAAGAGGTTGAATCTGCCGTGGAAGAAAGACCGTCTAGTCATCTAGCTCACGTTGCCGGCTATATGAGGCTAGACTGGCAGTGTCACTCTCTCCTACTCATCTTCTTCTGCCCCTTGAAGGCTGATGATGAACGAACAAACAAACGTTTATTTGACCGAGATTAGGTGCTACTGCCTTTGCCGTATCGACACGATAACATCGTGACGGCTTTCAGTGCTTGGGTGCTCGCGGGTACTCGATATCCACTACCGCCTTGAACCCTATCAAGGCTTGGTAAGAAGTTGGCACTAGCGTCACGATGGAATGTATCCCGCGTATCATCATGGCAACATCGACATCAAGTAGAGTAGTTAAAGACTACGCAGCGCCTACGTGTTAATCTCTAGAGAAGTTCGTATCGAATGAAACGCGTCCCGAGTGTAGTACACGTGCGCTACCAATTCGACAGTCTTAGTTAGCACGGTGCGCCACAGTCACAGCCTTCGACGGTTTAGGCTGTAGCGAGTATGATGCTACCGAGTATATAAGGTGCATGTCTTACACCTGAGCGACTCTACATTTGGCTCCGTCTCATTTTATCTTTGTTTAGTTTTTTTGTACAGCGTACTGACGCCTCAATCCTGTGTCAATTCGTAAGAATAGTTTTGTCACACTGTCTATGTAACGGGGTGAACTGTTACATAACAATTTATAAGAGATTGTTCTTAGAATATAACTATAAGAGTTATATTCTCAGAATATTGTCACGAGGACAATATTCTGCAGCACTTACGAGTAGTTCCTAATTGGTTGATATATGCCATTATATCAACCAACGAAGACGCGCCACGACTGACGCACGCAATGAGTGGTGAGCAGATGATTGATTTACACATTTGTATTTAGACATAGTTAGATGAGGAATAACAGTGGTTTATTAACAGACATCAACTATTATAAATACAGTTCTGCTTTTTACTTTAAGCAAGTACTCGCTTCTCCTTACCGTCTTCCTCTGCACGTACCAGTGTACGTGAAGTTACGAGGCACCGCCTTATTCTGTCATCAGAATAAGTAGCTTGTACTGTCACCAGTACAAGCTTCAGGTTGCCCCGTTACACCTGGTAGCACTTCGTAGTCCGTCCAAGGACCACGTTCACATCTAACATGAATATGTTGGATGATGAAGATGACCAAAGCTTTCACGCTACGCGTGACGGCTACTCCCATTTGAGCGATGTCGAATGGGATGCGGTTGAACGGATGGGTCCAACCATGGGCATCCATGCTGTTAGCGTCATGCTAGAGGCTCTCAATAGAGATGCCCAACATGCTACTATCGCCAAGTTCATTCAAAATGAACTTAACGCTGAACGCGAGAAAGTAGCCTTGCTTCACCAACAAGGTTCTCAACAAGCAGATTTGTTGAGAGAACAGGGTGCTCAACAGTTTGAACTGTTGAGACAGCAGCAGGCTGCTGCTGGCGGGTCGATGCACTCGCGTCGACCCGAGATTGACATCTCTAAGTTTAGGGGAGTCGAAGAGGACTCCCCTTGAGATGGTTTGTCGAATTAGACGACGCCATAAGGGCGCGTCGCATCGACGACTGGGATGTGCAAGTTGCATTTGCCCAATCAAATCTGGCAGGACGTGCCAAGACTTGGGCACTGGGGCTCGAGTTGCACGACCCATATGCGTTTGGGTCGTTGGAAGTCTTCAAGTCGCGGCTCAGACAAACGTTTGAACCGCCTAGAGCTGAGTTCAAAGCTCGAACCGAACTCTTGAAGCTCAAACAGGGTAAGCGTGATGTGCACGCTTACGCACAACATATACGACATCTCACGAGTTGTATAAATTCCAACCCGGTGGATGAACACACGTTGATTTCGGTGTCCATGCAGGGTCTAGCGGATGGTTCCGTCAAGACTCACCTGTTCCGACTTGAACTAGATTCACTAGAACAAGCCATTTCCATTGCGGAACAGGAAGACTTCAGTCTGAGACAGGCTCGCGCCAGCTCGACATCATATCGTCCACCGAGACGATATGACAGCGGAAGTCCAGAGCCGATGGAACTCTTTCATGTAGAGAGCGAGAATGTTCGCTCTACAGACTACAAGAAGTTGCAGAAATGCAACAGATGTCAAAAGACAGGACACTACGCTTACGAGTGTAGTGCTCCTCGTCCAGTGTCTCGCAGCACTGGGCGTAATGACCGTCCACCCATGAGAAAGGGGCAGGGACGCGGGTCCGCTGTTGGTGCAAAGACGCAACAACGGGATGGACCGTCAAAAAACAGACAGGATCAGTAGGTGCGGAGCACCCTACTGGTCCAGCAACGTCAAGAGAATTTGTAGGCCTCTTGATGAAGGTTGCTCCCAACACACAAACATTGTGCGTTGCTGCTATAGGTAATGCGATCTCACTCATTACCTTGAAACTCGAAGTGACATTAAGTTGTCCCTTCGAGCTCTAGCCGATTGTGGGGCGTCCAACAATTTTGTGCGACGTCAATCGCTAGAAGATGGTCACTTTAAGTTCAGTGAATGTGAAACACCTCCTACGAAGATGACGGTACGTCTTGCGACAGGCGCATCCGTAACCATCATGAAGCGTATAGTGAAGATTCACTATACGCTAGAATATACCCAATATGACGATGACTTTATTGTAACGGGGCACCCTGAAGCTTGTACTGGTGACAGTACAAGCTACTTATTCTGACGACAGAATAAGACGGTGCCTCGTAACTTCACGTACACTGGTACGTGCAGGGGAAGACGGTAAGAAGAAGCGAGTACTTGCTTAAAGTAAAAAGCAGAACTGTATTTATAATAGTTGATGTCTGTTACTAAACCACTATTTATCTTCATCTAACTATGTCTAAATACAAATGTGTAAATCAATCATCTGCTCACCACTCATTGCGTGCGTCAGTCGTGGCGCGTCTTCGTTGGTTGATATAATGGCATATATCAACCAATTAGGAACTACTCGTAAGTGCTGCAGAATATTGTCCTCGTGACAATATTCTGAGAATATAACTCTTATAGTTATATTCTAAGAACAATTTCTTATAAATTGTTATGTAACGATTCACCCCGTTACATTTATCGTATTGGATTTGGATGACAAATTTGATGTCATCCTTGGAATACCGTGGCTCAGAAGGTACGAACCACGGGTAAACTGGCAACATCGAACAGTAACGATGCGTGTCGCTTGTTCATCAGATGGCCGTCTGATAAACGTTTTGGAGCGTCCACAAGCGTGTGGATGTACTACGAGTGAGTGCAATGAAATAAGTTCCCCGAAACCCGCGGATATAGGTCCCCGGGAAGCCGAAGGAATAAGTCCTTCGAGGCCTGTGGGAGTAAGTCCCCATGAAATGACAGAGGCATTGAATGTCATAGTCAATAACGGATCAAGCGTAGGCGCTTATACACTTGATCTGATTGCGCCTCCGAAGTTGACTTCGGAGATCACTCAGTTGCCAACGCTCAAACATAAAAGGTTCTTGCGTGATCTGCGTAGTGGCAAAGTCAAGCAGATCTGCGTACTCGTCGCTGACGACGAGTGTGTAGCCGGCATAAGGTCAGCAACAGTGTTCAGTGAGAACGAGAGAGTTCTCAGTAGTTCATCTATGGACGAGAGTGTCCTATATGAAAAGACACGAGTTGAGCGATATGACTCCTAATCGTGGGAATCGTTCAAGACAAATCCTCTCTATGAAGATTTGGTTGAATTCAAGGATGTATTCCCTGAAACTGTTCCGTGCGAATTACCGAAGGATAAAGGTATTCGACACGAGGTCGAGCTTAAACCAGGCTCGAAGTACTGTGTCATGAAGCAGTGGCCACTGCCTCGTGAACAAGTACTTGCGATCGACAAGTTCTTTGCCGATCGTTTAGCTGCGGGCCATGTGAGGGAATCAACTTCCCCACATAGCTCTCCGACCTTCTGTGTGCGAAAAGCAACAGGAGGGTGGCGGATAGTGCATGCATTTAACAAGTTGAATGCTGCAACGGTACCGGCTCAGACGCCGATACCGAGGAAGGACGTAATCATTGATGGTATGTCATAGAGTACCATCTTTTCGTCCATGAATTTGATGGATGGCTTCTATTAAATCCTTATGCTAGAACGAGATATACCCTATACCGCAATTAGCACGCCTAGCGGCATGCTCTGGGAATGGCTAGTAATTCCACAAGGGATTAGTAATGCTCCTGCCACGTTCAACAGACGTGTATCACATCTGTTGAGACCAGTACGAGAATTCGCGCCGAGTTATTTCGATGACGTATTTATCAATAGTCGGGCTATGAATGGAAAGTCGGACGTTGAGGTTCACAGAAACCACGTCCGACAGGTTCTTACAATCATGCGAAAGCATCAGCTGTATGCAAACCTCAAGAAGTGTATATTTGCAGCAAGCGAAATACCACTTCTTGGGTGCATCGTTGGTAAGAATGGTGTACGTCCTGATCCCGAAAAGATCAATGCGATCACCGATTGACCTGTGCCAGTTGTTGTCAAAGGTCTTCGGAAATTCCTTGGGCTGGCGGCGTATTTGCATAAGTATTCACGCAATTACGCCGAGATGAATGTGCACCTCTCTAATTTGTTGAAAATGAACGAGAGGTGGTTATGGAAAGCTGAATGTCAGCACCCCTTTGAGGGTATCAAGCAGAGCTTGATACAATCCCCAGTCCTAGCAATAGCCGATCAGGACAGGCCATTTCATGTGGTCTGTGATGCCAGCGATTTTGCAATCGGCTGTGCATTAATGCAGTACGATCTTGAAGGCGTTGAACGCGTCGTCTGCTATCAGTCGCGCCAGCTGCAACCAGCTGAGCGGAACTATCCAGTGCATGACAAGGAACTCCTTGCCATGAAGTATGCACTCGCGAAGTTCAGAGTCTATCTATTAGTAGATAGACCCTTCATTATTTACACTGACCAGGCGTCGTTACGCACGGCAGTGAACAGCCCGCACCTTTCACAACGAATGGCGCGGTGGTTGTCATTCTTTGCAGAATACAACTTTACGGTTGAGTACAAACCAGGAAGACTTAATGTCGTCGCTGATGCGCTCTCACGTCGTCCCGACTTTGAACCAGTCGTGAGACCCAACAGTGATACAGCCACTGTTGCGGTTGTGACGTCCTCAGTCCCATCTACAACGTTGTATGATGGTGCGAGGCGGGCGTATGTCCACGATGATGAGATTGTGAAGCTGTTGACACATCTCTCAAAGCCATC